ACTGAAGTTACGCGAGTGGCCAGAGACGTGGGCACTGAAGGTGTGCTAGGTGGTCAAGCTCAGATTGCGGGAGTCCAAGGAATGTGGAATGAGCTTACTGTTAATGTCAACGCCATGGCTGAAAATCTCACCACTCAAGTTCGTGATATTGCAATGGTAACGACAGCAGTCGCCAAGGGTGATCTTACACAAAAAGTCCAAGCCAATTGCAAGGGTGAAATTCTTGCTTTGAAAACCATCATCAATTCCATGGTTGACCAACTGAAGCAATTCGCGCAAGAGGTCACCAAAATCGCCAAGGAGGTCGGAACAGATGGTGTGCTCGGTGGCCAGGCAACTGTCCATGATGTGGAAGGTACATGGAAGGACCTCACTGAAAACGTTAACGGCATGGCCATGAACCTTACTACCCAGGTCCGCGAGATTGCTGATGTTACCACTGCCGTCGCCAAGGGCGATTTGACGAAGAAAGTCACGGCAGATGTGAAAGGGGAAATATTGGATTTGAAGAATACTATTAACGGAATGGTGGATAGATTGAACACTTTCGCGTTTGAGGTCAGTAAAGTGGCTCGAGAAGTCGGCACAGATGGCACGCTGGGCGGCCAGGCAAAGGTTGATAATGTGGAGGGTAAATGGAAGGATTTGACCGATAATGTCAACACCATGGCTCAAAATTTGACTTCTCAGGTACGAGGGATATCTGAAGTCACTCAAGCTATTGCCAAGGGCGAACTTGCGAAGAAGATCGAAGTTCATGCTCAAGGTGAGATACTCACTTTGAAAGTGACTATCAATAACATGGTGGACCGCCTTGCCAACTTCGCGCACGAGCTTAAACGGGTGGCACGCGATGTGGGAGTCGATGGAAAGATGGGTGGACAAGCTAATGTTGAAGGAATTGCTGGCAGATGGAAAGAAATCACTGAGGATGTAAACACCATGGCTGAAAATTTGACATCCCAAGTGCGCGCTTTTGGAGAGATCACTGATGCTGCCACTGATGGTGATTTCACCAAACTAATTACCGTGAATGCTTCTGGTGAGATGGACGAGCTTAAACGGAAAATCAATAAGATGGTTTCCAATCTTCGAGATAGTATTCAGCGAAATACAGCCGCCAGAGAAGCAGCCGAACTTGCCAACCGTACCAAGTCTGAGTTCCTCGCAAACATGAGTCACGAAATCCGAACCCCGATGAATGGCATCATAGGCATGACGCAGCTTACACTAGATACTGACGACCTTAAGCCATATCCACGAGAGATGTTGAATGTGGTGCACAGCTTAGCCAACAGCTTATTAACGATAATTGACGACATACTCGATATCTCGAAAATTGAAGCGAATCGCATGGTTATTGAAAAGATCCCATTTAGCATGAGAGGAACCGTATTCAATGCGCTTAAAACGTTAGCTGTGAAGGCAAACGAGAAATTCCTGAGCCTTGCATACCAAGTGGATAGTTCGGTTCCCGACTATGTCACTGGTGATCCCTTCAGATTACGGCAAATCATCCTCAACTTGGTTGGGAACGCTATCAAATTCACGGAACATGGGGAAGTCAAACTTACCATTAGCAAATCGGATCGAGAGGAATGTAAAGATAATGAATACGCGTTCGAATTCTCTGTTTCGGATACTGGAATCGGAATTGAGGAAGACAAGTTAGATCTGATTTTCGACACCTTCCAACAAGCTGACGGCTCGACGACCAGGAAGTTTGGAGGAACTGGACTAGGACTCTCCATCTCTAAGCGATTAGTAAACCTCATGGGCGGTGATGTTTGGGTAACGTCTGAGTATGGGCTCGGAAGTAGTTTCCACTTCACCTGCGTTGTGGAACTGGCGGACCAGTCTATCCGTATGATTAGCGCATCCCTCTTACCCTACAAAAACCATCGTGTCTTGTTCATCGACAAAGGCCAGACCGGCGGTCACGCAGAGGAAATTACTGAAATGCTCAAGCAACTTGATCTGGAGCCCCTTGTCGTTAAGGATGAATCACAGGTACCACCACCAGAGATTCAAGATCCCACGGGTAAGGACTCCGGACATGCATACGACGTTATAATCGTCGACTCCGTCGACACGGCACAAAACCTCCGCACTTACGATGAGTTTAAATACATACCTATCGTCCTATTATGTCCTGTCGTCTCCGTTAGTTTGAAGTCAGCATTGGATCTGGGTATCACTTCCTACATGACCACACCTTGTCAGCCTATCGATTTAGGCAACGGAATGTTACCTGCTCTCGAGGGTCGTTCCACACCGATAACTACCGATCACACAAGATCATTCGACATTCTGTTGGCTGAGGACAATGATGTGAACCAGAGGGTTGCTGTCAAGATACTAGAGAAATGCAACCATGGTGTGACTGTTGTCAGCAATGGCCTCCAAGCAGTGGAAGCAGTCAAGAAACGCCGATATGATGTCATTTTGATGGACGTCCAAATGCCTGTTATGGGCGGATTCGAAGCAACGGGCAAAATCCGAGAATATGAAAAAAGTAACGGATTATCCCGGACCCCCATTATTGCTCTAACCGCGCACGCAATGCTTGGTGACAGGGAGAAATGCATTCAGGCCCAGATGGATGAGTACCTGGCTAAGCCTCTAAAACAGAACCAGATGATTCAAACCATCTTGAAATGCGCGACCCTTGGTGGTTCTCTCTTAGAGAAGAGCAAGGAACCAAGAATGTCGAGCAGCGGCGAGTCTCATCATCATGTCTCCAACAGCAATGGACTGAAATCATCAGACACAAAGCATCAACGACCAGGGATGGACGGTCGAGCTCTAACGGCTGCTGGTGGTCACAAGTCGAATCAAAAATCTGACCTAGTGAGTAGTCGTCGCACTTGTATGACCGGTTCATGGACTAAGGATTAGAAACAGCAATTCCTTCGGACTAAAACCGGCTGAGTCACCTTTCTCCTTGTTCAAGGCAGGATCTCCTGTTTCTCCTTTATTATGACTCTCTTCTACCTTTCGTTATTACTGGTTGCAAAGATGTTTGCTGGTGTAGGAAGGGTTATGGCTTCATATATGCATATACCATTCGGTCTTACATTTTATCCTTGTTCTGGTTATCTCTCTCGTCCCTTTGCTTCGAATTGCTCTCCGCAACCGCCTTCTATTGTTTTATTAACCTTTTTTGGTTTCATTTCATTTTTATCATCTTATTTTATTTTGGGGGGGTTTCTTATGCCTTTCCTAATATTTTCGTCGATATATACAGTCCGTTCTGTTTTCTGTTTTCCTCTTTTCCTCTCCTCCATTTCCTTGAATTGTGGCCTGTTCTCAACCCCTTATATACTCATTTAAACTTTAATTTTTGGCGTATGGCGTGTGTCTGGCACACTTGGACGGGTTAACATAACTCAATTTTCGGCCTGGGAAAATTCAAGACGACCCAGTGGAGTGGATAGTTGCGACGTACCTTTCTTGAATTTTGTGTATAGGTTTGTTTTATTTTTTTGGTTCATAAAGAAGAGCAAGGAACAAGCAATATGTATCTCATATCGCAACCTAGGTATATTTCTGCGCGGTTACCTTTCCTTTCTTCCATTTTTCATTTTGGTTATCAATTTATCTATAATTTCAATTTATCTCCTTTTTTCATATTATATCCTCGTTTATTCTAAACCCCAAAAAAGAATCAATTTTATGACAAGGGAACCCATTCATTTATTTGCTGTTAATGCTAGTTTAACGCTATCTCCGTCGCGACTTTTCATCATCGAGTCGAGTCAAATTCGATGGCGGACGGCATCAGGATATTTCGATTTTTCCCGTTCTTCGTGTTGAGAAAACACATGCAAAGCCGCCATCGCCGGTTGTGAAATAGGGAAAGGGAAAGGAGAGCTGGCTTATTTCAACCACCGTGAACATTGGCAATATTCATTGTTTACTACCAATCTGCAGTTTGCCTACGGAATAGCTGCCATCGGCATTTATCTTCGCTGCTTTTTTTCTTCCTCATATTCTCCTCTCTGTACAGTGGAGAGTGTGGTCAAAGTGGAATCTAGGCTAGTTATGAAAAATGTATGCAATGTGCTGTTGTCCCTCTGTGGCTGCTACTGCCAGGCACTGCCCCACCAGGTGACTTCGAACTTAGAAGAAGTGTGGAGACAACGACGAGTGATGTTAGTTAAGATACTTACCATCAATGTCCTGTGGATTGTTGCAGTCTGTGGATCATGCATGCATATACATATATATATATCTTGAGGAGTAGGTACCTTAAGGATTGATCCTTTTTGGCGTGGTAAAACCTTCCCCAAGATTGTATGTCCCCTGGCCTTCAAATAACAGTGAAAACGCCAATGGCGACAGTCTAGAATATATGTTTCAACTATTTATAACCTCAAGATAATACTGAGACTTTTCAGGAACAGCAGATCTCAAGTTACTCGTCTGCCTGGAGACTCCATGTCTATTTAAACACAAGTGCCAATTGGTTGCACAAGCCAATCACAGCCCAAAGCCTCGTCAAGAAACTTCACCAGAGACAACACCAACGCATTTCTGGCAGCTCAGGCTTCGAGCTCGGTGCCGCTTGTCGCACAGCTCATCTGCAACGAGCTGCCAACATTGGCCCCGATGCTGGCCCTTGATCAGCCTCATTTCTCCGGTGGCCTGGGACATTGACTTCAAAGCTGATGATGATGTCGATGGCTGCATGGAAACGGCTCTCCTGAATCTCTATTATTAGCCATCGGGAATCAGGATATTCAATGCTTCGTTTCGTTCTTCCTCCTTTGGAAGCATCACGTTAGGCCCCGGGATTTATTTCTATTCTTCATGTTTATTTTATTTGATCTTGGCCTCCGCCGCCGTGGCCGCCGCCGCCGCTGCACAGGAGTTACTATTTAATACTTCTACATAACCTTCAAGGAGCTTGATATCTTAGCCAAACCCATAGTATTTTACGATCTCCTTTTCTAAAATAATAGCATTTATACAAAGGCTTAGGACTCGCCTCCGCAGAAATGTTCAAGTTGAACTTCAGATTCCGTAATTTTTGGTCCAAGACTGCAGGACGCACACCGACGGCCGCCCCTTCACCCCAGGCGAAACAGGAATCACCTTTTCTCACCCGACTCCCGCCTGAAATCCGCGTCTTGATCTACAAACTCGTTTTCGCCCGCGACACAATCCACCTCTTGCACAACAAGGGCCGGATCAGCCATCTCCGAATACCCCTGCGGAGCGGACCGGCGCCCCACGAGCGCGAGAGTGATTACTACTATATCTACGCCCCATTCTCGGTGGAAAGGCCGCACATCTCCAGCCTCCTCCTGACATGTCGCCAGATCCACAAGGAGGCTGCGCCCGTCTTCTACTCCGCGCCCGTCTTCCGAGTCTCGCTGCAGGAGACGTGGAATGTGTTCGCCAAGCTCATCGGGCCCGAGAATCTGGCGCACGTCAGATCCCTCCGCGCGCCTGTGCATCTCCAGCAGGCGCAGAATTCAAGTTCCCCCGCGCTCGCATCTGGGATCAACAGCAACAGCAGCAGCAGCAGCAGCAGCAGCAGGGGTAGGGGTAGGAGGAGGGGGGTTGCCCAACCAAACGCGCCGGCCGCGTCGGTGCTGCGGCCCCCCACGGGTAGTAGCTGCAGGAACGAGGAGAGGAAAGTCTACGACGAATTCTACGACATCCTGGCGACGCAAATGCATGGCCTCAGGGATCTAATGCTTGTGTTAATGTCGCTACCTCACGGCCAGGTTCGATCGTTGCAGGCGGAGTGGCATGGCCCGCTCCGGCGGCTGAGGGGACTGAGCAAGTTTTCGCTTGAGATACGGAATGACGCCGATGCCGAGGCTGAGGATACTGCGGCATTGGTTATGTTTCTGAGGGAGACGGTTTGTACGAGGAGAGATGAGGATGTTGTTCGCTTTTGAGCTTGGAGGCTTGGAGGCTTGGAAGGGGAATGGGTTTTGATGCATTTCTTGAAATTATCTTGTTTGATGATAATTTGGTAATAGCCATTTCTGTCAAGTAGTCATGGAACGTTGCATGTTTGTATGTCCGATGGGCTTCTATTTATAGTATATCCGTAGTTCACTTTTACGGTGCGTGGTTTTCAGTTGGGTTTCAGTTGGTCTTCCATTTTCATATTTAGATGCACATATATTTATTAATAATATAGTAATAATATAGTCGTTCATAACCATGTGGGTTCATGGCTGAGTTCATCCTAATAAATCTAAATGCCAATTTTTATAATTTCATATGTAAGGAGTGTTGGTGCGTAAAATCATGTACATCAACGGCTCGATCATGGTAGAAGCCCCTCAAAGCGAAGAAAAATTAAAGAAAGGAAAAGAAAAAAACATAAATATAAAAAAATAATTATTAAAGTCATGAGGGGTCATAAAAGGAAGGACAGTAGTCGAAGTGCCGCTAATGCTATACGTATACGGGAATAATTTGAAAAACGCACTGAGTAAAGAGGGCGGAAGAGGGCAAAGTAAAATGGGAGAGCAACGGATGTCCGTTGGAGGTTATGGAATTGAGGGATATGATTGGCCATGAGATAGATGAATGAAATGAACTGTAAAATCATGATAATACTAGACGCGGGTTGGAGGTATTTGAAGCATAGTCAATGGGCTCCTCTGCTTTCCGCTCTTGCAAAAGTTGTCGTTCATGTCTCGCTTAGAAAAAGACGAACCTCCGCAATGGAACATATGAGGTAACTGGAGGGGGTTGCTGAGGGTAGGATGGAGCAGGCTCCTGGGAGTAGGAGGGGGGTTGCTGAGGGTAGGATGGAGCAGGCTCCTGGGAGTAGGAGGGGGGTTGCTGAGGGTAGGACGGGGTAGGCTCTTGAGAGTAGGAGGGGGGTTGCTGAGGGTAAGATGGGGTAGGCTCCTGAGAGTAGGAGGGGGGTTGCTGAGGGTAGGATGGGGTAGGCTCTTGAGGGTAGGATGATGGCGGTTGTTGAGAATAAGAAGGGGTTGGCTCCTGGGGGTAGGAGGAAGGCGGCTGTTGCGAGTATGAGGGGGTTGGCTCCTGGGAGTAGGAGGATGGTGGCTGTTGCGAGTATGAGGGGGTTGGTTCCTGGGAGTAGGAGGATGGTGGCTGTTGCGAGTATGAGGGGGTTGGCTCCTGGGAGTAGGAGGATGGTGGCTGTTGCGAATAAGAGGGGGTTGGTTCCTGGGAGTAGGAGGAAGGCGGCTGTTGCGAATAAGAGGGGGTTGGCTCCTGGGAGTAGGAGGAAGGCGGCTGTTGCGAATAAGAGGGGGTTGGCTCCTGGGAGTAGGAGGATGGTGGCTGTTGCGAGTATGAGGGGGTTGGCTTATTAGAGTAGGAGGGAGGGGGTTGCTGGGAGTAGGATGGAGGGGGTTGCTGGGAGTAGGATGGAGGAGGTTGCTGAGAGTAGGATGGAGGAGGTTGCTGAGAGTAGGATGGAGGGGGTTGCTGGGAGTAGGATGGAGGGGGTTGCTGGGAATAGGATGGTGGAGGTTGGTGAGAGTAGGATGGAGGAGGTTGTTGAGGGTATGTGGGAGGTGGCTGGTGGGGGTAGGAAGGAGGAGGAGCAGTTGTTTTCGGTGGGGGATATTCCGTTGGCAAGCCACCGCAGGCAGGGCCGCCACATTCAGTAACAGTGACGGTAACAGTTGCAATGATTGGGCAACCTGGAATGCAATATTTGTATCCAGGGCACTCAGGAGGAGGCGGTGGGGGAGGCGGTGGGGGAGGAACAGTGCACAGGTGGAGGTGGTACGAGCGTTTTAGTGATAGGGTAGCATGTCGTTGTGGTCCAAGTAGATGTAGTTACCCAGGTACTGTAAAAAGTATGACCACCCCTGGAAGTGACTGTTGTGGTGCAGGGGACTAATGTCGTTTTGGTTATTGTATCAGTGACAGTAGTAGTGGTAATTGGGTAAGACTCTGTAAAGCTGGGAGGAGGGAATGTATCGGTAACGACAGGTGGGACTGAGTAAGAGGGGGGAACCGAGTATGAATCAGTCACGGAAGGAGAAACCGGGTATGAGTCCGTCACTGAAGGAGGTACTGAGTACGATGGCGGGACTGAATATGAATCAGTCACAGATGGAGAAACCGGGTACGAGTCCGTCACTGAAGGAGATACTGAATACGATGGTGGGACTGAATATGAGTCCGTCACTGAAGGAGATACTGAATACGATGGTGGGACTGAATATGAGTCCGTCACTGAAGGAGAAACCGGGTACGAGTCCGTCACTGAAGGAGATACTGAGTACGAGGGCGGGACAGAGTATGAGGGCGGGGAAACTGGATAAGAATCCGTAACACTGGGAGACGGGACTGGGTAAGAGTCGGTCACAGCGGGCGGTTCCGAGTAAGAGGGAGGAGGAACTGGATAAGAGTCCGTGACCGATGGCGGAATTGGGTAGTCCGTCGGCGCTGGCGGTTCAGACACCGGGTAGGAAGGAGGAGGAGGATACCTCCCCGGAAGCGCGAACGCAAATTCGGCGAGGGCCGCCACGAAAAGCGCTGCGGACACCTTCATGACGATAACCTGAGCACTCCTGGCACAGAAATATGGTGAGGAGAATCAAATAAAATTAGAACCGAGAAGGGCCCGAAGGCACGAGAGCGACAGGCAGACAGCTATTCACTGAAAGCGAGTGGATTTGTTCAGGGGAACAAATAAAATATCTTCTCTTGAGAAGATACAGTTCTTCAAACGAATGTAGGCAACGAGGGCGTTGACTGGAACTTGAAGAAAGGGGAACACCGCTCCCTTTTGAATATTTATACCCGTTGAAACGGAAGATATCATCGTGCCCAAGATCCTGGCCCTATGGCTCTCAAAAGCGTCCAAGCCGCTAAAGCGACAGGGAACTGCGCTCGCATTCCCGGCTGATCCGGGTCTTAGAGAGCCCCATCAAGGGAACGAGGCCTGGGTATTGAAGGATGCCAGCAGAGAGAAGCTTCAGCACGCCCAATGATGACGGGGCTGCCAGCTGATGCGGCCACAAAGCGGACCTGCAACTGGCGCATGGCTGTTGCCCAGCCCACCGAGTGGATACAAGAATCATGGATGGTTCCATGACCAAAGTTGTCTGGGCTGATCTTGTCCCAAGAGCGCAATTCGTATTGAGCTGGAGGTTGTTGATATCAAAAAAAGTCTCACAACTTAGACATGGATGACTAAAAGCGGTCAAGAATGCCGTCAATACGGCGTAATGGCCAGCTGAGCCGCATACAAACGACGTCGGGCGGAATTACTAGTCGTATCGGTTAAAAATAGACATGTAATAAACCCATCGCGCCTAACCGTTCTCGGGTATAAGCCCACCCTCTTAGGGCTTGCATCTGATGTCACTGACACGACGCCATCTCGTTGCTCGATGGCTTGATGCTGCGTGCATTTCGCCCTAGAGATGCACTTGGCGATGTCCAGATCAGATACCCGTCGTCACCATTGGCCCGGTTTCAGGATGGGAAAACGCCACAAGTCGCGTCATAGCCACTCATGGCTTCAATCGCGCTTCCGTCCTAAAGAGGCTGTGGAGACTGACAAACCACAACGACCCGAGCTTCTCGACGATTTCTTCTGTCAAAGACTAAGGAACAAGGGTCAAGGGTCAAGGGTCAAGGGTCCAGCGATGTTGTGCCAACGGCTATATCATTACATTGTGAAAGCCGAGGATAGAACTGTTACCCCAGTGACCAACCAACCCTTCAGCTCCGACAGTGATACTGGTGCCCTCTCAACATCATCACTTCTCCAGCAAACGAAACCCAAACGACTGTCCCCATATCTTTTGATTTTGAACTACGGCGCTAGTAGAGGAAACATCCAAGGTTTGTATACGAGGATACCGGGTCCTTTGCTCGGGACTCTTGTTTTGAGAGGGAACAAACAGTCTGGCCTGGATACCAGCTGGTGCTATTGACAGGTTTCAAGGTCTGGTCTCTTTTCCAAAGTCTCTTTTCCAATCCCCATCGGCTACCTTGCTCTTATCCGAGAAAATTGTTGCATGAACGAATTTTTGATATATCCGCCATTTTTTGTCGGTTATTCCCCCGCCGAACCTGTACGTCCACCTTTTTTTCCCTCTTTTTTTTTCTTTTTTCTTTCTTTTTTTTTTACTGGGATGAAACTTTCCGATGATATTAGCCCGATTGGTTTTCCAAGGTTCGTTGAAAATTTAATCATCACTGTTATACAATTATAGCGGGACTTAAAAACTTGCCATGCCACCCCACCCATCCATCATCTACTTGAAAAATAAATTTTCACACCTTAACCTCGTGGTGCACTGGGTGACTCAATCATCATTTTCACCTGAGAAATGGACTGTACTGGACCTGACCAATCTTGGTATACTGAGACATATTTTTCAACGTTCTCACCTGCTAGCCACGGGGGCGAGGAGAAGCATTTTAGACATTTTCCACGACAAAAAAAAAAAAAGGTTGCTTCACACCCCCGCGCCATTCAAGCTATCTAAGTCTTGTTTTTAGGGCTGGTGACTTGTCAAGCGCGGATATCTGCGAACCTCTGGAAGCTATCTAGTTGCATACAATGAATGGGCTAGAACTAAACATGTCTCAGTCCCTCGCTCAAAGGATATACCCCGCCCGGCATTCTTTTTTTTTTAAATCCTCGCCAACAAAGTTACGATGTGATTCTTGCGTTGACTGCCACGTCTGCTGTGAGGCTAGCCGCAGGCAACCGGCCACATGTGAACAAGACTTAGAGCGGCCAAGTCCTGGGCTGGTTTGTGGATGATGATGTGACTGTCATCCCAGCAGACTCCCGCCATTCGGTTTTCCCCTGCTTTGGGTGACCGCAACTTTCCATGTGAGTGTACTATTATTAGACACATACGAATTGTGTGATGTGTGTGTGTGTGTGTGTGTGTGTGTGTTCACATTACCTTTTGAGGTCACGGTTCGTGCTCAATATATCTTGGCATTCTGTTCACTTGCCAGCCACACTTCCTTCCGATTTAGTAAATCACCCATAGATTTCGTCCATGTCGAACGGCTTTCGCAGCGATAAAACAAACTAATCCCGCGAAATAGCAGACGGTGGTAAACGTAATGAGGCCCCAGTAATTTCCGCCATTGCTGGTCAGAATCGAGCCTGCGATTGGAGTGCCAGTCAAGGTGCTGCAAGGAGAAGTTGTGTGAGCATCGACAATGACCCGTGGATTTGCATGACATCAAAAAACCTCCAGGGTTACATACCCAAGACTAACAACCGTATAAGACGTTGCGTAATACCGCCCATAATTCTCAGTCTTGCAGCATTGGCCGATGCAGACAGGTGTTAAGCTGATATTGCTCCCACTTCCGAATCCAAAAACTAAGGCGTATACCACTAACATTGCAACGCTATGGCCAGCGGGCAACCACAAGCATGCGCAGGATAAGAAGCAAATCGCCACTGTCACGATCATGGTATTGAACCTCCCCATATAATCTGCAGTGAATCCTGGGATCCATCTCCCAAAAAAGGATCCTACGTTAAGGATCGCGAGCACCTGGTGGGAGAACTTTTCCGACATGCCATGCGCAAGAGCGTATGCGGGGATGTACGTGATGGGAATGAAAAGACCCCATTCTATAAAAAATACCCCAAGTGTCGTCAGTGCAAATTGCGGCTCCCATAAGATGCGGAAATCAGGAAGGATATTTTTCCTCGTTGCCTTTTTCTTGGGCAATCTCGATTTGATCAATATGCATCCCATCGTTAACGAGACAAGCGTAACCAAAGCCACAGCGCGAGTTGCCCATCCAAATCCCACTTTGGGCAACAGATCCTGCAGCATTAATGGGAATACTATGCCGCCAACGCTCCCCCCTGTCGCGGCAATCCCCGTTGCCCTGCCCCTCAAACGATAGAAGAAATGGCCTGGGCTAGCGACAGCCGGAGTGAAGACCAAAGACACAGAAATTCCACCAACAATCCCCCAGACAACCATGAAATGCCAATATTCCTCGCAGAGCCCGATAAGGGCGATACTGAGCGTGACCATAACGGCGCCCGCAAGCACAAGGAATCTAGGACCTTTGGCATCGAAGATTGGGCCGATTTGAAGACCACCAAAGAACATGAGGAAGGTATAGATGCCGAAGATCCAGCTGATGCTGCGCTGGCTATAGTCCTTGAGCTGATGCGTACTTATCCATGCTAGAAATGATCCTAACGAATTGGCAAGGCCAAGGGTGCCGAAGAGAGCCATGAACGATCCAAAAACGACAAGATACGCCTGTACGCCACCTTCGGGGTATATATTCCCATCAAGATCTCTCGATAAGCCGTCCGGCTCAGGCAACTGGGGCTCTGGGGTGTTGCTGTTCTCTGGGGGATGGGATGAATCTGATATCCTGTTTGGGTGCTTTTCGATATCCACTATATTATTATCATTGTTGTTGTTGTTGTTGTTGTTGTCGTTGTCGTCGTCATCGATGGCTCCTGTGCCCGAGAGAACATTTTCGGCCTCAATTAACCCCTTGCCGTTATTCCATTCTCCTCTCGATTTTTCGTCCGTCTCAACGTCGCATATCTGTTGCTCGCCAGATGTTGCTGAGCCCTCCAGGTGAGCGGGTGATGGCCCCTGTTGTCCATCCTGAGAATGCGCTTGGTCGCTATTATTATGCTCGTTGAATCCCCCATCAGCACGAGGGGCTTCAGGAATTGTTTTCATGGACAAGGGAAATACCGAAACCACCCAGCCTGTTCCTGAAACGTAAAATTGTCCCTTTTCCCTTTGTCCTTTTGCTGTCAATATCGTCGTCCGCTCCAATGAATGTAGTTACGACATTGTGGGCTAAAACTAAGTCCCTCGTAATCATTCGTAAGAATAAGCTATGGTCGAGAACTGTGAATTATCCTGCATTCTGCCCTTCTCTCTCTCTCTCTTTTTTTTTGGTTCTTTTTCGCCCTCGGGATTCGGAAAGAGGAGAAATAAAAAGGGCGCTAGGACCAGCCCTAACATCCCGGCTTCCTTTCCTTTGCGCTGCTTGCCGAAGGGAATCGAGCAAAATTCAACTTTCCTTTGCAAAACCGTTTTGAATCTGGTGTGGAGAATCGCCATCTCTCCCACTCAGAGCCGTTTATGGGCCCACGCCTCTGCAGCCGAAGTATTTCCCGGACAAAAATGGGGTTGGCCAGGAACCTCCATCTCTGCGTATTATTAATGCATGGCGTTCAAGCGTGCTTTTTTTTTTTTTTCCTTTTCTTTCCCGCACTCTGACTGGTTGTGGATCCCGATTGGTAGCTCGTTTACTTTCTCACGAAGAATTGACTTTAGCAGGAATTGTTTTCTCTGCCCCACACAACGGGCGTTCACCACCACACCAAAGGATCAATCCCGAGAGTGGACCAACCCACTTTGAGATATGCACACGATGATTTAGCATGTTTGATCTGACAGGTACAATGTCGCAATTTTCATGTGGTGATCAAGTACGTGGTCAACGATGCAGTATCTCATGTCATCGTGAAATTTAAAACGTCTGTCTTCTCAATTTTTGAATAGTAAACTTCTTTCTTAATCCGTCCGCTCTAACTATATAACTAGGCAAGATGATGACTACTTAGTTATACTTGCTGTGTGGCCGACAAGTCTCAAAGACTGAAGCAGCAGTTTAACAGTAATCACGGCACCCGAACCTTCTCCCGCGGTAACGCCTCAGGAGGCTTACTCAATGCAGGAGTGGTGTAAAGCTTCCAAGAGTGAATACTACCATTCCGGGTTTGCAGACTTGGAGAGAGCTGCTAGTAAGGCAGATGCACATGATTGCTTCATCGATTGCAATGGATATCCCCTTGTGGAAGCAGTCGACATAATATTAATCTATCCCGGAAGGACAGATTACTACATTTACTCATCAAGTATCGATATTAGCCATACCCACTGCCCCCCCCAAGGAATCGCTGCCGCTACTGTTGAACAAGTTTCTGGCAGAGAAGGTGCGTCGGATGCAATTCCCCCTCATCCTGGACCCCGGTGGCACCACAGATGTGAAAACCCCTTAGTCGGCAAGAGCAAACTGATCGCTCGCGGGCTCCTGCTCGTTCCTTGCTCCCTCCCGGGCGATCCCAGGCCGGGCTAGCGGTTTCTCTAGAAGAGGGCATCACCCCCCGAGACCCGAGAAAAAGCCACATGGGACATGGGATGGCAGCTGAATGAATCCCACGGCAATATTTGGATGATGATTTCGATAGATATAAAAACGGCCAGGCGGGAAACACATATTATATACAATCAGTTTTCCTGGGAACGAGGGGCAATGCCCCCCAAAAGAACCTCAAGTGAGACAGGACCAGGGCATCAAAACCATATCGCGGGAAAAAAGGGGGGGGAACGGCCGAGCCCCCTGTTATCGTGCCGGATATTGCTCCTATAATTCCCTTTCACGCGAGATAGCGCTTTGTAACGCCAGGCCAGGAGCGCGTGGCTCGCTTGCTTACAAGGAACTTCTGTTCCTGGCCAGTCGAATATTGCAAGCAATGGGATGGTATATGAATTGCTGAAAAGAGGGAGAAACATTTCCGATATCTACATATGCCAAATTATCAGCGCAGCGGGGATGATGTTGTCTTGGTAGGTTTAACATTGTTGTTTCCAGGCAGCAGGATATACCTTTGTACTATGTCCAATATATATATCTACCCAGTTGCTTGGGTAAGAAAGGACACTGATTCCTTCTGAAGAGGTTAGCTACTTGCAGCTAGATGAACTAAACTTTGATTTCAAACCGCGATCGCCCATCTTTATTTACAATGGAAATTTTTTTTACGTCCAACAAAGTTGGGATGCGCGAGTTATGGATCAAATGGAAAACACGGACGGGGGGTTGGGATTCGATATTAGAAACCGAAGCATTATTATATATTCCCCCCCAGGGCCCCATATGTTAATTAACTAATGACAGAGCTGGAGATGCCGGCCTAACTCCCGCCCTTTCTAAATGGTGGCTACTACATATTTACTTTTTCATGAAGCATACTCGTGCACAGCAGGTTCCTGAAGCTCACTCTGTCTACCGACCTGTTGGTTATTCTTGTAAGATATCCAATAGCTCCAGCATACACCCCACCATCCACCATGATGTTGCAATGTTGCAAAGGTGGCTCCGGTGCTGTGTACTATTTCTCTGAGCTCTGTTCTTTCGTGGGTTGGTGGGGTTTGTGCGAGGGGGGACCATTTCCAGGGTGTTCTTCTTCTTCTTCCTTAATCGCTTACAATCAGCATCAACTTCAAGCTTTTCTTTTGGCAACAAAGGAGATATAAATAGTAATAATAATAGTAATAGCAATGCTTTTCCAAAGTTGAATCATGAGTGTATCTGTGGAGGGAGGAGTTTTGCTTTTGTATAAGTAGTAACAGGAGCAGTAGTGGCAGTAACCTGTTAACTTCTTATTTTAATGTAGTTGCATTCCATTCGAGACATGATGCCTATTAATACTAGTTACAGCTCTACATAGTATAGCTTTTTAAGAGAAGAAGAAGAACAAATACTGACAGATCCTTCTGATTGGATCTTCATTCAGCCTCTCGGAGAAACACACGTGGCAATAAATTAAGCCGTTGGGACCTGATTGACTAGCTTGGGTTCGAACGCCTGTGTCAAATCTTATCTTTTAAACATGCTGGGCTTGCCCCGTCCGCCGTCCGCCCGACCAACGAGAGAAGGCTCCTCTCAGCCAACAGTGCGTGCTCATATATGGAGTTGGACGACATGCAAATACATACAAAAAAAATTATGTTTGGGGAACGATTCATCTCCAAGAAGGATTGAAATTTGCGTTGTTGCTGATTGGGAGGATCTGGAGGCGGGGGGGGGGGGGGGGGGTTGGTGATATGATTCCATCCGGCTTACTGGTACTTACTTACCTCTCACCGGTTCAATGTCTTGATGAAAAGGGGAAAGGGAGAGATCCATATCCATATATATATAGATAATATATTCTTTTTCTCTCGGGCAGCTGAAGCTCCAATGTGGTGGAATTCTTACCCTTAATGGAGAACCCGATAAAGACAAACGGGTTCATAGTATCTCAACCCTTTTCTAAGTCGCCTGGCGGAACCCGCCATACATTTTTTAAAATCTCCCCCGCTTTTTCTTCTCCCCTTTCTATAAGGAGTTTCACCCCGATCACCACCCCCAAGCGCAACCGTATTGACAACCAGCTGCTCGGACGGCGGCCTCGGGGCCTTCCCTGTAAAGTATATACGGAGACACTTCTTCCATACCTCCTGAGATTCAGAAAAGGCTTGTTGGCACATGTAGCTAGCTAGCTGGCTAAGTCGGTGGAGTGTAGTGGAATGAGGGATTGGGAAATTGGCGACTTGGAGAGGAGAATGGGCCAGCAGGAATTTGGATGGAATTTGCCAGAGTCGCTTATAGCCGGGACAAGCGAGTGAGAGGAGTTCTCTCCATCTCTGATTAGTAGATCATGGGTTAGTATTCTTCTTCTCGTTCTTCTTCTTCTTCTTCTTCTTGTAGCAATCCCGATATATCTTCCAATTGGAGACTACCGGAAGGAAGAAGGAGGAATGATTCCCCCCAGCCATTGCAGTTCCTCTTAGCGTTTTTTCCTAAAGGGACAAAAAAAAAATCTTTATCTGACTCCTTCATCTCTGCACCTCACGCAGGAAAAAAAAAACGGATGAAATAACAAGTGCTATTTTGGTGCAAGAGGCCTCCGCATCTCTCTATACTTATACATATGTATCCTCGTAACCATCATCATTGCGCGCAGTAATTGGTGTAGTGCAGCGCAGCACCGCATTGCTCAGCATCACCCGCCAAACTCCTCACCGTTGGCGATGTAAGACGGATGAATAGCAAATAAAATCCTCGTACTAGTTAATTAATTCAATTGACTAACCAAACGACAGCGCCTCCCCCCTCGCTATATTCTTTCCTTGTTTTATTACTAGTACTTCTGTGATCATCAGCGGGTTGGCCGCAGCCTCTCGCTATAAATCACCTAAGTACCGATGAGATCGGATGGAGATTCCATCGTCCATCGTCCATCGTCCATGCTTAGGGCTAGTGCTGCTGGGTAGGTAGTTCAACGGCGCTGGTTTTATGTTTGATGCAAATGCCAGTGCCTTATTATTCCTGCGTTATCCAAACCTCACTTTTCATATATCGTGATAGCGAGTCTCTTCGTTACTAGTACTACGAGTGGTTGGTTGTCCAAGGGAAAATCCAACAAACGGATTCCTTCCTGGCACAGAATACACGGCAGGATATATATATACTAGTATCCCTCACTGCTGTCCATCGGCCAATTTCTAATTCTCCCTTCGCAGTTGGCGGCTGCATCGATGAGCCGATTCTCTCTTCAATTGCTATGTATATTGACCATGTAAAAACGGGGGGTGGCAGGAAGCTCTGGCAAAATGCCCGTCCCTTCCCCACTTCCCTGCACTCGACCCACCAGTTCTTTCCATCCCTGTCCCTATCTTCTTCTCCCTCTTTTGCCATCTTCCTCGGCTGGGTTTGCGGGAGGCATGTCTCAGTCAAACCAAACTCGAACGAGACTCGAGTGAACCGATTGTCTCAACCCTGGGGGGTTTTGGAAGGGTGACTGCGTTGTGCGTCTCTTATAATACATACTCCTAGTATACAATATCTATCGTCATTACCGGGTGCAGCATTTCTACACAGCGTACAACGACACAGTGCATTCAACCCTGACATGCGGGCGCTTGGCATGACGAAAGAGGCTGGCGTGGTCGCGCTGCTTCGGGAATGGTGTCAGATCCAGTGGGGCTTGTGGGGGGCGACGGACCATGGATACGGGTGGGTCCCTGGAACCGGGGCAGGGGTTAGCCCCCGAGCTGGCCAATGGCTGCGGCCGGGTGTCACCAGGGCGGGGGCGCTAGGGTCTATCCGGACTAGAAGAACCTTCCACTGTCGGTGTCTGTTGCCTTTTGCTGTTCGCTGCTCTTCCGACGGGATCCACTGATCGCCCGCCTGGCGCTATCTCGGTGGCAGCATCGCTCGTATTGCTGGTGTGTCTATGTCTTCTTTCTGATTTCTTTCCTATTCCTCATTTTTGGGACTTTTCACACGGGAGGAGAGGGTCCATACCGAGGTAGCATCCGTGAATCGTGATCCCATGGACGATCAGCAGCTCTTGCGCTGTTCCCCTTGCGTGGGCGACAGGCGACATGGGGCAGCAGAGTGGTGGATCGTCGACGCACATCCCTGGACCAGGTTGACCGGGTTGGCCTCTCCACTATCCAACATCCCCGTGACACTGGACACTTTCTCCGCTGTGGTTGATGTACCAGTGTGCATTTATATATCATATACGTAACCCACATCCGGGCCCGCTGCTCGTCATCCGGTGGATGCGGGTAATAAACTCATCCGTCGGCTCGTATAATATACACCCTTGGGCTTCAATCCGCTCTGTGTGCATTTTTATCTTTTATATAAACCTACATCTATGTGGATATATGTCTTATCTTTGATTCTTTGATTCCTACTGCGGCTTCTCTCTGCCCGCGATCGCATATACCCTTTGTTCTCCGTCAATTGACAAACACCCTCCCAAGCAGCAATCTGGGTTATTATTTGGTGATTACCTGATTCACCCTGTGGTCTGTCCTGCCCAAAGCAACGGTTTTCAACCACCGGGTCCTCCATATTCCCCTTCCCACCAAGAAGCCAGACGCCAATCCGCCGCGCACATGCCTTGACATATCCAGCCCTGTGCAACCACACACAGCAGGACATCTCTCCCCCCGCCAACCAGAGTGAGCCAGAGGCGAGAGAGAACCAGAGCAATCCCCGAACGCGCTTTTGTGTGTCTCTGGTAGCCACACAACGCAGCTCCTCCTCCTCCTCCTCCCCACAGCGACAACTCTCATCCATCGCGCCTACATCCATCCATCCATCCATCCACCGTAACCAGACAAGAAGAAAGAAATAGAGAATAAGAATAACCACCATCAAACACCATGCCCCTCCTCGTGAATCCCTTCAGGCAACAGGACCACTCGTCCTTCCCTGGCGTCGTGGTGCCCCTGGCACAGGCCCCGCGCCACCGGAAATTCTCCCGTTCGAACCCCAACCCCAACCCTGGAGACGGCGATAAGGCGGACAATGTGGCAGAGAAGGGCTCATCGTCTTCCCTGAGTGACCGGCAGTACTCCGGGTGGACCGTGGAGGCCATCAGGGCTGAGGTGGAGAGCGATGCAGCCACGTCGGGCAGGGATACTGCATATGACCGTATGTGTTTGAGTGATGATTGATGGTTTTTTTTTTTTCCTGCTGTTTTTGCCTTTTACCCTTTTTCAAAAGAGAGAGAGAGAGAGAGAGAGAGAGAGAGAGAAGGAAAGAATACGTTACATATATATACGTACCGTTGAGAGATTTTGGATTTTGGACGATGATAGGATCTAATTTTTTATACACACATTCACTTGGTTTATTTATTTATTTTTTTTTTAGGGAAATCGAAAGTCATCAACTTGGCCATCCAGGATATTGGGATGGGGAAGTATCAATGGCAGCTGTTTGTGCTCTGTGGGTTTGGTTGGCTGGCGGATAAGTAAGTCTGTTCTAAACTGAAATGAACTGCTGATCCCTTGCTTTTTGGGGGAAAAAATTGCCTGGCTAACCCGTTGCTTATTTTCTGCTTATATTGCATTGCAGTCTCTGGTTACAGGTGCGTATATTTCAGGGGATTAAAGATATCCATCCAGGTAGCTGACTGCCCAACCTTTTTGTTGCAGGGTGTTGCTTTGACCTTGCCTAGTCTCTCGGCGGAATTTGGCATTGACGCTTCATACGTCCGCTTCACCACTTGCTCTCTGTTTGTTGGCCTGTGTGTCGGCGCCGTGTTCTGGGGCACTGCGTCGGATATGATCGGTCGCCGTCTCGCCTTCAACCTGACCCTTCTCATCACTGGCGTTTTTGGGCTTGCGGCGGGTGGCAGCCCAACTTGGGTTGGGTAAGCTGAATGAGAGACTGCCTCGTGGGCTATCGAGCGCTGTATACAATGGCACGGTACTTTGCGATGAAAGCTTACTTACATATTGCCTTTTTTTGCTAGGGTCTGTTCAATGTTCGCATGCCTGGGCTTGGGAGTCGGTGGTAATCTTCCAGTCGATGGCGCGCTGTTTTTGGAATTCCTGCCCTTTGCGTCAGGAAATCTTCTGACGATGTTGAGTATCTGGTGGCCCGTTGGGACCCTTGTTGGAAGGTATATATACTAGTCCATATATATAGAGATTTTCCTCTTTCCCATTCTCCTCCTCCTCCTCCTCACCTCTGGGCACGCCCTACGCACCCCATTTCCCCGAATTTCCCTTGGTAGAAGCTAACAACGGTCCATCCCAGCATGATCGCCTGGGGCCTCATCCCAAATTTCTCCTGCGACCCGTCCGCGGTACTTTGCACGAAGGAAAACAACATGGGATGGCGATATCTAGTCATCACGCTGGGCGGGCTGACATTCGTCATGTTCCTGTGCCGATTCTTCCTGTTCCACCTCTACGAGTCGCCCAAGTTCCTGCTCTCCCGGGGCCGCCAGGACGATGCCGTAGCCACGGTCCATGCTATAGCGTACAAGAACGGAGCCAAGACATGGCTGACTTCTGAGATCTTGAACGAGATTGGCGGCTACCCCGAGGAAATCCCCGCTGAGGAGCGGAAGCTGTCGAGTGCGGAGGTTATCAAGCGGCAGCTCGCAAAGTTTTCTGGGCAGCGTATTGCGCCGCTTTTTGCGACTAAGAAGCTTGGGTTTACGAGTATGTTACGCCTGTTTATTTATGGTGTTGTTGATGGCGATGATGAAGGAGGTGAAGGTGAAACATAGTAATCTTAAACTAAATTCATTTCTTAGCTGTTCTCCTTTGGATCTGTTGGGCCACCATTGGCATGGGATACCCCCTTTTCAATGCCTTTCTGCCCCAATACCTGGGGAATAACGGAGAAACACCCGTCTCGATTGGTATGTCCAGAGTATCAAAGCCAGCCTTACCTTCAGCTTCTGCTTGAGTGAATAGAGATTGCACAAAGAAAGAGAAAGAAAAAAAAAACTTCATTCAACCCAACCAACTCACCAAACAATAACAAAAAATAAAAATCCTCAACAAAACAGTCTACCGCAACTACGCCATAACCGCCGTCGTCGGCGTCCCCGGCTCCATCCTGGCCTGCTACACCGTCGATATCCCCTACATCGGCCGCAAGGGCACCATGGCCATCTCCACCGCGCTCACCGCCGTGACGCTCTTCTGCTTCACCATCTCCACCGACCCGGACGTCCAGCTCGCCTGCTCGTCCCTGGAGGCCTTCTTCCAGAACATCATGTACGGCGTGCTGTACGCGTACACGCCCGAAGTGTTCCCCGCGCCCAACCGCGGCACCGGCACGGGCATCGCGAGTTGCCTGAACCGCATCTGCGGCCTGCTGGCGCCCATCGTTGCCATCTACGGCGGAAGCGCAAATCCCAAGGCCCCGGTCTATGCGTCTGGCGGGCTTATGCTGGCGGCGTTTGTGGCGATGGTGCTGTTGCCTATTGAGACGCGGGGGCGGGCGAGTTTGTAGGCGGAAAAGAAGGGGGGGGGTGCCGGGGGGGATTGTGTGTATCCGGTTTATTTATGTTTAGGGAGGATTAATTGATGGTGCTTTTTTCGCTAAGTTATTACGTTGCTGGGCACGAAGAAAGAAAGAAAGAAAGACTTACTGACTGGAAGCTGGAAGAGGGGGAATATGTTGGGTGGTGAGCGATACCGGTATGTTTTCCTTCCTTGAGGCTCCATCCCCATCGCCTTTTCCCACGACGACGAATGGAGAGAGGGGGAGAAGAGACAGTTGATGTGTGGTGGTTTTATTTATTTATTTTTCAACTGCTGTATTGTATCCACATGGATGGATATACCTCTTCCCTTTCGTTTGATCTAACTAGCTATCTATCTATCTATCTATATATATATATACTAGGACAATATAGGATATACCCCCAAGTTTCTCATTGAACAGATTTTGATGAATGGATGGAATATCATTCATTGTCCTCCACATCCCACTACGCTACGTCCTCCTGATACCTGCAATCAATCCTTGGAACAAGTCGCATGCGTGTCCTATATATATACTATTACATATGACATATTCGTTAGTTATCCAAGCTCAGGTTTTCCAAGAATAGAATTTTTTTTTGGCCCCTTCTTCTTCTTTCTTCTTCTTTCTACTTCTCCTTGCTTTCTTTTCTTATCTGTGAAACAACCCCTTCCCCCCCCCGTATCATGCTTTAAAAGGGAGAAAGGAAATGAAACTATTTATTGAAGGCGCGAGCGGAAAGGAGACGCGTGGGGAGGGGAGGGGGGAGGGGGGAAATGATGCTGATATTGCTGGGGATGCTTGGGCTTGGTGTAGATTGGAAATATATAAGATAGATCAAGTTAAAACAGAAGCAGGACTGGATGAAGAGTGAGTTGGGGGGGGGGAAGGAAAAAAGAGAAAAGAAAAGAAGAAGACGGAGGGATAAAATTTGATGTACTGTAACCATATGAATTTATTTTGCTACTTGCTTCTCGCGCTTTTTGCTTGTCAATTTCGTCACTTTTGTAATGTTATTTTTATTTTATTTTATTTTATTTTATTTTGTATTCTTATTTTATTTTTTCCTTCCCTGCTCCCACCCTGAGGGGTCAAGCCATCAGTTATATATATGTATATATTAATAAAATATATCACGATATATAGATATGCAAAAAGCGAGGCGAATAAACACAAGAATAGGAGTGTTGAGAAAAAATCAGTGAGGAAGCAACGAGGAAGGAAACAAACCGTGGTGCATAGATAGTATATATAAAAGACAGGGGGGGGATTAAATAGAGGACTCATCACAAATAAATCGGAACGAAAAAAAAAAATCAACATCGAAAACAGTAGTAAAGAATGGAGGGCGAAGAAAAAGGAAAAAGGGAGCGAGAAAGAGAAAGAAATTTAAGGACCAAGATCTAGCCAGATCTATAAGCAACGCACGTTAAAACATCCAACATCAACACGCATATACCCAACACAGACTCAAAAGGGAAATGAACAAAAACCAAAATATTCTCATCAAACAACCTCCTGTCCTTGCAGCCGCCTGCCCCTCCTCCCCAACAACGTCGCATTGTCTAAACTAAGCTCAAATGGCTGCATTGCCGATCGCGCTGCACTCTCCCTCGCTGCAGCCGCAACAGCGGCACTATGTGTACCATAACCACCACCCCCGTGTTGTCGCTGCGTTTTTCTCTGCTGCTGCTGTTGTTTCTCTCTCAGCCTCGCCTGTGCTGCCGCACTGGGCTGCGTAGCAGTAGTTGCATTCAGATTCGTGGATTGTAACTTCGCCCCCATGGCGGCTACTTCTGCCGGGTTGTGTCCCGTCCGCGGCACCACCTTTGCCGGGTTCGCAACATTTTTGTCTTGGTCATAATGGATTATTCCCTCGAGAACGTCGTCGTCATCGCTATTAACGTTATCGCCGTCATAGCCTTCATCGAGTGGGTCGAGTGCGCCACGCAAGCCAGCACGGAAGCCATGTTTGAAATTCTTGCGTCGTTTGCCCTCTTCTTCTTGGCGATGGACAGCGTAGCCAACGTCAAAGACTTCGCGGAGATTAATGGCACCCGGAGATCGGAAGTCCATTTTGCGATCCATGGCTGCGATAGGGGTTTCTAGGAATTGCGAAGGGAGTGCGGCTGCGGTTGCGAGCGGGGGTGCATCGGCCGCAGCGTGGGTTTCTTCGTTGGTCTGTTTGATCCACGGGTGTTGCAGGAACTCCTTGATGGTGAAGCGTTTTTCCGGGTCGACGGTTAGCAAGTGGGACACCAGGTCTTGAGCAGGTTTGGAGATGTCGTCCCACCAAGGGGAGAGGAATGTATATTGACCCCGAGCGACTTTCTGAGTCAGGACTTGGATGCTCTCGTCATAGAAAGGAGGGAAGCCGCATAATAGTGTGTAGAGGACGCAGCCTAAAGCCCACATGTCGACGCTTTTGGAGTATCGTTCGTCCTTGACGATTTCAGGGGCGGTGTAGCCAACTGTACCACATGGCGTCATAGTTTCATTATCCCATATTACCTTGGAGAGACCGAAGTCGGCCACTTTGATCACACCAATACCACCCCCTCCAACATTGGGAATGAACTCGCCTTCATCGGCTTTTTCTTCGTCACCAGGAGCACGCTGTTTTGGATTTTTAGTAGGAACGAAAGGGATAGGGTAGAAAAGGAGATTTTCAGGTTTGATGTCACTGCAAGGGGGGAAAAAAAAGGGGGGGCTGTTAGCGGAGTTGCGTCATTCAGGAGCCAGCATGACACCATATAGGAGTGAATACGCACCGGTGAACAACACCACGGTGTTCATGCAGATACTCGATTGCCTTCGCGACCTGTATGATAACATGGCGACTGAGGTCTTCGCTAAAGTATGTCAACCGAACGATTTGGTGAAATAGTTCACCACCGGGACAAAGTTCAAGGACAATATAGTAAAACTGCCTCGACTCTGAGAACTCAATCAACTTGACGATATTGGGATGGTCCATTTGGCGCATTATTTGAACTTCTTTGAGGATGTTGGCGCGCTGTACGTAACAAAATATGACAAGCCAGAGAGTCAGTGATATGTTCGGGTGATTCGTTGGCGGGAAGGTGCTTGGATAACCAAATTTGATAAAGAATGATCCAAAACTTGGATCCAAAGAAATCGAACCCAAGACGTGAAAACTTGGGAGTCAACTAAAACCTCACCTCCACGATCTGTTTTTGCTTCTTTTTGAGGTTTGGATGAAGATGAGCCTCGCCCTAGAATTCCGCTCTTCGATGTTGGCGACTGTAAGAAAAAGGAGATAATGACGGAAACTTTGAAATAACGGAGAAAGCCAGGCGCATGGCATACGGACAACATGCGCGGCAACATATGATAAAATGGGGGAAAGGAGGGTGGGGGGGGGGAATGAAGAAGAAAATTGAGAGAGTATATATCGAAAAGAAATGGGAGAGGAGAAGAGATAAGAAGGAAATGATCCCTGGCTTAGCGATAGGCGCGTACCTGCTTGGAGTTCATCTCGAATTTACGCACGACCTTGATAGCAACCTCCCCATATTTCCCAGTCGTATCTCTGGCTCGATATACATTACTGAAGGCACCATCGCCCATTTTCTCGACCAGATCCCATCTCTCCAGTCCCGGGTATTTTGGCATCGTTGACCTACTTCGCCTCTCCTCCGCGATTATCTGTTCAATTTCCGACTCGTGGGCCCTTGCACCTTTGCCAGCTGCAGTCCCCAACTTGGAATCCAAAGCATCCAGGCCGCGGGCCGCAGGATATTTGCCCTGTGGTGATTTTTGTTGTTCTGCGTGGATCGCAGAAACATTTGTCGTGGGTTCCGCATGGGGAGTGGCAACGCGGGCCTGCTTGCCATGGCGGATGAAGTTCTTGAGGCTCTGAATAGTACTCATGATGGGCAAAAGTGAGCCCGGAGCTGGCTGTTGCAGGACACCTTAAAAAAATAACAATCAAGAGAATGCCACGTCAGGCCCGTCAGTTTACAAGGAGCGGTCGGAGCGAGACTTCTTTCATCAAAACAGAGCGATTATAGAGGGTCGCAAATCACAGCTGATTTAGTAGCATTTGATGTGAAGCTGTCAATCAATGAAAGGGGCAGAGGAGAGTTGAAAGGAACAATAAGCACGTCAGGGTAAAAACCGACTCCAGATCTGAAACGTAGCGGAACGGAATGTAAGCTGGCCTGATAGATAGGAAAGTATTCGGGAGGGGCAATTTTGGTTAAGTGGCCAAGCGGCAAATAACAAGGTGAAAGGAACAGGCCACCTGGGCAGAAGGAAAAGGCTGGGTGGAAGATGTCAACCAACGACAAGCGGATACAAAAGGACGGGGATTACGCAGTATAGGGATAACAGGGGGAGAGGGCGGAGGGCGAAAGGAGAAGAACAAGGAGAAAGGAGAAAGGAGCAGGATGGAGTCGACAGAAGACGGGATCCTGCGGAGGATCGTTGGGATGGTGTTGGTGGCAGTAAAATCTTGATTGTCACTGTCTTGGCAAGAATCATGCAGGCCAGGTCAGGTGAGGGGAGTTGCAAAACGTCATAAGGGAGTGGCCAGCCGGAAATTCAATATAGCGGTATGTTGAATTGCCAATCCATACGTGGGATTGCTTTTGATTCATTGAGTGTGTTTGTTATTGAGTCGAGAAAACAATCTGATGTTCAACAGTGGTAGGTTGTAGTAGCCTGGGGCTTTCTATGACGATGGTGTGTTTGCTCCAAGGCTGAGCAACTGATGTCATCGACAGGACCTTTTTTGTCAGCCCCACCAAAGAGACCGCAGCACCCATGAGCCCTACTGGGATCTTGTGGGAATTTGTCCCTTTTGATCCAAGTTGATAACAAAAAAAGAAGGAGGAAAAGGGAGAATGGCCGCAAGGTTGAGAATGTGGTCAACAGCGCGGGCTGACCATCCGTCAAATCAAATCCATCATTGCTCAATCAGATCTTCGGTCTCTACGGTGTAGTAATTTTTATTCATCAAGTTTCCATCATCACCTTGCACGCGCTAGCAATTTGCATTTGTAATCTACAAACTCTCAAGAGACCCGAGGTTGATTTGGGGAAATAGTACCTAAATTTGGCTGTAAAATTAGGTTGGTACCGCAATGCCCGGAACTATATCAGATGTTGATCATGTTGATATTTGTAGCTTAGCAATCCTTGAACCAAGAAACTCCTAGTACACCTTCTCAATCAACAACATACTATTGGAGTTTGGATAGATAGAACAAAAAGGGAAGCGAGAAAGAAATAGGGGCCATATAAAGGATTGTTAATTTAAATACTACTAGTAGTAGTAATCATACTGTACAAGCTATCGATCTTGTGCGCGTCATCGTAAGCATAAGCGCTCTCCACTCTCGACCTGGACTCGTAACTTACTTCAATAACTCCAACCTCGTCAAAGCATCTCTGACAAGCCACAATAGCCTCTCCTTTCTCGATACCCGGTGCCAGCTGGGATCAGACGTCCACTGGCCGCTGGAACAGGTCCTTAACGTTTCGACATGATCTGGACCACAGCCAAGTTGGCGCAGGGAGAAAAAACTCATCAAACAATGCGAGCCCTTGCAGAACACCCAAACCCTATAAGAAATTCGTCCTGGTCTGTCTAACGTATATGTGAGTAATCACATTCAATACCCATACGTCTATGACAGGTCTTCCCTCCACTACTCCCGTACTAAAACCCAAGATTAATTAGCCTAGGACCATAAGTGCCTGGGCGTGGGCATATTGAAATATTGTTTTCCCAGTCTCAGCTCTCAGATTGTTATCGCAGGGAGGGAGACAGAAGAGATGATGAAACCCTTTTCACAAAATAGTATCATTCTTAATGATTTCTGTTTGCCAAGCATATGTGTGTGTGCATGCATGCATGCGTCAAACCGCGCGAGCTTCGCTCTGCTTCAATTCCATAGCCATCAGAGCTGTGCTGCCGCTCTCTCTTTTAATCAAAACCAATGTCATCGCTATCTCATTTCCCAGATTACTCGCTCTCCATTGGATGGTATTGATATCATGCTGGATCTGAATGGTACTGGAGAATCCATTGACTAAATGATTTGTGAGAATGAACAGCTATCAGTGACGAGTGACGGATGGGCAGAATATTCAATTACACCCTTTGTTGAAATCTGGTAGTTGACTGGATGAGATGCTAGCTTCATCAAGACAAGTGAGGAGAATGAGGAAACAGGGGAAGCACGGCGGAAATGATGGGGCTCATGAGAATGATCAGAAATCCCACTCATCTCTCTACACTTTTCCCAACAAAGCAGATGGACATCGATCACAACCCGCCAATTCCCATTTCTGTGCTTCGGTTGAAGACGAGGGAGAAAGGCCTGGTGATAAAGGTGAGGAGTCGATTTCTGAGAAGGGACATATCTTTGATCTTTCATGGAGCAAAAGAGGATACCTTCTGACGGGCCCTCCCGCTACCATCCTAGGAAGTAAGGGAAAGTCGACCACTACGCGCTCCTGTCATCTGTGCGTGGCAGCCTCCCATAATATACGGGTCTCCTATATTCCAAGTTTTAGAAAATTCACACATCTATTCATAGATCTAGCTTGTTTATGTCTTCTCCCGCTAAAGCCACAAAACTTAGATACATTACGAGGTAGCTCTTTCGGCTGGATTAACTTATGAAATACTTCGTACTCACGTATTAATACCCTTTCTCTTGGGATATTCTTCATCTATTGTAAATATTTAAAAATAAAACAAGGGAAAAATGAGTTAGTTATTTTATTTGTCTGCAGTTGCCATACTTACCGTCTAATATCTGAAATCCACCATCTTCTCAGTCGTACCTGAATAGCCCGAAGCCACCCGATGTTCTCCAGGAATTTCCGTCGATGCTTTTCTAAAATATCATTTGATAGTCTCAGTTCTCGTACGCAGTAATGACTGAGAGGTTCTGTGCCACAAAATGCATATTCAGACGAGTTAGCTGTCACGCTTAAAACATACCGACTCTAGACGTGTTAAATATCGGCCGCAATCCTGAAGAGAATTTCTGAGCATTCTCTCTACCTCTGTCACGCCGTCTGGAGATTGGGGTCGTATCGACCATTGCCCTGCCGTTGGCTGGCCATGGGTGGCAGTACCGGTTTCCGGCAATCAGGGAAATGAGGGGAACCGCTGTAGTATGGAGGTCCGGATTAACGTGAAGAAACGTGGAAAGAACCCCGGCTCTCCACGCGAGAAAGCACATCTCCTTTAGATGCTCCCCTAGCATCTCCGATTCTCTCCTCAATGTAGAGGTTTCGGTTATTACACACTGAGTCAGGAAGCACAAGCACGGAGTAGGGAGTACTAGTGCTAGTACTAATAGTCATGATGCCAAAGGGAAATACCTCAGAGTGGATATCGCAGGAAGCCAGGTGTACCACTTTGCATAAGGTGATATGCATAAATACCACTATGTCCCTCACCATTGCTTTTTCATAGTTTCAAGCTTCCACGGCGTTCAATCTTGTAGGGTTGGTTGGCTTTTCTATGCTCATTTTACCCAATTAATAGAATATAAGGGTTAAGTATTCCTTGATGGCCGATCGGCCGGGCGATCTCGCAAGCCCTCATAATAAATAGCATTCTAAAAACTTCCTGGTTGGCGCTGTGAATGCGGAGGACGGACAGTGCAAATGAAGATTCGTTGGAGTTTTGATGCCAAGGCCGGCTCCACTAAGCCAACCAAGCTCTTGGCGCACCAGTTTCCAGCCAAGGTTCAGCTGCCCAGCAAACTTAGGGCTTTCTTCACATAGAACGAAATCTCAATTACTCGCACTACTCATGTTAGCGGGCGAGTAGCGCGACTGGAGACTCCTGGTATTGATAGATCACCAGCCTCCAAGGGTCCAACAAAACGCTTGATATCCCGCCGATAAACGATAAACGAGGGAATGGTGTTGTTTGTGATTCCGAAATTCGGCAGACCGGGGTTCGAACACCATTGGGTGACATCGGCGTACACTCATTTTTCGGCCCCTGCAACCCGTGTGGGGAAGCTATGTCAGAACCCCTTGAACGGTGAGGGGTGGGGGCGGGGAAACATTGCTCGCTGACTCCTTGAGATTCGGTCAACTACATCCTTCTGGAAGAGATGACCGCTGGCTATTCGGCCAAAATCCAAAAATGCAGCTGCCTTACCGCAGGAGTCAAGGTCGTTATGAGCGATCAGCAAATGCCCTCAGGGATCTGTAGTTGGACCCCGCTTGATCTTACCGGTGAATGTTTGCAAGCAACATGGCACGTTGTTGGAGGCATATAACCGGGGTTCACCCGCCTTTGGATGTCGATGTTGGTGGCATTTGAAACGTTTTTCTTAAGACATATACCTTCTCCTGGTGGATGCCAGAAAGTATTTCCGGTCTTCAATTAAGCCATGTCGCGTTTCGCCAAATCGGCATTGTGCCTCTTAGCAGCTGGAATCCCAGCTCTAGCACAATTTCCCCCCAAGCCGGAGGGGGTCAAAGTTTTGGAATCTAAGTTTGGTGACGGTGCCAAAATCACCTACAAAGAGGTGAGCAAGCATATTTCTATCCTTGACCCGTTCTTAGCTCATATCGATGGCAGCCAGGACTTTGCGAGACAACTCCGGGAGTGAAATCGTACTCTGGATACGTTCATTTACCCCCTGGTACGCTGGAGGGTCTTGATGATAATCAGGACTATCCCATCAACACATTTTTCTGGTTTTTTGAATCAAGAAAGGATCCGGAAAATGCTCCTCTGTCAATTTGGATAAACGGCGGACCTGGAAGTTCTTCAATGGTGACACCCCCAGTGTAATTTTCCTTTCTCTCTTGTCCGATGATCTAAATAATGACGTTAAGCGCAATGACCCACCAATTCTTAAAAAAATTTTCAAGGCGAATAAAAGAAGTAGATGCAGGTATCCACTCTTACTGACTTTGGGAAACAGATGGGCCTGCTTGTTGAAAACGGTCCTTGCTTCATCAATCCCGATTCAAACTCAACGACATTGAACCAATATTCATGGAACAATGAGGGTGCGGCTTAAACTCTCCGTTGCTTTTGAGAAGTTTTCTACTAATATTCTGCAAAATAAGTTAATATGCTCTTCTTGGATCAACCGGCCCAAGTAGGCTTATCATACGATACCCTTGCCAACTACACAAAAAACTTGATCACAGGTAAGCTCACCAAGTTGGGTCCTGATGATCCAATTCCACAGCAGAATGCTACGTTCCTGGTAGGGACGTACCCCAGTAATGAGCAAGAAAACACTGCGCTGGGTAGTCGTAATGCCGCGATTGCCCTGTGGCACTTTGCTCAGGTATGGTTCCAGGAATTCCCAGGCTACCACCCAGGGGACTCTCGAATCAGTCTTGCCACTGAGTCTTATGGTGGTCGCTACGGCCCGGCATTTTTCTCGTTTTTTGAGGAGCAGAACCAGAAGATCGAAAATGGTACTTGGAAAGATGATGATGGCGATATGAAAGTATTGAACCTCGACACTCTGATGATCATTAACGGCTGCCTCGACCGCCAGGTACAGTGGCCCTCATACCCAGAGTTTGCATTCAAGAACACATACGGCATCGAATCGGTCAACGAAACGATTTACAATTATATGGTCGACTCCCTCGTTAAGCCCGGTGGCTGCCGTGATATGGTCGATGAATGCCGCGCTATTTCCGCTGTCTGGGACCCGGACAACACCGGCATCAACGACACCGTCAACGATGTCTGCAGCAAGGCCGAGAACTACTGCTCTAGCGAAGTCCGCGGGCCATATCTTAGATACTCAGGTCGCAATTACTACGATATTTCACAGCTCGAGCCAGCCGCATTCCCTACCCCATTTTACCAGGGTTGGCTGAACCAGGCACACGTCCAAGCCGCACTCGGAGTACCGCTCAACTGGACTCAGTCCAACGCCGCCGTATCCAAGGCCTTCCGAAGCATCGGCGACTACCCGCGTCCAGGTTGGATTGAGGATCTCGCTTTCCTACTTGAGAACAACATCAAGGTTGCTCTCGTTTATGGAGATCGTGACTTCGCCTGCAACTGGATGGGCGGCGAGGCGGTGAGTCTCGCGATCGACTATGTCGACTCAGAAAATTTCAGGGCAGCCGGCTACGCCGACATCCGCGTCAACGACACATTTAACGTCGGTCAGGTAAGGCAATATGGCAACCTCTCATACTCTCGTATCCACCAGGCCGGCCATGAGGTTCCGTCCTACCAGCCCGAGGGTTCATTGAAGATTTTCAACCGCGTGCTATTCAACAAAGACATTGCCAAAGGTGAAATTGACACCGCCGTACCGTTGCCCGACGGTGATGGGAAATATTATAGCTCATCGGGTCCGCCCGACACGCTCGGCTTCAAACAGGATCCACCACCGCAATATCCTAAGTTCTGCTATGCGCTTGACCCTGGTGTTTGCACAGAGGAGCAGATTGAGTCTATATTGAAGGGCAAGGCGGTGCTCAAACACTTCCTTCTTGTCGATCAGAATACAAGACGGTTGTTCCCCGAGGTGATTGGGGATGGCGGCAGTCCCACATTGCCACCTTCGTCTGGGTCGAGTTTGTTTGTGAAGGGTATCGGACGACAAGTAGGATTGTTGGCTATTCTCACTGTGGTGGTCTCTGCAATGATGTTTTAGACCGGTGGTTGAATCGTAGACAGATGAGAACCTTACCATATATACGTTATGACAAGGGGTTGAATATTATTACCTTATGTATTTAGATTGGATAGATAACTCTATTGTCATTCATTTCGACTTCATTGAGTCCGATCGGAACTCTAGAAGCGTGTTTCGCCTAACGGATTTCCTCGTCAAGCCCAAACATTCACCAACTTCGACTGACTGCCATAGCGGCTATCGTTGTAAATATAACTTGGCTATTATCGATCGATAGTATCAGTAAGTTTAAGCACAGTGTTGGGAATCAGCACAATCGCATGTGTAAAGGGAGGCTATTGAAAGTCGCAACAAGCCACTCCTTCGCACATTACTTGGAAAAACAAAAATAAGGCTAGTAGACCACTGACAGGAATCAGGTCTTCAGGCTTCGTGGAGCGGGGTCATGGCATAACTGTTTATGTCTTTAGGTATCCAAACCAGAATATCGCATGCATAGTTCGGTACATGACGCCCAAAGCGAGGCATATGCTGTGTTGGTGCGCGCGACTCTACCAACTACTAGTATTTGTTAGCAACAGCTTCGAATCACCAGAGGGTTCCAGTGGATTGCATACTGAGCGCTTCCTAGTTACGAGACATGTGTCCACAGTCACTGTCTGCCGGCCTTAACCGCAACGGATGCCTAGCAGTGTACAGGTCAGTCAAGTGGGAAGGACAGAAAGGACAGATACACCAAAATGGTCATTGCTGATCCACGGCGAGCACTTGTGATGGTTCCTATTCAACTTGTCATATTACAGAGTTGTTGGTGATGTTGTGGTTAAAGTCGTCGTTACCTTCCCCTTGATTTATCGGCTTGCCAAGATGGCACCCTTTAGTTATTTACTTTGCTTGAAGAGTAGCCCAGCCTGTTTTTTGAACCAATCTCTTGGAATTGAATACCCTGGCTCACGGGGAGTAATCTGCCGACTTTGGGACGCGCAATTCTTTGAAATGAAATGGACGTCTCCAACCACTGGCGGTTGGTTGGTCTTTACAGCTGTATCAGGCAGAACGACTGCCCTGGGTGGGAACGACACTGATGGGAGGTTGGTAATCATAGCCATTATCCGGGAAATTATGATCAAATGAATGTATATATTCTAGTTACTGGTGTTGTTCACTTTATCAGCCCCGAATATAATGCATCTTAAAGTCAAGGCCTGACCTGCTTAAATGCCTTCTTCACTCAAGTTTGTGTAATGGCCGATGATTTCACTGAAATAGATGCATTAGGTGTAAAACTCTGAGAGAAATATCACATTCCCAGAGACCTTGGTTCAAGGATCAACTTGGAACGATTGGAGTAGGGAGCAGGCAATATCATACGTTGAACTTCCTGTTTTCTTGCACACAAATCGGAAATTGGAAGCACTAATTTTTCCATTCCAGGATAGACAGTGTTAAAGTCATGTCTTCCCTGCCGACCTGCATGGCGTGTTCCGTGCATGATTGGGTTCGAGTGGAGGATGGCAGTTCAAGCTTCCTGAAAATCTGAAGACAAAGACTGGCTGATAGGGCCAGTTATGTAGGTCAAGATAAGCCTGAACCATACAGGTTCTTGCGAGAATAATGGCCCACTGTTGCAGATTGGAGAGGCTTATTCACTCAATGATGACAAGAAGCAGCTAAAACTAAAGCAGAAATTATCAGTAGGAAGATACCAAAGTCGAGAGCCACTTTGGGGAATACAAAACAAGGGGAAAAAGACAAGTGTTTCACAGTTCCAACCCACGTAAACTTTGAGCAAGGGTCAGCGATATATGAGTGACAAAGCCAGCAGAAGTTTACAAATATATAGTTTTGAATAATAAATGATGTGCGAGAGCTCTGGTCCATTATCCACGCCGACAGGGCTTGGAGTTGCAGCATACCCGCATCTTAACAATAGGAGCCTGTAATCGAGCAGATGATGCTGTATGGGGCATCAGATTGTATCCAGTATGGCGGACGGTTGACGTATATATTTCCGGCTTCACGCCGCAGTCGATGCTGCAGTCGATGCTGCTATGAGGCAGCTGTATTTGTGAAATCGAACTCCACGGTTTCCAGTTTCCGATGAGAACGCAGCCCGAGCCTCAGCTTAAATATAGACAGGGCAGATTTCAGAAGGTCCGGTTGTTCGGTGAGCTTTACCAAGGATTCGGCTGAGTTTTGAAGGTGACAATCAACTGCTGGATATGGCCTGGTCGGGGGCCTTGCATCAATGCTAGGTGGGAATCATGAGACACGTTAGAGGGGCCACTTGCAGGGGGCTGTTTGGCAGGTAAGATCAAAAGCTTCGAGAACAAGACTAAGTCGCTGAATGAACAATGAATGTCGAAAGCCGAAATAAAACGAGTCTTGATGGAAATATTCTCTTACTCACAGTGCTTGCTGCATTGGCTGCTTGCATTTGGTGTTTCCTGCTTGGCTCTCGGCCTCGCATGCTTTTGTTATCTCCAAACCTGTTGGTTGTTCAAGGAGAAGATGGTGACTGGCATATTTTTCTTTCTTCCTCGTCTTCGGCAGGGGTCGCCATCACTGCGCCGTCGTGCATCTGCAGCTGCGGCGGCTTCATTGTCGACCACTGTGCCAGCCCCCTCTTCCTCTTCCTATTTGCCCTTTGCAGCTCACGCTCGTCACACTTCTGGAGCGCTGTCAACTGCTCTGAAGGCGCTGGCACTCGTTTTTCACTTGCTAGAATTTCCCTGTTTCAATTATTTAGCGCCTCTTCCAGACTCTTATTTTAATATTCAATCACAACTGTCCCGAATTGTCGCCCCCGGTTATTGGCTGCTTGGTGCAAGACACCTCATATGCCGTTTCGTAATTAAATTCATATCATCCACACTTGTCTGTTCCTGATATCTGTTGCTTTATGTTGCAAGCTTAGATCGCCACCCAATAGACATAGACACAGACTCACAGCAGGTCGACGCCCCTTATTTTATCGATTATTTCGAGTGTTTCCAACCCAATACACCACAGTCCATCGTGCCTCGCGCTCGGTTCCGGCCCATCAGACGTCACATTTCCATCACAGTGCAAGCAAGGCTCGAAATTAGCCATCGCGGTGACCACAGAGGAAGATAGATAGCCCGTTCTTGATCGCCAACGGTCCTCTGTTCGCCTATGGCGTGACTTTCACATTCCTTTTAATACCATCTCTCAGCGAACCAGCGTTGTGGGAAATAATTGGACTGGAGTTCCGTCAGTGCTGGAAGTATCTGGAATCATTCTTCGTAATGCGGCCGCTACTTGCGATAACGTGAAAGCACATGGGCGTCAAGTGCTATGAGCTTCTCTTAGAACGGTGGAGTTTTTCAAAGTGTGCAATCAAATTTCTTAAACCGGCACCGTTGTCCTTGAAAGACCACTCCATTATTACGAATCTAAACCAAGCCCGCCTCATTGATCTCCATCACTATGCCGTCAGTGAATACTCTGGAGCCGAGCCCAATAACGTCGCGAGCAGATCACCCAGGTCTGAAGGCCCATAGACCCCTCCCGCGAAAACGCGATATATTACCAACGCAGGAGTCGACATCAATACCTCCATCGTCCAGTCCGAGACCAGATGTCACGCCTCCCTCGAACGGATACGCTTATCCTACCGCGCCAGCGCTCCCGCTGACACCCCCTGGCCTAGGATTAGGAGCCTGCGAGAAATCAAGCAATGGTATTTCACGAGAGATTTCCCACGAGCTTATTCCAGGCACGACAGGGACTGGTACGCCAACGCACCAGCTGAGCCCCCCGACACCCGACATTACGCCTCCACGAGCTTTCTCTCAGTTTAAAAAGAGGGAAGGTCTTACTCCAATACACCCGTCCATGTCCTCGAGGGCTGAGTCGTTCACAACTGCCCGAGAAGCTTTGTCATCAGAGGAAGAAGAGCTAGAAAGGAGAAATGTGCCCGCGACACCACTATTGCGCCCAGCCAAACACAAGCTGCCTCACCCTCTACGAACAAATACGTCATCTTGGGAGCCAGAGATCTCGAAAAATGCAGGTCCACTCGAGGACGGCGTCGTTGCAGAGGGAATGAATGTTAGCCAGACGGACGCAACCACGTTTGATTCTTTCGATGGCCAGCGGGCTAAGCCACAGGAAATCGTTACTACAAAATTCCAAACAAGGAAACACAGGCGTCGGCCAATTCTTGGGGAGCACGATCCATTCTCCCAGGTCAGCAGTAGCCCTTCTGATTTGAATCACATTTCTAAATCATCGTCGAGCCGGGAAAGGAGCTTGAAACAGCGTGTGCAAGATTCTCAAAATACTCCCCATACCTCGTCCGTTGAGGGGTTTGCGGAGGATATAGGATGGGCCGCGGAACAGGAACAGCCGGATATGAGCGAACGCATCCACATTTGGCGTCTCTCTGGGATCTCAACCACATCAACCGTGGAAGCTATCGTGATAGACTCTCCACCACGAAAACTGCCGACGTTACGGCATACGAAAAAGAAAGTCTCCCTTCGTTCTGCCAGTTCACCTCTTCCCAAATCACACTTTGACGATTCAACGTCTTCTTTGGCGGACTCTCACCCTCGTTTACTCCGAAGGTCAGCCCGGATTACCAATGAAAACCGATGGAGCGTGTCATCAGATATGTCCTTCGCCGCCAGCGCAACCTCCACGCGACCAAAACCGAAGCACGATGTCGTACCGGTTGTAGTAATTCCTCAGCGGCGATCCTCGTTGAAATCTACACATTCTGGCAGCAAGGACCATTCACGAACGCATTCTCTCGGTTCTAGTTGTCGGCCTGCAACTGCGCCGGACAACTCTATCGGGTCTTTTGACATAGCTCGGCGGACAAGACGCACTTTATCCGCATCTCTACCTTCCACGACCTCAAAAAATGTGGGTTGCGGCAGTTATTCGTCCGGACCAGTTATTCCCCAAAGAAAGTCCTCGTTATCCGCACCTACCAGTAGAAATAACTCGAGGGCACCTTCGCTGACGTTGGAGAGTTTGCGACATGCACTTCCTCCTACCTCCCAACCCTCTGCCCCTGAACGCCGCAATCACAGCGCTATGGATTACGGCGCTATGGATCCTGTATCTATCAAAATCCCCGCCCAGGAACCTGCCAAACAGTTTGCAAACCTAACTCCACATACAAGCCAACAGCCATGTGATGAAAACGGCCCAATGATATCTCCGTCCCTCACTCTTACGCCGTTTCAAGCATCCATTCAGTCATTATCTCCTGGCCCAGTGGAGATTCACGAAGCCAGGGCTGTCCCGTTTTTCTTCCATAATAACAAGTCACTTTTGCTTGTAGATCAGCAGCCTATCACCGAATCACGAGCTGTTCAGGAGCTGCGCACCTCTCCAGGCGATATGGAAATGAAAGTTGTTCGACCGACGACCCCAGATACATCTAATCAAGACACAATAGCTGATGTTGACTCTCCACTCCGAAACCCTCGTCCTCCGCCAAAACCCCCTGCCGTCAAGGTTATTCCTCCAACACCTATGGATGAAATTAACCAACCCGCTGTTCCAGAAACAATCAATTCCGAAAAATTCAATGGCGGAATGCGTCGCCTTGGCTCAGTTCGCCGTGCTTTGAGCTCCCGGAGACGTGCCGAAACATACACTGCCCCGGTTTTGTCTCAAAATGTACGAAATCCCAAAGCCGGCAAACACATAGACAGCAAATTACATCCATTTTGGTTACCTCGACCATTTTGGGAAGGACTTGTGGACTCTGACATCGATGGCGAGGGTATCACCAGGCCTGATTCTCCTAGCACGAGGAATATCGATGATCTGTACGTCAGTAACTCTTTGGGTATACCGCATAAGCGCGTCGTATTCGCCGGCCCACTGTCAGTTCTTCGGCGGATGTCCAACCGTTCTCGGCATCGGACCGCGCATCGCAAGAGTGGCAACCAAGAATTTCCATCCTTCTACAACACTGGTTTCCCACCCCTTCGGGTACGTCCTACGCGCCGTAATCGCAATTTTAGGCCAAGAATGGTCTTGCAAGTGCCCATACGATCCTTACGCGAGCTACAACAGCGGATTCTCCAGATCCGGCGCCAGAGGGAACAAGATAAGCTTGAGGAGCGAAGAGACAAGTTGAGGAAAAGCATCGGGGGACGAATTCTAACGAATAACACTGCCATCATCTTTCCAGATGGTCGATAAATCTCATATAATGAAGATCTTTTTTTTTTCCCGGCGCCGGTCTCGCGTATCTACGAAATATAACGAACAGGGAAAGTTTCCACTATTTTTGTTTTTCAGTTTGATATATCCGTTTGATCTTTTTCCTCTATATACCTCATCGGTTTTTCGTTTTATTTTTATTTTGTACTGCTTTTTAGCGGGTTATGCCGAACATGCAAATTTTACGTGAGAGACATGTATCATCACGCTGTGTTGATATGATATGACGATTTTACGAATACCTTCTATTGATGCTGGGCCGGGTCTGAACCTGAGAATGGTCTCTTCGATTTAGCGTGGTTTCCCTCCTCGTTGATCTGATATATATTTCTATTTATTTTATTATTTATATCCATGATCCCACTTTCCCGTGCTTTCAGATAGCTGTGTCTTGCTCTTTTTGTTGCCTTGGTGCCCGTTTGTCTCTCTTCTTTCTCGCGTCGAACTTGGTGGTTTATAACATAGATACGATAATGAATTTATATGAGTATGAGACGAGCTGTCCCTGAAAGGAAAGAAAAAGAGAAAAAAAAAAAAAGAGGGGAAGCGGGGGGAAAGGGGGCAAGAATGCAATTGGCATTCTACTCGGACAGGCAAGCGATTATAACGATGCTTGGAAGCCCAGGCGGCTGGAAATATGAGAATTTTGCTTCAACATTTTTATCCCGTTGTTTTCTTCTGTTATTCTGCTGTCATCCTGCTGTTCTATTCTGCTCCTCCTGTGGCCCGTCCTCTGCCTCTCTCTTGGCTAATTATATATCACTGCTTGCTGGCTCGAAGCTTGAGAAAACTGTCCCACATGTCCATTCTGCAGATGTATACTAACACTTCTCGCCACAAAAGTGATGCCTTTTGCAATACAACGGCTAACTTCGTGGCACGAATGGATTTTGCAAAATCTGCGCGTACTACTTGTGATAATGAAGAGATTCCTCCTGTAAATTCTCTCTCACCACTCGAATGACAGGGAGTATATATATATATATAAATATATCATCTTGAAATTGCTAAGAAGAAGGCAAATGCAATCACCCTCTCCCCTTTGCTCAAACTTATCATCCATCAAACCCTCCCTGCGGCTTTCATCCGTTCCAATGCTTCACTCCCATCTAAAAATGGTTGGGGCGCCTTCGAAGAATCAAATTCGATCACTGGAAAATCCGTTTCATCACCATCACCATCGTCCTCTCGATCCTCCCGACCCCCCTGACCTTCCCGCCCTGCCTCCTGCTTCTGTCCACTTCCACTTTCAGACCGCTGACGACTCCCGGTAGCTATAATGGTAGACCTTAACTCGACATCTGCTGGGTGTGCGGAGGGGTTAAGAGGCTTCGAAGATTTGGTTGGTTTTGAGATGGGTTGTCTTGGAAGTAGTAAGGTTCGGTGGTTTGGCGGACTTGTCATGTTTTTCTTCTTCTTCTTCTTCTTTCTTGTCTTTTCATTTATTTTTCCCCTTAAATTTTTCTTTCTTGGAATGTTAATGTTGAATTTTCCTCCCTTGGGAACGCCGCCAAACTTGGAGCACTTGCCCTATCCCACGTGACACACCCCACCAACCTCCAAACTCACCGACATCGGACACAAGTCGAGTCAATCGCTCAGTTAACCCCGCCAACCGGCCGCAAGAAACACTCAGACGCTGAGATTTTGCTCTTTGCGATATCTGCAACCACGCCTCGACGTGGCGTATCCTGACTCTTCTCCTCCCACGAGTGGTCGCTTCCCTGCGGTCCCCTGCGACCCGCCAGGGGCTTGACCTTGCCGATTACGGCCTTCCGTTGTCCTATTGCTGGTCTTCCCCGGTGAGAAGAGATTCACAGCGTGGCTGCCCTGGCATTCAGCGACGACCGTAAACGCAGGGCCAGTGGCAGTGGGAGTGTCGCTGGCGTTGGCGTTGGGAATAGTAACACAGTCGGAAGCGGTGCTAGTGCTCCAGGGAGGATAACAACTCCCACCGGAGCAGCAGCAGGAGTTGGGCCAGCAGAGCAGCACGGCCGCAGCCGGCGTCCCAGCCCCGCAAGGAGGAATACGGTTGGTTCGTTTGCTCTTCGCCCTTCTCCTGCTTCGGTATCAACTCTTAGCGGTGGAAACCAGAGACGCAATGGGCCTACTGGAGGTCTGGGTAGTTCGCAAGGAAGCATTGAGGATACTGAAGAGACGGAGAATAATACCAACAATACCCAGGATGATCGGAAGAAGCAGCCAGTGAAACGCGCTTGTAATGAGTGTCGCCAACAGAAGGTGAGATGCTCAATTGATATATTTTGCCCCTTCATTCTTTTATTTTTTTGTCGTAGATCGGTATACGTTTATTTTTCTAGTCTAAATGAGCAGTTTACTCACATGTTTTGCAATCGGCTAACGTTTGTCTTCCAGCTCCGGTGCGACGTTATACAAGAACCTTTTGCAGCTTGCTCACGTTGCGGTCGTCTTAAGCTGGAATGCAAGATTGAGTCGAATTTCAAACGGATCGGCAAGCGTAGTCGGAATGCTGAGATGGAACGTGAGATAATTGAGCTGAGGAGACAGATTGCGAATGCCAATGCCGCCGCCAATGCGCAACAACAGCATCAGCAACACCAGCACTCATCCTCCATCAACCAAGGCCCTTCATCAATTTCTACGCCGTTTAGTTCATCTCAGCGCAACATATATCAGACGTCGACGGGCCTTTCAGGGAGTCAATATATGGGATCGCATGAGGCTGTTGCATCACTGCTTGATCTTCGATCAGGACTGGATTCTTCTAGTTTTCTTAGAAGCTCCAGTAGTCAGGTTGCAATGGCCAAACGGCTTGAAGGGGTGTCACTCGCGCCAGAACGGGTGACGGATTTATTTAGCCAGTTAGTATTCTGGATTGAAATTATTGAGCGAATCCAAATCACATTTATGCTAAATATGGACTAGGTTTTTCACATTTTATCACCCTTTCCTCCCATTTCTGGATCGAGATAGGTCACCTGAAGAATATCACTCCACGTCGCCGCTCTTGTTCTGGTCTATAATTAGTGTGGGTTCGCGTCGATACCAGGCCGACCCTACTCTTCTAAATGCTTTGTCGGGGCCGGTGTCGAGATTGGTATGGAGTGTATTGGCAGATGTTCCTCAAAGCTATCACGTCGTTAAAGCATTGGCGCTGTTATGCACTTGGCCCTTTCCCACCAGCAGCACGTCGACAGACCCAACATTTATGCTTTGTGGTATGATGATGCATATAGCGATGCAAATAGGCCTCCATCGCCCGTCTCATGCCCAAGACTTTTCTAAATTCAGGATCGAGTTCAGAGAAGGGGAGTTAAAAGATAGAGTTAAAACTTGGGGTATTTGCAATATCGTTGCTCAAAGGTATAATTTTTTTTTTTTTTTTTTTTTTTTTTGCGTTCGTCAAACCTCCAGTACTATACCTCGTACCATTGGGCGCTAACTCTCTTATCAGGGTTGCAACTGGTTATGGACAACCGTCGCAAACTTTGTTTGACTGGACGTTGTCATCACCGGAATCTGCTGACCAGAATTTCAAGCTTCCAGCGGAAATAAAATGTCGACTAGATATCGAAAAGTTTTGCGATAAAGTAACCAGAGGCCTCTACAGCAATGCCCGAGATCCTGTCGGGCTATCGTGTGATGATGAAAGATTCGTTGTAACATCTATTCTAACAAAGGACTTCGAGGAACTCGAAGGCCAGCTGAGGCAAGAGCATAATTGTGTGTGGTTTTCCTTTTCTCTTTTCTTGTCCCTTTACCTCCCTCCTCCTTTTTTTTCTCATTATTTTTATTTTATCCTTTTTTTTCGGCTGGGAGACTTTACCCACTAATAATTAATTGTATTCTAGCCATCACAAATCTCTATCTTCAGGCAGGAGGTCTCCACCTCCGCCTTGCGGCTTTTTTCGATAACCCGACAGCCAAAGACTATCGAAAAGGCCTTCTGGCGCTCTACCTTGCGACAACCCTATTTCTTGATGAGGTGCTGAATCTCGAAAAGAATGTTGGACCTGTCCTTGCATATATCCCTAATTACATATATCAGATGACTTTAGCTGCCGGTTTCATTTTGCTTAAGCTGTGCAAAAGCTTCTTCGCAGCTCACATTGACATGGACTATACAAAAGCCCTTTTCAACAGGACTATTTGGGCTATACGAAGCATGTCTGTTTCAAGCAATGATCTTCCGGAGCGGTTGGCAGAGGTATTGGCGCAGATGTGGAGGACGGGCGGAGCTCCCGTCTCTCCACATGTTTCGAGATCGTCGGTCAGTCCGGAAATGGATGACACCCTCCAGTTGAAGGTCAGATGTCGCATGAGTATGTCTCTTGTCTACGACTCTGTTTGGCGATGGAGAGAAGATTTTCAAGCCAAAGGAAAGAATCTGGAATGTACGTCCTCTCTCACTACCAATTTACGTCTGTCCGTTTACATGTCCAGGCCTGTGATTCTAACAACAATCAAACAGCCTTCCTCAAAAACCCAACCAACCCGGACTCCAATGCAGACTCCTCAGCGTCCTCTGTTGCCCCGTTACGCGGTACAAGCTCAACGCCTGGTGTTCCCGGCGCAGACTCCAACCTTCCATCCGCACCATCATCTCACACAATTAACATCGGCGGAGAAGGGAATCTCAATACATCTAGTTCCGGAAACGGGATGGGATTCCTGGGTGGTTTCATGGAACCGAATTACGAAGTATTTGATCCTCTAAATTGGATGCTGGATGGGCTGGTGGACTTCCCATACTCTCTAAATCCGGTTCAGGGACTGGAGTCTTAGGGTATCTCTTAGCCTTCTTTTCATTTATTCGTCACATTTAAACCACTATATACTGCTTCTTTATCTCCTTACCAGAATAGAACTCTTCATTTTGTAGCTGGCTTTTCCTGGTTATTTTACATTTCTATTCTCATTCTATCAAAACATAATTTGATCCAAGTCGCTACCACAGTTGGACACGTTTTCGTTCATTTTAGTGAGTTGTATATTCGCCCGAGAAAACATAGAGAAGACAATACATTATCTTCTCTGTTTCTTGGTCTTGCTGGGACCCATCCGTGTTTAATATGGTCCCGGGCATGGGAAAGCACCCCGTAACAAGGTGTTGTACGTCGCAACAAAACTTCGCACTATTTTCTCATTCTCCCTGCACGCCCAGACCGGATTTAATGCCATTGGAAGTTAGCATAGGAGAATATTTGAGTTGAAAGAGCACCCTACTTCAACGAGATAACCGTGGCACATGTGATAACTACAGCACGCTCTCAAACGTGTGATCTGTGCTTGTATGTGAATCATTAGTTGGAAAAATAGTCTTGTGTTCCAAAAGATGCTCGAGAGGCGATGTGGTATTTCTGATAGAACTAACTCTAGATGCAGTTTGTGGGTCTTCATGCATACACCAGCTGCGAATATGATGGCGCATGGCATCGTCTCTAGCTACCTGTTTCAGGTGCTCAGAAAGGAAATACAAGAGTTTCCTATCACTTCTAGACCTGTGGAGTATATATAAATAATTAAAAAAAATAAATAGAAAATAAATAGAAAAATAAAAATATTACGGATAATATAAAAAAGATGACAAGGGGAGAAGGAACATGAGAAAGTTTGCGTGATATGTTGTCATGGGTCAATTTAAGGTTGCGAGAGATGAGAGACGAAGAAGGTAAGCCGATGGAAGGGGGTATCACACCAGACCATTAGAGAGTTCAGAGTTCGAGAAACAGAACGACAGCATTCACAGTCACGTAAAAGAGCAGGCCTTATAAAGAGCCATTCAACGAGCGTCGTAGAGAAAATGCACGAAAAGACAGCGTTAAACCGCCATCAAAAAAATGTTGTCTAACTGGGTATCAACGCCTTCATAAATGGAAATCCAGCCACCCGTGTGACGTATTTAAAAACGATTGAAATCGGAACGAGATGGAAAGCATTTGGAGAATAAAACAAACATAAACCCGGAATTCGTCGCGTATGGTAGTCGACTATGGGACTCTCTCCATACCAATATGCGTGCTATCAAAGAATTGAACACCTACCCTCCTTTCTCTTTTTCCTTTCTCCATCACCGTCGCTCCATTCAGTCATTCTACCTCTCAGCTCTTCGTCCCTCCCCCGTCGTCCTACCTCTGCATCAGAATGAGAACTTGAAATCATCCGGCCTGAGCGTGTGTCAAAAAAGGCGCCACCAATTGCGAGCCTGCGACGTGGTATATCTTGCGATCTTGGCCTAGAATGTTGAGTTTCTTGGTTGGAATGGACGTTATCAAGGGCCTCGACACGACGAGGTTCATGAGATTGAAGATGAGGTGAGGACATGGCCTGAGGCTTTGTAATAATCGGTGAAAAGTTGGGTGGAATGGAATAACGGTAGGTGTAGTGTGTGCGTATTGAATCCGATAGCGATGATCTCGAATGAGTGGACTGTCTTGCTGTTGGGAAACCCTCAATAGAATCACGTGTAGCTGACAGTCGTCTATTTTCTGTGTGTATGAAGTCGGAAGTGGCGGCTGGGGGTGATGTATTAGGATCTAAGTCGAAATGATCTGTAGGCCCATTCCTACCAATTACTCGGGCAGGCATTGACCCAGCTCCCAAAGCAGACCCAGGAATAATAGATAAATTTGGGCTTGGATTTTCCAAAGATGATACCCGGGGCGGCCTAGTGTTTGGAAATTCTGCTGTCAATGACGATGCTTGTGTATTTAGTACAGGGGGTTGAGGCGGGGCGGGAAAGAAAGATGGCTCAGTTCCATCTCCATGGTTCAGTACGGGAGGCCCTATCGGACGGCTTCCAATATGGCGAACCTGGTGAATACCAGACTGGCTCTCGGTTGCAGAAATCATCCCGGATACGCCATCGGTAGCTGCTCTTGTATGACTAGAGGAGGAATGTGAGGTATTATTCCTTCTAAGTAGGTTTCCTTGCCCTGAAGTCTCTGGTGGCGTTCCCACTCTCATCCTGAGAAGGGGAATACGTTCCATGGCTGACCTCGTTCGTTCTGTAGCATTATGTGCAGTGGATTCAACTCGGGATGTTTGTGTGCGTCGCAGGTCATGGGTAACATTTCCATGAGACCTCAGTGGCAGACGGTTAGTCGGCGAGGACAGTAGCGTCCTTTGAATATGATCTGGCAGAGGCTCATCCGCATCAGGGGTATAAGGTGGCGGAGGAGGAACCCAGTTGTCTGCATCACTTTCGTGCGGCACCAGTGGTCGCCGGTTCACCAAAACTGAATTTGCATAGCGGGCATTTTGGAAATGATTCCGATCATGGTCAGGCGCTGCAGGCGTTGCAGGCGTAGCTGCTCGACTAAGGAGGTTTTGAGATCGTGGTTGGTTGTTGGTATACGGAATCTCAATAGCATGGATGTCGACAGCTGAGTTGGGATCTGTAGGGGAACTAGGCTGAGAAAAGCTATTTCGGTGAACCCTAGTTGGGACAGGTGGAGTTTCAAAACGCGTACTTCCAATGCTGGCACGATGTCTGGCGAGCGTAGCAGAGCGCTCAATGACAGTATTGCGATTTCTCCCCGACCCTCTGCGTCTATTAACTCGCGTTCTCCTTCTCTCCAGCTCAACTTCGACATCCATAGTTGAATCCTGTTCCGGTAGAGGTATTGGAGCCGCTTCGCCTACCTCAATTGTCAACTCAACTGTATTCCCATCAGTCGATGAACGCGCAAAGTCAAAAATGACAATCCTGCCGCCATCGACTGGCAAAATACCATCACACATTTCTCCCAAGAAAGAGTTAACGCCGCCAGGAGCTGCTGCCACGAGTCGCTGGAGACGTTTCGTTCCCGAGCTTCCAGGGTTGACGCCATCCACCCACTTTATTGCGGTGATATCATTCATAGATGACAATACCCGCCCATGGATCAAGTGGCTGGGTGGTGTTATCACCTTGTTCAGTCTCTGGGAATTTGTACGGACTGGTTTTGAACCCCAATTTTTCTCTAGCACGACATTCGATGCAGAGGGTCGATCCGAAACATCTGGAATACCATATAGCCATACCCCAGATCCTTGGAAGCCCAATACCAATAGTTCCCCATTACAGCCTGCAGTAGGAACAAAGCTTGGGCCGGGTTCTTTTATCTCGCCGTCACCTCCGGGTCCCACAAAGTACGTAAACCCACCCCTAGCATCATCAATCTGGCCAAGCCGAAAAACTTGTAACTGGGTGTCATATCCAACAATCCAAGTGATGCCTGCATCAACAACAGTCGATGGAACGAGAGTGACGTTATTGTACCCAATCGTGATATCCGGAGATAATATCTGGGTTGTCCACATTCGGGACTGCAACTCTGGCGAAGGCAGCTCGGAATCCAGGTCCATATAAAGAGGCGGGGAGATGGATACCATTCTGGCTTCAAGCGGATCGTTCGACGAGCCAACTAACATCAAACCATCCCGTGAGAACGATAACATATCGGTATGGAAACATCGCACAGCCCTGCGATCTGTTGCCAGTGCCATCTCTCCCAGAGCATGAACCTCGATACTTCCATCATAAGCGATGGCTAAAACTGTCCCTTCCGGAGATAATGAGATTGTACGAGGAATATTGTCTAAAGTAATGGCCTGGATTAACTTCACATTCCCGCCAATGAGGCGGTAGACATTCGCTTGGTGAGACGAAGAAGCCACCGCCAGTAGGCTTGCGTCGTCAACAATGGCAGCCGCGACAGGTCGTCGCAAAGTCTTTAATTCGTAAGAAACAGATATTGGATCTATGGATAGGTCAATCACGAAAATCCTAGATGAACTTAACGCAAGCAATTGATTCCCATTTGCTGAGAAAGTAAATTGGAATGCTTCTCCTTGGGGAAATGCGGATGATGAGCTTGCCGAAGTTGAAATGAGGTTGATCACGGTTTTCTGTGGCCTGAGAAAAGATTCGAACAGGTTTCTCCGAGTCTCACGGGCAAACCTGCGCTTCAACTGCCACAGATCTTCTGATAGCCAAGGGTGCCGCACGCTATCATCGTTGCGCAAAGCAGGAGATGTACAGCCATCTAGATGATAACGATATAATGCAGGAAGATCAGACACTGCCCGCCATTTCCTATTTAACAGAGCAAGAGACGCGAAAGAGTTTGCGTCGACGGTATACAAAATCCTAAAAGATTAATATAAGCGTCATTCAACAGATATCAAATTTTCAAACTATTTTTTTCTCTCCATTTTAACTGATGTGCTGAAAATAACCATCGCCTTATCTTGGACTACACGCGAGTGGCGCAGGAAGAGGATGATCTTAAGACTTACTTCTCAATTATTTGAGACGGGAGAAGGCCCAGTAAGCCACGACCCTGGCATTGAGGATTGCTTAAAACTCTATCATTCTGCTGTACCGTTTCACCCGTCGAAAGTCTCCTGGAAGCAGGCTTTTCCGCAGCAAGGTAGGGCGTTAATGGACCTGCAACCACACCGAGTGTCGTCATATCTGATCCAATACTGACGGGATTCTCGAGACGATTCCAGGGTGGATTAGAATCACCGTCTTCCATGGCCGAGGTGGTAATTCCTTGCAACTACACATCATCATCAATGGTGGGGCTTGAACTGTAGGACAGGACGGGAACAAGACATGGCGATGTGGTTGATGGAAAATGCTGTTTTTGCTCTTTGTTTCGGTGCCGTAAGGTAATGAACACCCGAAATTTGGCTGGGTCCAAAGTTGGGGGCTGTGTTGAGTGGACCTTGAGGCAGCTTCTGAAACCTTTGATCTTTGCAACTCGGGAAGCACTATGGCTATGCTCTGGCTGGTGGAAGTGGCGTCAAGGGATTCACCCAGCGATCTACCTCAAATTCTGAAGATGAGTTGAAATCGAACCACTGCAGACGCGGCTGGCAGGACACACGCAGTACTTGTCTTAAAATAGCAGCGCATCCTGCTCACTAACTGTGGGCCGATGGTGGGTCATGTAAGCGACAGGGATCATGGCTGCAGCCTCCAGGATTCGTTGAGGAAAGAAATATGCTGACGCCATGTCGACGGTTTGACGATTTTTTCCGCTTGAGCTGTGCGGCCCCTGGACCGCCGTCAATATCCTCTGCCTGGAGATTTTCCGCCATCAGCCAGACAGCTTTCCTTCTTGACTGTGAGGCTATCATGAGAGAGTGCATTTGTAGATCTAGTAAATCACGTGCCAATATATTGGCAGTCACGTGGGTCATTCCGACTGGGTTAGCCGATGAATTGCCGGAGCAAGCCATATCAAGCCATATCAAATTGACGATTACAGTTTGCGATATGCTGCATGCTGATCAGCTACTCAAATAATCATGGTTGCTTCGTGTTTGTTTTATTTGGAAGTATTTAGATTCGCTGCATTGGAAGGAAGACACTATTAGTCGCCAAAATCCTTTCTTTTGATGCACCATTGATGCATCATTGATGCGCAGATGAAGGTGCAGATAAGATGTCCGCATCCACCAGCCCTCCCCCGAAAGGAGTTCCAAAGGATTACCATTCAGTTCCTATTTCCACTGGCACCCGTCCTTATAGATCTCACAAGATTCGTGCGTGTGATTTATGCCGCAAAAGGAAGTCTCGATGTACAGTCGATCTGCCGGGAGAATCATGTCTTCTTTGTCGCGTTCAAGGCGCTGATTGCCACTACCGTGAAGGCCCCATAAAGCCCATTACAACTCGGTTTTATGATCGAAATTACGAGCAGAGTGCTGGAGGGAGTGCAGTCCCTCTCGGTGGATCGCAATCTCCGCAAAAACGACAACGGACCCATCAATCGCTGAGCTTCTCAGGGGTGCAAACATTGGCAGATGAGACACCCAGCCCAAACCCAAAGTCCGGTCCGCAAGATGACAGAAAAGCCGGACATAGCTCTCCACGCGCATTTGAAGAGCCATTTGGTGAATCGGTCCATATCGTTGGGCCAGTTGCTGCTGAGGATGCCCAGGTTATTGAGCGATTCATGCCATCGGAAAACTCCAAAAAACGACCAGATGCTAAGACTCCATATAACGTTTATTCCAATGACCCTAAGAAACCAATCCTTTATACTACGGTGTCAAGACGCAGACAAGGTCTACGGACAACTGGGATTCCCGGTGAGAGCCAGAAAGAAATTCTCGAACAGATTCTTGGCCCGTTTAAGCACGATTTAGTAAAAATGTATGCAAGGCTTCCCATCTTGTGTGCCAACTGGGCTTTTCTCTAATTCCGCTCGCAAAATTAGCTTTCTGGACAGAATAAATTCTTCATTCCTCATCTTTGATGAGGCTTCGTTCCTGGAATCCTATAAATCGGACAATGGAAGCCTACCACCCGCTGTGATGTGCCAGGTGTATGCTCAGTCCCTTATATACTGGGGTCAGTCTCAAACTCTAGCACCACATCCCAAACCAGATATTCGATATGCGGTCAATCTTGCAGTTGCTGCATTGCATGAGGAGTTTTCTGCGCCAGGGTTATCAACATTGAGTGCTTCTTTGATAGACCTAACAGGCAGGCCGATTTTCTCCATGACCGGTAATGCAATTAACAGCGGTCGGACAGTGGCCCTTTCTCACATCCTTGGCCTCAATCGTGACCCGAGTAGCTGGAAACTCTCACGTGCTGAAAAACATCAGCGCATTCGCTTGTGGTGGGGTGTTCTCATCCATGATCGGTGGTAAGTTATCTTGATCTCCATCCCCACTAGCCATAAAACTGAAAGAATGTATAGGGCGAGCCACGGGCATGGCGTTCCTCCACAAATTAATAAAAACCAATATGACGTACCACTTCCTACAGTCCAAGTCTTAGTACCTCAAGGGAACCTTAACCCTCAAAGGATAAAGGCAGCGGAATGTTATATTGCGTTGTGCCAGCTCACCGAGACGTTAGGTGATCTACTCCCACTGATATACGGATTGCAGCCAAAATCCCAAAATGAAACCTCTAAAACACTTCGAAAATTACGGACAAATTTGGATACATGGGAAGATTCACTCCCTGAATGGCTGAAGTGCTCCCCTGCAGATTCTCCGACTCCTGTTTCGGGATCCAGCAGCTTATATCTCGCTTGGCTGACTTTGAAAATGCTCATTTGCCGCGTTGAATTACAGGTGACGTCCTCCTTCAACTCCTCGAATGTTGGATCGTATGTGAGAACCTAACTTCTATGCACTTGTAGGAGGTCAATAATTCAGATAGCCCGACCAATCCTGAAGGGCGGCAGTATTTCCAGACTGAATGCAGAAGAGCAGCAGAAGATGTAGTGGGATTCATGATTTCATTGAAAAGACTTAATTTCGACGAATTCTGGCTTCCTTGTAAGGAATACTAGGGGATCTTCATGGACAAAAAAACATATACTCATATTGGGATACAGATAGCGCTTACCATCTCACATCAACCGCGACACTTTTGGTCCGATGTGCCCTCGAAACGTCCGACTCAGCCATCGCTCGATCTTGCCTATCTAAGGTAGACGTACTTCGCGATGCACTCTACCGAGCCCGAGTGGAGTACGACTGGGATCTTGCCGATATGTGCCTTGATCATTGTGAACGGATCTTGACCAAGCAACGGGGAATTACTTCAGACGATGCACCAGGTGTCGACCAAACCAATCAAACCCCCGATCCTGCTTGTTCGCTTCTCCCAGATACACTAACGCAGAATGACATTGTCAACGATATGATGTCAATCTCCGGCACGTTTGGTACAATGGATGGGTTCCCGTTTGATATGACTGGAATCTGGGACGTGTCCGGGTGGCAAGATGACTTTGGGTGAATCTGGAGAACAGCACGGGGCTGACAAACGTAACCCTCTTTGATTCAGTATTTCTCCTATGGCAGTTTCGGCGAACTTAGTTGCCGCGATAAAAATGAGACTTTCATCAAAATCATGTCGCATTCCAACGGCTGTCCATAAACATAATCATAATGACAGTCGGGTTATTGAGCGGAATGAACTCATCGCCGAGGAGAATTCTAGTTTCCCGATCGATGGCCCTCCCATTTTTGGGTTTCCCGACGGGCTCGTGTTTCTCCAACCAAAGAGACTTCCCCTCATGAGGGGGCGGTTATGCAACGGTTATACAGGGTCGTACTTTATAAAGCAACATATCCTCTCCAGAAGTATATGGAGCTTCCTACTCCTTCAATTGACATCCAGCCCTAGCAGAAACCACCATTCTACGACTTGCAATACTTAAACATATCACCATATTACGTACAGCTTGACTTCAATAAGGTGTCCCCAACAGCTCGTTGCAGCAAAATTCAAAACTCCACAATGGGTCCAAGTGTCAGTGACATTAACAGCCACTTAGCTTTTAAGACAAAACCAGTGTCTGCGGAGAACGGCCCAAATAAACAATTCACGTATTCAGCACTGCCAAACCTGAAACGGGCGATTGAGAAGGCTGGGGCCGATTTCAGGTCCGATGTTTCGACCGTCCCTACGGAGGATATGATGCAGGTGAGGAAAGCTGCTTTGCCCGGACAAAGGCGTGAGATTTTCACCAATATTTTTGGATTGAAAAGGCAACAATCTCCTTGAGCTGGTTATGCATTTGTCTTGTCAGCATTTTCGCGTCATTTCGTTCGAAGAACTAGTACCAATGCTACAAGTGGGATGTATTGAACGTTCAGTATTACTTAAACTAATATAACTGGCAAAATAGGCAATTCTCGAAGCTTCAGTCGGCGATGATATATACGACGAATTTGGCGATGTCTCTGTCAACTCTCTTCAAAATAAGCTCATCGAACTTACAGGCAAAGAAGCCGCGCTCTGGGCGCTTTCGGGAACGATGGGAAATCAAATTTGCCTCCGGACACACTTGGTGCAGCCACCACATACAGTTTTGCTCGATCATCGAGCTCATGTTTATTGCTGGGAATCGGGAGCTCTACCAGCATTGTCACAAGCTTCCGTGGCCCCCGTGATTCCCAGCAATGGAGTACATTTGACACTGAGTGATGTGAAGAAGAACCTGGTCTCAGGGGGTAACCGTGGGTTTACCTTTATATCTCTTCATTTTAGTCTTTTTAACACTCACCTGCTTCATCTCCAAACATACCCAAAATCTCCGTAGACCGAAAATACCATTGGCTAACCTCGAGCTGCCACAGTTCACTTCCCACCAACTAGAGTTGTATCGCTTGAGAACAGTCTCAGCGGCACCATCCTCCCGCTAAAAGATGCCAAAGAAATATCAGCCTTTGTCCGCTCCTTTCCTGTCCCGGAAGGGCAAAAGCCTGTTGCCATGCACCTCGACGGAGCCCGACTATTTGACGGCATTACAGGCGAAGGAGTCGATGCGAAAGAATACTGTGCTTGCTTCGATAGCATCAGTATATGCCTTGCGAAAGGCCTAGGGGCGCCTATGGGCAGTATAATTCTCGGATCCCGAGCGTTCATTGAACGAGCGAAGTGGTTTCGGAAGATGTTTGGAGGTGGGACAAGACAGGTATTTGTTTTACTGAATTTATGTATTTGGTTATGCCACATTTGTAGTTGTATTGCATCCAATAATTTTTCCAAGGAAGAAAAATTCCTCGAATAAATAACGCCAAAAAAAAAACCCCTCTCACCCTTCTCCAAGATATATACATTTCGTCCATGTCGTTCAGATCCCTAACATTTCCTTGTCAATACAGCCCGGAATGATGGCCGCCGCCGCCCAAGCGGCTCTAACAACTTCTATCCCCCAATTACCCCGCGTCCACGCCCTAACAAAGTCCACCGCCTCTAAGCTTTCTGCATTCGGCTACAAATTCCAACTACCCGTCCAAACCAACATGATCATTGTTGACCTTGAGGCCTCCAATAACATCCCTCCCGCGGCATTCGTGAGTTATTGCGCGGCGCAGGGGTTGCAGGTATTCCCGTCTGGAAGGTTGGTGTTTCATTATCAGACGTCCGAGGAAGCAGTCGGCAGGCTTGTAGGTGCTTTAGAGAAGCTTATGACGGACAAGAAGGGGGGAAAGGCGTTGGAAAGCGAAGAGATCAAAGGGGGGTATTGTACGTGAGGATGTGGAAAGGAAGTGAGTGAGTTTTTGGACATTGGAGACTAGATAATGAGGAACGCATTGATGTGTCTAACAGTAAATTACCTTGAAGTTTGGTTCGAAGAGGCTATTCGTAGTAAAGTTGATCGGGGATAAAAAATTTTCTAATAACTAGCATTTTGAGTTATATATGATTGCTGCATACATGAATTTCTAGTCCATACCAAGGAGTGGGGTACTGGGAGCATCACGAAGAAAGGAGTAAATAGAAGAATATAAATAGATAATGCAAGCCCATGTTCTTCAAATGATATACATTTATATGTTAGATACAAACAAGAATAAATTAAATGGGACTGGGAACTCGGTTTGTTCCCCGGCCCTAAGTCTCACACCACCACCTCTTCCACCAGAAATTATGCATGTAAAAAGAAATAAAAATGTATCTAGGCCGGAACAACGAAGGAGGAAAAAACAAAGAATAGGAAAATAACATGGTAGGTAACCCTAACCATACATATATTGAAAAAAGACAGGGGAAAAAAAGGCAGCGTAGGTCTGAAAGAAGGGACATGACTGTCATGAGAGAGGAGAGAAAGCAGGGTAAAGAAAATCTAGATGTCAAATGGGCTAAAAAGTTAGGTTGTTGGAGTAAGATGGGGCCGAGGTGAAGTGTTGTCCGCCCTATCAGGCTCTCAGTGGTCGATAGGGGAGTGACAACGAAGGCCAAAAGGTTAGAGGAGAAAGGCAGTAATATTTCGAGGTATCCACGATTGGCTTTGCATATTTTTTTGCCATTGGTGTATGTATCACAACGAAAAACGACTTTCGATGATTCGGAATATCCTTTCTTTCGAGGGAAAGGCTGGAAATTTGTTATGGAATTGAGATCATTTCTTCGTCTGGTCATTCCCGCCAAATCCGAAGAGCCCAGTAAAACTGTTCCGCATCCCATTCATCTGTTCCTCCCTCGCTTTCTCCTCCTCCGCCGCCAACTCCGCCAGCCACTTGTCCCCATTCTCCCGAATCTCTTTCTCAATCAGCGCATAATTCCTCTGACCCCTCTCGCGAATTTGATCCCACAACATCTTGCCTTGCTCCAGACCAGCAGCCGGATCAACACCGTCGGTCGTTGGAGGTGTGGGCTTGATGCCCAGGAGAGATGCAATGCTGCTGACGCTGTACTTGGGTTTCCTAGCGCGCTCTTCACCCAGCTCCTTCTCAAACTTTTCTCGCATCAATTTCTCGCGTCGGGCAAATTCAAGAGGGATGTTGGTATCCTTAAAGGATTTGATGACTGGTCGTACATCTTCGACACCCATGCTTGCAACGTATTCGAGAAACGGTATGAGAGCTACAAGTTCCTTGTCGCGGGGGTCACCCTTCCATTTGTCAAGGATTATGGCGTTCTCAGGTTGTCGTTTGGCGTGGGGAGCGTGGGTGTCGATCATGATAACTTTTGAAAGGTCTCGGTTCAGGTACGAAAGATCCTGGAAAATTTGTTTAGTTATAAAATTTTGGAAATACTAGAAAAGACAAAAAATAAGTGAATACCTTAACGTGTTCACCATCTTCGTACTTGGTTGCTTCTCGGAATAAGCCCCATCGAATGATCCGAAAAGGATCAAGCTTCCGATGCACCTGGTCGGCCATCATACTGGGAACGCTAGTAAAAAGAACCAACTCATAATACTGATTGAGATACCGAAGAAAATAGTCAACCCCGGGCCGCTTAGCCACGCGATACCCATGTTCCCGCGTCCATTCACTGTGGACCAAAAGATCTTCTAAACTAATAACCAGCGTATAAGGCTGTCGCATTAACGGGTCATCATCAGGGAGAAGTTTCTCGAATGCTGGATCCTTATAGTAACTTGTGATATCAGAGAAACGAGCTTTGATGCGGGCGAAAAAGAGCCCGAATCCCCAACCGGAGGGCGCATCCTTATGAAGCTTCTCCTCCTCTTCCGTGTCCCAATCGCGGCCTAAGAATATTGTGCCCCCCACGCAACTTCCCAGAAACAGGGCGTACACAATACTGATGAGTCTGTTTCGTCGGCGTTCGGTCGATGACACATACGGGTTTTTGGGGACGTCTCCACCTGCACCGCCCTCGGTATCTTCCTCCGTGAGGTTAAGGCTGGTAGGACCACGATGTTTTGAACGAGCTTCAAACTCCTTCGCTATGGTAGAAGGGATGCCTCGGGTGAGGTCTGGAAGGGGTTTTTGAGACTCAACCTTCGGAGAAGCAGCGGCCGTCTCAAACTCCGGTTGACCGTTCGAGAAATCGGATTGTGGATCGGAGCTCCCACTCCGCGGTGTCCCGGCTCCTGCTCCTGAGTCAACAGCATCGGGAGCGGTACGCTTCTGAGATTCCCCGCTTGATTCAGATTCCGGCCGGATTTCCGAAACTTGCCCTTGTTTGGGAGGAACCGCACTGGACGAATGCGAAGGGGGTGTGGTGGATGCTTTGAAGTTTGAAGACGGAGCCCCAGGAGCTTTGCCGCTATTATTGGCGAAATATCGCAGATGTGCAGGGGAATATGTGAAGGAGGAGGCCCGAATAGATATTGGAACCGCACGAGGCCTCAGCAGAGGCAGCACAGCACGGCTGAGCATGCTGGAAAAAACTCTTTACACCAATGTGAAAGATATGAAGGTACTCTATATTCTCATATTCGATCCGCAAATCATATGAGAAACAAGACCTGGCCGTGCGTTTTGCCTCTGCGGGAGTTTGTACCGAGAGGAGAGAGACTATCATTCTCATGGTTAACCATTTTTCAAAGAAAACCGCAAAAAAAAGCTATGCTCCAAATCCCTGAACTACGGGAGAGCCGATAGGCCGAGAATGCAACCTTCAGATATTGCTTAGTCAACTGCACCACGCTAAAACCTCTATCCACAATTTTTTCTGTTCTTTTTTCCTTTCCTTTTCTTTCCCAACCTATTGAAAGTTGAAACCCAGCGGAACGAAATTTGACTCTGTGTTCATCCATTGTGCATGGGGTTGTAGATGCCGGGGAGATCAATGCTCCGTCCGTCGTGCCACCCCAAGAACGTCAGCGATGATTTTCAATGAAGTCTGTGAGCTGTTCTGTTCCGTTGGCATCGATATACCAAGCCCACAACAGTTGGCGTGGCATGGTTGCTTCATGTTCTACAATCCCATTTGTATAGATCTACTATATAGGAACTATGCATCTCGTCTTTTCGTTTCTCCTCTTTCTCCCTCCGTACCCTAGTTACTTGTATGGTATTGCTCGGAGCTATTAGAGTAGAGATGAGAAAGCGTGTCCTGCTCCCTCTTGAGAATAACATGAGGCCTTCAGGCAATGATATGACCTTGGTATATTTACAGCAATAACATCTACTGTGGCAACTGGTATCCATAGCTGTAGGCGTTGTCGTGCATACAACTGTGCTTAGATCAGGTTGCCTTCATGTAATTTTGTTTCTATTTCTTTATTATCGAGAAGATAAAACCTGCCCATCCATCCATATTCTAAGACAGGTGGACCAAAAATTCAAGGCCGTGAGACTTCCCACTTCCTATACTAGTCGTTTCCAGCAGAAGAGGTGGGGGAGAATGAAACTAGAGATAATGATAGCCTGATATTACACGCTGAAGAGAAAAGGAAAAGTAGAAAATTGAACATAAAAACGATCAAACTTCATAGTTCCTCTTCCACATCCATCAGCTCACTCTGCATCCCATTTTTACTCGTTTCTCGGGCCAAGGAAGCTTCCTTATCGATCATCTGTCGTGAAACCGCGACGATGTTATCTTCGATGAGCTGTTGGGCTACGTCTTCGATGTCTGCATTTATATCACCCGGAATCAGCTTATTAGCGAGACTAGACATTAGAAAAAGCAAGAATAGATGACATAACACTAACGTTTCTTCGGATCGACCTTTCCAACATATCGAGTTTTCAATTGATCTTTCGTCAACTCCGTCTCCTCCTTCACGCGCTTAGCATAGCCTTCAGCGAGGCTGACGAGTTTCTTCAGCCTATCCACGTTCTTGTCCCCTTCCAATCTAAAATCATTCATGTGCAGCGCCTCCGTCCACACATGTTTATGAAGGTTCATCAGCATATTCTCCTCCAGTCCCGTCTTGCGGTAATTGATGGCAATGCTGTAGTAGTGGCGATTTAGGCCGTGGATAAGCGATTGAATGGATGGCTTGTTCAGATGACCGAGATTGGAGGTAGTCTGGCGGGGCTCCTGACCCATCATGAGCGTTTGCGAGGAAATGAGGCGAAAGGCGTCGATGACGACCTTGCCTTTGACGGACTGTATAGGATCGACGACGACAGCGACGGCGCGGGGAGTTAGTTGCTCGAAAGCTTGCTGGGTATTGATGTCCACGGAGGAGAGCCAGCAGCCAAATCCGGGGTGGGAATGGTACCATCCGACGACAGTCTCGGGCCTGGAAGAAAGTTTACGAAAGAGTCGGTCATGATTTGTTATAGATATAAGCAAAAGGGTGAAAAAATAAGGAAATACTAACCTTCCCGTTTGTCGAAGCATCTCCATCATCTTGGTTTGGAAGACAGGGTCCACAGCTTCAACACTAACTCCGGTACCACTTTGAGGCATCGCGAACACATCAACAACTCTCACGGTAAACTCATCAACGAAATCCCCCAGCATGAGACCCATAACTTCCATGGGCACACCCGCCCGCCCATGTCTCAACATCTTGAGGAGGGCCAGCGATGATATGTGAACCGTTTCCGAGTTATCGATGAGGTTAGGTGCATCCTGCGAAGTCATACTGTTAGCTTTCCACAAGGCCCTCATAACCAAAAAAATGTTTTTGGAGTAATTGTTATTGCTATGGAATATATGTACTCTCAAAGACAGCCAGCCTTTCTGACAGGGCTATATCAAGGAAGCATATAAAAGCAAACAGAACGAGATGGAACGTGACACAACCGGGGCAAGTTAAACTTACTGCGCCTGGAGCTGCGTTGGTCATGCCCATGCCTTGAGCAGCCTGCAACATCCGATTAAACCGCTCCATTTTAGTGATATGTGTTAGATGAGTGTAATGTCGAAAATGGTAGACAGCGTGATCCGGCTGTGCCTGGCTCCCGAGAGATGAAACTCCAAGAGCAGGTTCCGGTGCTTGCGAGGCTTAAACTAGCACTGAACAGAGCTGTATCAAACGAGGGTATCTTCGGCGGAGAATTGAGGAAATTGTTAATCAGTGCTTAAGATATGATATCCGTGAAGTAAGTCAAGGAGTCGAAGGGTACCAATAGTAGGTATAGCAGAGCATGCCGTTGGGTCTGATATCGAGATCCGCTTAGTCAGCCCTACCCTGACCTCCAGCAGCGAAGCAAGTACGGAGGGCGCTATCAAAAGAATTGTGCCGCTCAGATTCAATTTATACAGCTAAGAAGCGCCACAATGTTTTAATGAGTAATTACATTTAGCTTCAAATGACCCCACATTCTATTTATATGAGAATGCCATGTATTCTGAATTGATTCCTCCTTCCTCTCAAATATGATGGGATTCAACAGCTGCTTTGGTGTGGGAATTCATCTGATCTCAATGCAATTGAGGCAGCTTGGCCTTGGATGAAGTGCAGAACAACAAGAAAAGAAGCTCCTAAGAATTATACAGAAGCAGTTAGAGTATGGGAGCAGGCATGGAAGAATCTGCCACAAGAGAAGATACAGACATGGATTGAGTGGATTCCTGTGTATATTGAAAAGATTATAAAGTTAGAAGATGGCAATGAGTATAGAGAAGGAAGACAGCATGGGCAGGTGAAGGAATCAAATATTTATCTGATTCTGCAGGGTGGCAGATTGGCACACAGATTGGCAGACAGATTCCATGTTGAATGGCAGTGGAGACAAGGAATAATCAAGAGCTGAGTATTCAGTATAAAATACAGTGTGAATTTCTGCCAAGATTTGTGGTGCTGTCTAGTTGTCTTTTTGCCGGCGCAATTCTTTTGATAGCGCCCTCCGTACCGTACACAGTGAGGGCTTGCTTTCTAGCTCTCCAGATGCATCTCGCGACTCCACCATCAGTCCGCTCCATAACTGGCACTTTAGTCGATATATGATGCTGGTCCTTCCCTTCTCCTGGCGATATCCGTATACAGTTACTGTTTGACTCTTCGCTCCGCACCGCTCCGCACCTAGTACCAGCCCTCGCCTTGGAACCTGGTCACTCCTCCCTTTGAACTTACAATAGGCGGGCGCTTTTTTCATCATGTCGTCATTTGCACCCCTCGACTTGAGTATAGCTAATGGGCCGGCCGATAAGAAGAGGGTCGCTTACTTTTACGATTCCGATGTGGGCAACTATGCCTATGTCGCAGGCCATCCCATGAAGCCTCATCGGATCCGGATGGCCCATAGCTTGGTTATGAATTACGGTCTATATAAGAAGATGGAAATATACGTACGTATTCTTCGTCCTCGCATTAAATTCTGCTGCCCTTTTCACCATTTTTTGTCCCTGGAGCGTTGCTTGACTCCGCTGCTAATGAAATATGTGAGCACTATGTCTTCTCAGCGTGCAAAACCCGCAAACAAGTTCGAAATGACCCAGTTCCACACCGATGAATATATTGATTTCCTTGCTAAGGTTACGCCTGACAACATGGACTCTTACGCCAAAGAGCAAAGCCGATACAATGTCGGCGACGACTGTCCGGTATTTGATGGCCTCTTCGAGTTTTGCGGGATTAGTGCTGGAGGAAGTATGGAAGGCGCTGCGCGCCTGAACCGAAATAAATGCGACATTGCAGTAAACTGGGCCGGCGGCCTTCATCATGCGAAAAAAAGCGAAGCTAGCGGCTTTTGTTACGTGAACGGTATGTCTGCCTCTTTACAATAATAGGTCCTGATAACGCTATTGCTCTCACACTGCTTACGACTTGCTTTAGATATCGTGCTTGGAATTCTCGAACTTCTCCGTTTCAAACAAAGAGTTCTTTATGTCGATATCGATGTCCACCATGGAGATGGAGTAGAAGAAGCATTTTACACAACCGACAGAGTCATGACGGTTTCCTTCCATAAATATGGCGAATACTTCCCTGGTACTGGCGAGTTACGCGATATTGGCGTCGGCGCGGGTAAACATTATTCTGTTAATTTTCCCTTACGAGATGGTATCGAAGATGTTAGCTATAAGGGAATTTTTGAGCCCGTTATTAAACATGTCATGGAATGGTATCGGCCGGAGGCGGTTGTGCTTCAATGCGGTGGAGACAGCTTGTCTGGAGACCGTCTGGGTTGCTTTAATTTAAGTATGAGGGGACACGCGAATTGTGTCAAGTATGTGAGGAGCTTTGGCATCCCAACTATGATTGTTGGCGGTGGTGGTTACACCATGAGAAACGTAGCTCGAACATGGTGCTTCGAAACTGGAATTCTGGTGGGTGAACAGTTGGGGACTGAGTTGCCATATAATGATTACTATGAGGTAAGGCGTCTCACCATATTTCAATTTATTTTCTAGTAGTATGTGGCAAGCTAATGCTGCAGCAGTACTTTTCTCCTGATTACGAACTTGACGTTCGCCCGTCGAACATGGATAATGCCAATTCCAAAGAGTACCTCGACAAGATCCGAATGCAGGTTATTGAAAATCTAAAGCGGACCGCTTTTGCCCCATCGGTGCAGATGACGGACGTCCCACGCGGGCCACTAATTGATGGCATAGATGATGAAGCCGACGCCATTCTGGACGATCTGGATGAGGACGAGAATAAGGATAGCAGGTTTACCAAACGGCGGTTTGACCAGTACATCGAGAAGGAGGGCGAGCTAAGTGACAGCGAAGATGAGGATGAACAGGCTGCGAACGGCATCCGGCCGCAACCCGGAATTATCAAACGTCGGAACCAGGTCAACTATCGAAATCTCGACGGCGGTGATTCTGGCGTTGACAGTGGCCTGGTTACTCCTCGGGAAGAATCATCGTTGCCAGATGAAGACGCCGGCCTTGATGAGAAAATGGAGATTGCCGAAGAAGCTGAAGCCGAAGCCGAAGCCGAAGCCGAAGCTGAGGCACAAGACAAGGGAACCCCGTCTCCTGAAGAACCTGCGACACGATCGGAGTCAAGAATGGATGCGGATGATGTATCCATCAGCGAGCGCAATGAAGTTGCTGCCGCTCCTGGCGCTGCGGAGGAGGAGGAGCCGTCGGAGTCTGTACCTCTATCAACTCGTGAATCAATCGCACGGGAAGCTACTACCGATATGGACACAACGATGGAAGATGCACCACCCGAAGACCCTACCGCTACTACCGCCACTGCCGTCCCAGAGGTACGAAATGTACCTGAAGAGGAGCCACGAAGAACAACACCACCAAAATCACCAGCAGCTGAAGCTCCTCAAGCGGCTCCTGCTGAACTGTTGCAGTCCCCTTCAGCTCCAGAAGGGTCATCGGGGCCATCGGAAACAAACGCAGACACGAACACAGAATCAACCACCGCGATTACGAAAGGGAAGCCTTTGAAGCAAGAGGAGAAGGATGATGAACAACAGCTACAATCATAAGTTGCAAGTATGTTAGTGGGACAGGGACTATACATAATATAACATGACTTGCCCTGCGACAAAATTCCTGTTTGCTCCATACTCAGTTCATTGGCTCAGGCTCAGGCGCTCTGGGCGTCAAATTTGGAAGGCATTTCTGTTGTGTTTGTTTTTGTTTTAGTCTGTTTTCTCACATCTCATCGTACCATGCCTGGTTATATTCAAAAGGCGTATCGCACCTAGCAGTCTTCTTCATCCCTTCAACATGCTCCGGCCTTCTTCTTCTTCTTTTTTTTTTTTTTTTCCATTTTTCGCACCTTTTGTAGAACTATATTTGTATTTTTACGTGTCCCTTGAACAATGATTATATGAAGCCTAAACCTTCTGGTTTCCCAAACCGACTTAGTCTTAGGGCAAGTCACGTGTAGCTGATTAATGCGCCAGATTTCCCGGCCAATGCGTCGCCAAGATTTCTAGCCCACACTAAGCGAAAAGCATTGTGAACACTGTTCTGGCTGGAGACAACACAAAATATCGCGAAGCCTCGAAACGACGACACACAGAGACGACAACAGCCCACCCTCGACCGTGTCCGTCGCCAAATCCACCACCACCCGTTGCCATCTTCGAGTTACGCACAAACTGCATAATCTAGCATCATGTCGAAAAGAGGGTAAGCTTGATGAAAACCCACTTCGTTATTTTGATTTCATTGTGAGGGTGAGGGTGAGGAGGGGTGGACGGAGGGAAAGAGGAAGAAGGAACATAATGGCGGAAAGCAAGAGGAAGATGGATGAGATTAAAAGACGTTGCCAAACAAAAACAGGAGGGGGGACAAAAGCGCAAATTGATGTTTTAGGGGTCGAACAGGGTCGCTTGGGGGGACCCTTTAATTGAAGACCGGGGTTACTGAATTGGTGAATACGATTTTACTGATATTATTCTTGCTGTTTTGTATAGTCGTGGCGGTGCCGCCGGTAACAAGTTGAAGATGACTCTCGGTCTGCCAGTGTACGTTTTCCCATGAAAAGTACCCTTTGTTTCATTCCCCAGCTCCTATCCGGAAAAAATGATGTCGCAGCCTACCCAAAACGCCCATCATCGAATCGTCGAACAATCAAACACAAACGAACGGGGATGCAATGCAAATTATAAAGCTAAGTTTCTATGCTGACCAAAAGTTATCTCCCATAGCGGCGCCGTGATGAACTGCTGCGATAACTCTGGTGCGCGAAACATCTACATCATTTCCGTCAAGGGCATCGGAGCCCGTCTCAACCGTCTCCCAGCTGCAGGTGTTGGCGATATGGTCATGGCTACGGTCAAGAAGGGTAAACCCGAGCTGAGGAAGAAAGTCATGCCTGCTGTTGTTGTCAGACAGAGCAAGCCATGGCGACGGGCGGATGGCATTTATCTATACTTTGAGGATAATGCTGGTGTGGTGAGTGCTTTTTTTCCCCCCTGTATATGTAATACTTCATTTCCTGGTCGTTTTGTCCTAGCCCAGGACAAGGATGAGGCTTTTTTCGGACAGGGACGAGCTGCGTCTGTTTCGCAAATTGAATATTTTAAGGCCCCGATGCAGATATATTGCAAGCCGAAAAATAGGATATCATCTTTGTTTGGTAGTCCTGAATACTAATATGTCTAATTTTGCAGATCGTCAACGCAAAGGGTGAAATGAAGGGCTCAGCCATCACTGGTCCTATTGGAAAGGAAGCTACGGACCTCTGGCCGGTACGCAACAATAGGTGTCCCCCGTACTTTCCTATGAGAGATGCACACTAACATGTATCACAGCGTATCGCAGCCAACTCTGGAGTCGTCGTGTAAAATGGTGAGGGGTGTTGTTGATATAGAAAATGAAAGCAAATCATTCTTCTACAAGGCGTTGTTCTTTTTTATGCGATACGCAAAATTTGTTTAACCAAATATATCTATTTTTTTTTTTTCCTTTTGCTTGCTTTTTATCCCTATTGAACGTTTTTTCTTCCCGACATAATTCTCCGTAGAAGCAAATGCAACACCAAACAAAATAGCACGGCCAAGTGCAGTCATCGATGAGATGAACAATACACTGAATGCGAATTCTGGAGTAGCCTTTTCTGGTTTCTGGCGGGGAAATTTGTGAAAACGATATATTGAAAAATACCGGAGTCCCAAGGAAGAGTTCGAGACTCCGTTCCCACGGAACCTCAAATGTTGTATTTAGCCTATGACCCCCATTTCACAATGTCATGGTTGCGAATATCACTGGAAGTTTATTCATTATTTGGGCAACCTGCGCAAAGGCACGGACAAAGTAGCAAGCCTGATGTCAAATTGCCACCAGACAATTTGCTCAGGAGGATCAGTTCCATTTTTCTTACTTCCGTACTCCTAAAAGCCATAGGTGAGCAACAGGAAGATGCAAACGCAAGGAGATAATAAGTCAGATACATTGTACAGATGTAATGAAAATTGGCAATAAAATCGGCCCTGGACTAGAAAACAAGCTCCAAATGCCCTCCCTCTCGCTATGATGCTAATTAGGACAGAGTGCTTGGTATTATTATATATGGCTCTTGCGCTGAAATTAAAGTCAAGTAAGGAAGTAAGTGTTTATCCCAAGAAATAAATGCATGAGTACAATACTTTCATAAAGATGGTAGCTCGGAATTTTCATTTATCGTTTGCATTCCGCTTCAAATCCTCTCTGGGACCATCGCGTCTCCCCTGGTTAGTAGTTCGTGTTTTCGCATCCTGCGTCCTCTTCGCTAAGTCAGCGCTTTTATGACCCAGAGCCTCACCCTTGACCCCCTTTGCATTCGATCCCGCAGCCACTTCACCAAACATCCAACCCCAGACACCCAACGTCGCAGAGACTACAGAGAGAACGGCCGTCACAATCGCAATAATATGGGTGGCCCACCACATATGCTGCACGCCAAACCGGCAAGTGGAAATCTCATATCTCCATTCCTGCACGGAAGGATCAGAGTCGAACCACAGGGAAAGGAAGCCCGCATTGCCGCCATATGCACCCATCATCGAGCGAAGGGTAACCTCTCTAATGTTAGGCGTATCAGCTGGCAACGGTGATGACAGCGAAGAGGGAGAGGAGCGGCTTCTAGCATATCTTGTCGCATCCCACGACCAGCCCGGTGACATGGCCCCCTCCGGATCATCTGCTGGTGTCACAGATCGATTGACAAAGTGCAGAACGTCACACCCAACATGATCGTGGCCGGTTAACACAAGCCCATTCCGGCCCATCCCCCCAGCGGGGACATTTGGGCTCCCGCTCATACCGAACAACCCCTGAAGTATTCCTGAATGGCTGGCATGTTGGCTCAGATGGTTCTGCTCCCGCAAGCCCCCAGCTTTATACCTTGGTTCATGTTCCTGTGGCGGCTTTGGATCGTCCTGGTCGTAGAAGCGGAAATAGGGAGCATCGATACAGATCCCTTCGCTTTTGTGGAGTGGAAGATGGGTTAGTAGGAGTGTGAAGCTGCTCCGGTCTTCGACTGGCTTGGATCGTCGCTGGATCACGTCATTGATGAACTTGTACGTGTGTTGCTGAATGGATGGGTGAAGGGCCGGAGTATCCAATAAGAGGCTGTTGAGTACAATAACGTGTATTGAGGGGGTAGTAGTACTGGATAATGGCACACGCACAGGATCCGCGGGAGTAGATATAGGCGTGTCAGCAGAAGCAGAATGTATACCTTCTCGTGTAGTCGCTGGATTATCCCGGGTACTAGCGCGGTATTCGAATCGAATATCCCAATTAGCCCGTCCAAATGCCTTATCGAACCGCTCCATGCGAACGTCGCTGATATCGCCCGCGTATCCAACATCATGGTTCCCAGCAACATTGATAATGCGACGTTCCCATGGCCCAGTGGAGCCAGTAGTACCGTCGCCACCCTGCATATCTAATGGTAAGTCCTCAACCACCTTCACATCCCTCCCATGTACATCCTCACTACCCGTGATGGTAATATCGTCATCGACCCTAACCCCACCACGAAAAACGCGGTTCCAATACCTCCACGCGCGCCGTTTGAATTCCCCATCGGTCACCCATTGGCTCCCGATCAGATCACCCAACACAGTAACATGCGTCGGTTTCGACCACCAATGCAACGACCGGTAGATATGAGCTAGGTAGAAATCATTTCCGAAGAGATCTATCCGTTTGCGTGTCGCTCTGAGCGAACGGGGGAGATCGACTAGCAGCATGTCCCGGAGACTGCCCAGGATCGCAAGCAGGATATCCTCCCAAGTATCTGCAGATGTAATTGCTTCTCGGTAACCGGCCAGGCGCTTTAGGAAACTGTCTTTTGGATTTGGGAGGGACGAGTCACCTTCTAGCTGGGGGTCGGCGAGGACAAGGAGGCGGAAAGGCGCCGCCCGGGTGTACTTGGACATGTCAAGGTGGGGGATATCGACATGTTGGCGGAGGGTATTTAGGATTGGAAGAGGAGAAGAAAGGTTGCTCGAAGCACTCGGGGCTGTAGGGGGAAAATTACAGCCATGGAATATGGGGTACGAGTAGAGGTAGACTATCGATGTTATCGAGATAGGGAGGAGGTAGGAGAGAAGCTGGCGGAGGGTCGTCGGCAGGGACATAGAGACGCACGCATTAGGAGCGTTTGATTTATCTCCACTTATATTCAAATTACTCGTGAGATGGAAATAACCACCTTAAATAATGAAGGAATGAATGAAAACGAACAAGAAAGGAAATTTGGAGCCCATTTTTCTGACGGCTCAGGCGAAATGTTTATTTATAAATTTAGCCTCATCGCCCTCCCTTGGCACCTCGCGCTCTGTCAAACTCAATAAATATCAACCAATATTTCACGGAAACATGGAGGAGCGGGGGATGCTGAGCAGTTGGTGCTGCCAGCGCTTCCGGGTTAAAACCATGATTGAAGGGTACCTGCAACAGTCAATGGATCTCAATCATACGAATGCCCAGATGCTCTTCGGTGGAGGAGCATAATCAAAAGAGAAAATGGGTAAACAGTGGCAATATCTGCTAGCATCTAACTCACTTTATTTACAGCCTGTTACATAGATTCTTGAATCCAAAAAGTATCCTTGACTCCTGAGTATTATCTTCAATTTAACCTTTTGATTTCAGCCGTGATTTGACCCGGGTTGTCGGTGTCAAGCCAGCCTCGGAAAAGGAGGTATATTGGATATTGACAACCAGCCAATGTTTACTAATTTCAAATAGGTGTAGGGATAGTATATGCACTTTTTATTTATTTCTATCCAGGCAGTTCCCATTCCCTGATGCAGATATACTAAATAGTATATAGATCTTAGTTGATCTCTTGGGCAGCTACTCCGCACGCAGTCGAAGCGCTCTGAAATCCCAGAAAGAGCCCCGATCTCGCGATATGATCATATAGCGCACGGCTGGGGCTCGTAATAGAAATACGGTAGAAGCTCAGACATAGCCAGATCCTCAAACAGAGCTCCACAGCAGCGCACAAAAGCCATCAAGGCCTCTTAAGAGTGAACGGTAGCTATCTGTTCTGTTACAGAGCTTGTATTCCTCCGCCAGATCTCAAATTAACCGTATAGAGATAGATGCCCTTAAATAGAATTGTTATACAGCAGGATGGTGTCCCTGCAATTGAGAATTCTCTATAAGCAGAAGCATTTGGGTAATGTAACTCTCACGGCTTGTGCGTCCCTCTACGGAGGTCGGTTTCAAAAGTTTCGTTCAAGCACTAAAAACGCCACAACCGTCACTAGAAATTTATACTAGATTTTACATGTAAATTCTCTCTCATTATTTCTTCTGCTTTCATCTATCTTCTCTATATTTATTACCACCTTCAAGCTCAATTATCTTCTTAACATGCACTGGAATCTGTTCAATCCATGCCTGTATATTCAACTGTGACAGCTCCTTCCATGTCTTCTCCCACATCTTAACAGCCTCTGCTTGTGATTTTGGAGCACCCTTCTGTGTTGTTTTTCTCTTCATCCGGGGCCAGGCAGCTTCAATTGCATTCAAATCTGATGAGCTTCCACATCAGAGCAGCTGTTGAATGTCATGAGCTTTATAGATATAAGTTCAGAGCCACTATCACAGCACAGGTTTAGATATCTGTATTGAGAGCCATATTGAAAATAAAAGAGAAGACAAATTTGATTCATTAATCTCTGGGGGATTCTCTGCGATTTAAAATGAGAGGTAATTAATTCTCATTAGTGGTATCGATAATATTTCAACTAGCATATCAGTGGCGTAGATAGTAGCTTGGCTGAACGAAACTTTTGAAACCGACCTCCGTACAGTATTAAATGATCAGTGTTTAGGAAGGCAAATTATTCGTCAATAAAGCCCGTACATCATCCTCCATACAAGATTTAACATTTAGGCATTTTTTTTAATATTTTTTTGAATTATTTTTACCGCCACCTTGTTTGTTTTGTTTATTTTTGGCAATTTTAAAAGGAAAGTGATCAAAATCAGCTACGTGGGAGAGAAAAAACTTCGGAATCAAGAAAGTGTTCACCATTCTTGAAACTAAGTACTGGTTGTTCTGCAAAACCTGCCGACTCATGTCTCATCTGTGTCCTCCTCGTATCTCTTCATATCGTCAACGGGTAAAAAAAATATCTTTTAAGGATCTACATCATAGGTACCATATATCTCAACTCGGGTGAAAGAAAAAGAGAAGGAAAGAGGAGGGGGATTGGTGGGTCCGCCCGAGGGTGGCGGAGGGCGAGATAGAGAGGTGAAAAGAAAATTCGACAGCCGTCAACAAAAGTGGGAATAATGAAAAAAAAAAAAAAAAAAAATCCAGGGATGTGGTGGCGTTGACCGTTATCAAAATAAAGTGAGAAGTAAAAATTCAATCATTATAAAATTAAAATATCCCTTATCCCACATATACACTTCAGTTGCAAAACGGATTAGATGTGATATGAAATGCGAAAACGAAAATAGAGATCGTCATTGAGAAGCAATCTCCTGATTTGAACTTAAAATAGACACAGGAATCGGCTCAGAGGATTCACTACCGCCTGCTTCGACTGTCGTCAGCTCAGGCTCAGGTTCGTTTCTGTCAATGCTTTCCTCCAGAGATTCAATAATATTCAAGCCCCCGGTCACTTGGTCCCCGTTGGTCCCATCGGTGTTGCTCTTAGAGGACGGTGATGATAACTTCTTCTCCATGCTTTCGGGACCCATGAGAGCCGGCGGACGTTGGTTGGTCGCGCGCGCTTGTTTCAAACTGATTGTCTTCTGTTTATTTGTGGTCTTAACTGGTAGATTGAGATCCCTCTCTATCGTAGCTTTCATCAATGCCGCCATCCACAAACGTCCCTGTTGGATGTTGTCGACTTGGAAGAAGTGGACGGAGGGCTTTGTAAACTGAACTGCCCTCGATAACCCAGCCTTTGGTGGAACCAGCTTGAAGATGAACGGCGCATCGCTGGGGGACGACTGAGACATATTTGACAGCGAATCCGCTTCGGCGGGAGCATTCCCGTTATTCCAATTACTTGGGGAGGTCGGGGAGGCTGTTGCTCCAGTGAGTGTGGCGTGAAGTGCCGTGATAGTGTCTTGATCAGCACGGAATACGCGGTGTGAGGAAATATCGATTAGGCCCCGTTCCTCTGTGTCATCCTCTGAATAATAATACGAGAGTCTACGGCCGCGAAGAACGAAAAGCCGCGGCTTCCATGTAGTCATTAAATTTGAGGACTTCTTCTTCATCCAGCCATAATAATCGCATCCAATCATTTGTTCTTGCGGGGTCTTCTTCTCTAGACCGCGCATGTATGCACTAGTATCTTTCTTTGATTTTGAGCGGGGATTGGAAGCCTTTGGCATTGTCACCAATGCAAAGCCTCCTTCAACGGTTTTCGTGGAGCTATCTGTGCTCTCCATTTCGAAGCTTTTAGACGTGCCAGATGGAGTACTAGAATTTGTCCTAGAGGGCGACTTCTGTGAGTCTTTTGACGTAGACGCAGAAGTAGGAGATGACAATGCCATTGTTTTCTCATTGCCAGTGACAGAGTCTGAGACCGCACGTAAACCTAGGGCACGACGAACTTTAGGCGCAACGTTTTTGAGATGCGACGATGGTAAGGGGGAGGAACGCCCGGAGCTTTCACCATTCGTCTTCGTGTGGAGTGGGGATAGTGCAGAAAATATCCCAGAGCTGGAGCTAGTGTTTTTCTCTTCCAAGTTGGTTACAGGAGGAGCATGGGCCAGGTCTCCAAACGATTCCTTAGAATAGACGTCCTTGTCACTGAATTTCGTACTTGACGGACTGCTTTGGTTAAGTTTGTTTGGAATATGCGGAACAAAATCCCTGGGGTCACTACCAAAGTGCGAGTGTCGACTAGCACGGACTTGCTTCAAATCTTCTCCAATGCTAGTAGAATCCCGTTTAGTAAGGACTTTTCGAGACTTCCTCACATCGATTTCACCACCCGAGAAATACCCTCTATCCAAATCCGCAGAATCCACAATGAGAGACGAGTCGGATTCATTATTGCTAAGAGGGTCTAACGTCCGCTGGAGAAAGGATTCAGAGTTGTAACTGGCACTGACCAAGTTCTCGGGCTGATTGTTTACAGCCTGAGATCCAGTTGCCATAGTCCAACCCCTGTCAAAGGAAGTTTTTTTGCCTCTAGGAGCGCCATGTGCTGACCTTGTCCTCTGGTTAGGGGATGCTTGAGAACCATCCATCGATGAATGGGGGCGAGGGTAGTTTATCTGGCGAACTGACGCTGCTGACGGTCTCGAGGAGCCACTTAAGCCAACGGATTGATTCAAGGGTGGTACCGAAGCAGCGTTGCTGCTCGGAGTTGAGGATGCAGAGACCGTTGTCCCTGAAGAATGTTTTCTAGACGCACTTCTCGGTCGTCTTGAACTGTGACTAGGGCTTTCATTAATACTCGGTATTCTGGGAAGGAGAGAGCCTCCAGCTCGACTCTGAGACCGATCGAACTCCTCAGAAGAGCGATCTCTACCCGAGAATGTAGACGAGGACTGTCGCGGCTGTCTGATCCCTTTGATCTCTTCTTGGAAGCTTTTGATTATATGCCAACTCTTCAATCGTTTCCCCATAACCCCAAAGTTAAACTCCTTCATGTAAATAAATTCTTGGTCCATCTCCAGCAAGACGTCTCCGGTGATTTCTTGTTCCTCGAAAATTTGGCAGTGGTTCGGATCCATACCAAGGTGTTGAAGATGTCGAGCAGTCTGGTGGTGGTCCCAACTCCTGACAGTGTATTCGTTTAAAGAAGCACCCCCTTCTTCTTCGTCAGTTTCTACTCCAGGGATGTATGACAATCTATGGTCTGGATGGCTGCTGTATTCACTGCCAGAATCATTCGGGTTCCTTGGGTCCTGCGCAACGACGCTGTGGCGCGGGGTGTTGAAATTTGAGATGTGTTCATTGATAACGCTCAAGGTTTCATTTAACACTGGGCTATCATCTCCGTTTCGACGAGACATAGTTTCACTGACAGTCCTTTGCACGGTCGGTAGCAGGGGGGCTGAAGAAGAGCGATGCGATATGTTGGGGCCCTGTTGTTGTCCGAGTCGTATTGTGGCATCACCTGTGGGATCTTCAGCAGTTGGCTTAAAATCAGCACCACTAAATTGGCGTGATGCTTGTGAGTTTAAATCCTCATTTGGTGTTTGAGATGCCGGTTCTGAAGTGGCTCCTAACGCTGTAGGTGATACTGGGGACTCGTTGTTTCCGCGGGATTTCGATGCAATAGTGGAATTCGACGCTGTGGTGGCCTGTTGACGAACACCCAACTTTGGGATGGTTGTCGTATAAACTACAACATCAAATTATCAGCGATGACCACGTCTGAGGGAAGGAAAAGGTTCTTACCGCCGGGAAAAAGCCCAGTTCTATTCTCAGCCACATGTTTCCCCAAATACCATCCATCACCAAAACCTTCGTCTAGCTCTAGTAATTCAACCTTGTCTCCTCGACGAAGGGTCAGTTCGTCCGCTCCCCGAGCTAGGAAGTCATCTATCACATATGATGTTATCAGAGCCGGCAACTGCAACTGAGGAGAATGGTATACACTAACGGACAACTATTAAAATATCTCCTGGGCATATGCCCTGTGGAAGCTCAGGTGTATGGGGCATTGCCAGAACAAAGTAAGAACTGGTGGCGAAGTCGTGGAAACGGAAGTGGTCGGTCGTCTGGGTGAGAGAAGGAATAAGACCATTGAGAATACAAAGATTCGCGGCTCGCAAAACGGGTGGGAACTGGGATTTGCACAACCGGTCTTTCAGCGAAGAATACTTAAGGAATCGTAGATGGAAATAGTGAGTGCTCTTGTTGTCTGATCCGAGGTTGAGGGATGGCTCGTGAAGCAATCAATGAATGGTATGTTGAGTAAACGGTCAATCGATAGATGTCTACTGCGTATGGGCATGGGACACTCCTCCGTCGCCCAAGACACACGTAGACGTAGTTAGTTCCAAAATCGAGGAATAATTTATGTTTTTAAACAGCGGACCACACAGGTCCTGAATTAGAAAGGACAAAGTCTTGAAAGGGAAGAAAGGATGGGATTATGAATATGTCAATATATATCGAGAAGATATCAGTAAGAAAAAAAGGATAACGGCGGTCGAGGAGAATGGGCTTGCGTAGCTCTGGGGTTGCAGATACAAAATGCGTAGGAGGAAATCGAAGCAAAGGCGGATGGGAATGAACGTGGTGGAGAGGGATAACTAAATCAGGGCCAACAACAGACTCTGATCCTGCCACGTCCAACACCACGCCTCGACCGAATGGAATCGACGCACACAAGTGTACGAGTACTATAGTAGGCCGTTGAAACAGGGATGTTAGATGGGATGGGCGGGATTAGCATTCTGGCTCTGTGGGCGAGTTCTGGATGCTCCCATAAGGCTCCGGCACGAGCAACAGGCCTGGACAGCAGAAGAAGGCCCCAATCCCGTGATCGCCCTCTAGGCACAGCAGAAGCCCTTACGCACGCTACCTAGAAGTTTACGTTTTAACTAGACTATATTATATGATGTGTATTACATGCGGAAAAGTGAGAATATTTTCTGATATAAATTTAATGAGATGTATTTAGATTACTAGCTGTTCTTTTCTCATTTCTATGAGAAAAGTTGAATATTTTGTAATATTTGGATTATTTCTTTTGAATACATTATTTTCTATTACAGTTCATGTCTTAAAATACAAATATAATGCTTTATATCGTACAATTTTTAGTAAAAATATCAAGTATATATTGTGATGATAATACTGTAACCTCAATGTCAATCTCATAATTTATATGTGTAATTTATGAGGAAAAAGCATAAGATAATACAGACTGTAGCTCAACAGTATACTGACAATTTAAATTTTAAACAGTGTATGTTGGTAATCAACCTGATCCAGGATTCTACGTAGCAATTTCCTCGTCCACTTACAAGAGCAAGAGGTACATACATTCAGCGACAGCACCGACACCTGCGCTCGTACCATTGTGATGGCTGTTGATCTTATGGGATGTTTTAAGTCAGAGCTTGAATGCATATCGAATAACTAAATGCTTGAAATAAGATCATTCAACTGTGAATGAAACAAGTTTGTATCATAAATTTAAGTCATTTATAGGTGTGAACTGCAAGTAATGTTCCTCATCAGAATACGAGAAAGGGTGTTTGGAATAATAATTGCATAATCACAGCACTTGAAACAACCGTGATTGTGAAAGCTAGATAACATATGATTCATTTGTGATTTGCAGGTGGAAGCATAGCCAGCAGCTGTGCCTCCACAACACTAGCTGTGGAAAATCGCTCATCATCCCTCGAAACCGAGCACCCACAAAATTCATTCTCCCCTCTGAGTATGGAGTCCCGGATCCTCTTTGAATCAATTCTAAACGGCTCTCTAGTATAGCTGACTCCTGCAATCACATCAAAATGGTACTGTTGATGCCCCATCTTCAAGTAATCTGCAAATTCTCTGGGTTCTAAAATTGGAATATAGTCATAAAGATAGCCTAAAAAGCAGCTTATGTGGCGGCAGAAAAAAAAGGTGCATGTCTAAAGTATCCAGCCATTTCCTGATGAAGGAATCTAGAAGTTGATGTAATGGTGAAATAAAGGGCCATCTGATGGTTCTCTGGGGCTGCTAGCTTTTCTGCATGACAATGTCTGGAAGCTTGATATCCCAGTCGGAGACTGCAGTAAGAGCAACCACAGAATCAAGGAGGCCCACACTCTTACTTTGCAGTTCAACAAGATAGCAAGTGGCCTCCTCAATACCAATGTACCGTGCTTCAAAGTCAGGAGGTGGAGCGTGCCAGCCTCTTTCAATAAGTGCATCTGCTGCTTCCTTAACATCGTCCACAACAATGTGTATGTCAAAGACACCAGTGGGTACTCCATAGTATGCTAAAGCATCTTTGGCTCAGAGATAGCATGGTATACCACTTTCCTTGAATATCGCTCAATAGACCACGGGTCATCACAAGCTTTTTTTGTATATTGTTCAAAGAGCCAGCCCTCAATGGGTGAGACTTTATCAAGGGTGGGCGACATCGGTGAGGGTTCAGGGGAGCTTTGTATTTGTATCACGTACCTTGAGCTGTCGAAGGCCGTGTTGATTTTAACTCTTGCGACTTGTAGTATCTCGATGATGACCCGGGGGATAGTTAGAACAGACGGCAGGGCGAGTCGATACGGCTCCAGCAGAGGTGTCGACGACAATGGTGGGAGTAAAGAGGATGATCGAGGGGCGCTAGGCCTGCTGTTGCCTGGCGATATCTTTATTGCTATATCCTAGAAGACGATGTTGGGCTTTTGATGATATCACGTAGTCAATAGAGTAGATCCTCCCTACACAATAAAATCTCCTCAAACAAAGATTCCATAAGGATTCCTAAATAAACAATGAGCATAGAAGGCCAAGTCGAAAAAGGCGCCAAGAACCCAGCGAGGCTTGGCTCGGCTTTGACTAGCAATCAGCATGTAGGCCCTTTCCACCACCCAGGATTTTTGGCCATAAAGATTTCTGCCGAGTAGCTCTTGAAAACACCAGTGATAACCTGGCGACATGTTCCGCAGGTTGCGCCAATGGGGGGAAGGCATTCTGAGCAATATCAATGTTCACACAGAAAGGTTCTTCACTCTGATGAGAGTATAACAAATCCGACTTAAATGTTGAATGTAATATTTCTAATCTTTTGAATCATATTTCATCTGTGACAATTGAGAAGTGAAGTATCACTGTTATACAATAAAGTACTATAATTGGTAATGGAAAGGACAAGCCTGGGAGGGTTCTTTGCTTGTCGCCTAGCGTCTTATTAGTGAATGCAACCACTATTGCATAAGAGATTCACAATAATGTAGGATACTAGTAATTTTAGTCTCAGATGAAATCAGAATGATCTAAAAATATCGGTCACTGAATGCACAGCGCAGCTATGACATCTTGCTCCCAGCAGTTATAATATAAAAACGGCCAATAAGATCCGCTGTGATTCAGCAGGTTCATAATGACTATACTTAGCCAATATTAAATATTAAACTACAGTTGAATATGAGTAACCTTAGAAGATTAAAAAATTACTGTTTAAAATCCTTCGTTGTGCTTCAAAATGTCTTTCAAAAATTTTGATCCTGTGACCTGCAGGGTCAGCTGATGTGGCGCTCGCCCAATCACTTCCAGGGCTAAGTTACTGTAGGGCTTTGCCATCCATGGATATCTAGGGTCCATATCCATACTTGTAGATCGCGCCGTGCCTAAACATGCTTCCCTGACATCAGAAGAGTTGACAATGCGGTCACCACAACGTCTTCATAACTGCCGCCAACCCCCTGATTCCCGCGATTCTAACTTGACTTCTTTAAATTCAACACTCAACAAATTTGTAGGGTGCCGGCAAAAGCCATGGATGTTAAACTCAACCTCCAAAACGAGCATCGCCCCACCGTCGAAACTGTCAACTCCCTCTCCCGCACCTAACCAAAAACCCCAAGCCCCCTTCCAGCCTAGGGACATTGAGATGGATAATGAAAGACGTTCAACATCAGATACTGTCAAGCAGCCCATTCCCAATAATACACAAGGCCAAAGTGGACCCGATGCTCTCTCGTCGAAGGAGCTACCAATCTCTCCTGTGTCCCCTGACATCCCCTCCCGACCCGCTCCTGTATCGGCCTCAGCATCTCCTCATATCTCTAATTCGTGCCCCACGCAGGCATCTCATAGCGTGTCTATTGCCGATCGCCAATTCGGTGTGCTCCCATCCCCAGATTCGAACCATGGATGCTCCACAAGAGCTACCAGCGAGACGAGACCAAGTGACAACTTCATTCCAGAGGGAGTTTCTCTTTCCCCACATCAATCAGGTCCCCCACAGCTGGTTGAGCGTGAACCGCAAACAATATCCCCGTCATTTGCATCCGCAGATGACATGGGACATTCATCATTGCCCATGTCACAAGCTGCCAGAGTTGCAAGGACATCACAAATCCCAGTAGCACATCAGGGTGGACGCGCGCAGGTTTTGTCGTGCAATTCAGCTATGCCTCAACAATATCAGCCCCAGAAGGTGGTTCCAGCCAATCCTCAGCTCGCGTCTGATATGACGAACAAAAGCCACGCCTCCTTGCTGAAGTTCTTGTTCGCTGAGCCCATCTCCCCGAAAAGATTCATCCCTCTGCTTGATCGGATTTCGGCAGCACCAGGGTCTTGCGAGAAGAGCCGCATACACCTTCTACGAAATGCTTGTGAGAAAGGGGATTTGTTCTACATTGCCCTACATCAGGTGTATTGTCTGCAAACAACATGCCCTAGTTCCTTAGATCCCTCTAAATTTGGAGCTTACCAAATGGCAGGTCTGGAGCTGGTTTCGCGCATTCTGATACGGAATGAGTGTCTCTCAAAGCCTTTTGTCGAAGCATGCGCCAGATTCCCTGCCTTAATTGGAGAATTTCTTCGATATTGCTCGATTTGCTCTTCTGTTTTAGACCAGGTTATACGCTTTCTAGAAGCCATGGCACGTTCCTGGTTGCCGTTTGAAACGTCTATTACTTCTCGAGGATATCCGCCACTTATTGATGAGATGATCGACATTCTTGGCCTCACCACACCAACTTTTCAATATGTTATATTCACAGTATGCTGTCGCCGTCTTACTGGAGCCACAGATGACGTTCCTGTCAAATTATTTACCGCTACGTTCCGAAAAAACGAGGAATATTACCAACAGCGTCGCTTACGAATGCACAGTGCAAATCCTATACCTCTGTCCCAGGTCCAAGCTGAGAACGAATTCCTCAGACAACAATATCTCCGGATATCGGAGCAACATGTTTTACCTAAGCGGGTATTCCACGGAGCGATTATCCATCAGGGGCCTCTAGAAAATACGGGGGCTAATTTTCGAATAACGGACACTGGTGGTCCTCAGGTCCAAACTCAGGACCCTCTCACTCAGGAGCAACAACAACCTCCAATACGGCGTGCTTATCACCAAGACCCGTCCCCATACCCTCCACTCGCATCACACCCTACCCAGTACTCTCTCCAGCCAAATCGACAATATGCTTCAATGCCAGTTCCCAACAGAGTACAGATGACTGTCCCCTCATACACACGTGCACATCCAGCACCCCCTGCGGGGTGGTCTATGACCGCCCAACCTCTCCCGAACCAAGTTCCCCCAAATTCGACCCGGTTTGTCCTGTCACATAACATGAATACACAGTTGCGCAACGATGTCTTTGTTCATCCATCCGCTCAGCTGTCTCAAACACAGCCCACTGCAGCGCAACCTTTATATCCCAAAACAAACAACTTACTTCTGCCTCCCCCCGGAATTCTCCCCATGGAATCTGCTAACCCAAATCCCCTTATTGATGGCCTCCACCAAGCTTATCTGAAAGAGCAGATCGTGGCGCTTCATGACAAAGAAGGCAGTAATGGTCCAACATCATTATTCCCGTATCTTCACAGCTTTGCTTTGTTTCCCATTCAATTGCAAGCGCCAATCCGAAAACTGCAGTTCACAATCCCGCCAGAGGAATTCCAAAAATTCCCTTTTCGACGAAAAACTGTGTCAAAGAATGGTTCGCCCGTATGGGGAGTTCTGGATGGGCGTCGAACATATCAGATACGGTGCATAAAAACGAATTCCCCCATTCCAAAGCTCTCGGAGCATCAATGGGCTGTATCGGACACTGCATGGCCTACTGCTATATATATTCACGTTAACGGCATGGAGCATTTCGTTCGCCGGAAAATGCATTTTGGAAGGGATATACCGCTTAATGTCACGAGTTCCCTCAAAGAAGGCATGAATGAGATATCGATAGCTATACTCTGGGGCTCCCCAGAGTACAACAGCAAATCGTCTTATGCCGTGGCTCTGGAAATACTTGAATACGCATCGCTTAACCGTGTCCGCTCGCTCATTCAGCATCAAAAATCCGCTACATCTCTAGACCAAATCAAGCATCGGCTTGCAGGATTAAATACAGATGATGACGATATTTCTGTCGTTGATGACCACATAACGATTGACCTAGTGGATCCCTTTATGGCGCGGGTCTTCGACACCCCCGCCCGGACCAAGTTTTGCCCACATATGGAATGTTTTGACATTGAAACATTTCTAATGACGCGCCTGTCTAAAGCATCGAAAGGATACGGCATGGCAGAGGATTGGAAGTGTCCTATCTGCGGCAACGATGCCCGCCCCCAGTCCCTGATCATTGACGATTTCCTAGTTACGGTCCGGCGTACACTCGACGAAGGCAAGCAATTAGATGTAAAAGCGATACTCGTGCGCCCGGATGGATCCTGGGAACCCAAGACAGAAAGGAATAATAACAATAATAATAATAACAGGCCAAGCGAACCGGGCATGTTGAAACGGAAACGGGAAGATGGCTTGAGTATCACCTCCCCAAATAATCATGGCCAGCAACAACTCTACCCTGACAGACCTTCAAAGCAATCCTCCACCCCTGAAGTTATTGAGCTCGATTAATTTTTCGAGTTTGAACCCTTTGTTCTCATGCTCGTTTGCATACATTCCGCTTTCGTCTTTCTACTGAGCGCGTACTTCAAATTATCTATACCCCATTTTAGTTTCCCCCGATCGCATCATCTCAGGCGCAAATACCATCTCCTTTCTCCTTGCATTTTTATTATTGTACTCCTAATCTTTCAGGCTTGACCTTTTTTTATATCCCTGGAGGCGCGTGTTAATTTGGCAATATTTGATATCCCTAGCTAGCATTTTGTTTTTTCCTTAACCTAACTTTGCATTTAAAGAAAGACCCCACGGTTCTCTGCATTTAACACATTTACACCCTTGTTCTCATTACACTAATTCTCCTACTCCAAAGGCCCCGCACCACCAAAAACAAAAAGGTTTCAATAGGACAAATGGAAATGGGAAGAACAGCATTTTCTATCCTTACTTGCATCTTTTACTTTCCACTTTGCTTTGGTTTAGACAGGATTTGAGCTCACAATTTCTGCCAAAGCTCAATTGTGGTCCATCCACACCTATATATATAAATTTTATGAATACATCCATCCATCATGGATCGATTTTTGTGTTTTGTTCCCATCCTTCCATGTGTCATACCATAAACTCCACTGGGTTGATGATCTTGGCAGACTTATTGAGCAAAGTTCTGAGGGAGTTAAGTCAAAACTTCACACATCTCAGAAATAATGATAGTAGAAAAATAAACGCGTTGACATACATATATATATAGACATATAATTGTTTATTAAAATGGGACTAATGGGGGGAAATGGGCGAGGATATTCATATTCAGAGGGAGAAGAAAAGGAGCATGAAAGCAAGTAAGATGAGGAAAATGAACTCCTGCAAATTATGTGCTTATCTAGCTAAGATGGACGAATGAATAAACGGAACCCCTGTTTTCTTTTCTTTTCTTTTCCTTTCTTTTCATGATATAAGGGGATTTTTTAGGCAGAAGCAAGTAAAGAAAAGACCTGCTTTTCCATCACTTTCTTCGGTTTTTTTGTCCCTTTGAGCTTCCGTCCCTTTACGCTGGGTTATTTTTTTTAATTTTTATTTTATGTTTTTTTGTCTTTCTGTATTCCATGTTTGCGTATATCGTTTGCTGAATGGTAATGATCTGAAGAGGGTATTGTGGCTGTGACCTGACGAATAGACGCATGAGCACATACGTTCTACGGAGGAGGCCCCGGATATGTATGTATCCCACCGCGTGGAACAGGCAAACACTAGCTTATTTTTACTTCCTCACCTGCCTGGCATGTTTGACCAAGTTCTCAATAACACCCTCAAATGCCTCTTTCTCGCCAATTTGCGCGTCGCGGCGTTTTAACCAGTATTCCAATACCTCGCTGGCGCGTACGGCTATCCTCTCCAGTTGTGCTATGTGCTGTCTCAGTTCATCGTCTGTGAAGTTATCCAGTGCTGCATCTGTGGTGGCGCATAAGCGACGGACGGCTGAGAGATCTAGTTCCGGGGGGGGTTCCAGACCACGACGTCGCGGCGGACGGCTGCGTGATGTGGAGCGAGCTGAGTCAAGAAGGGTAGAGGAGTGTCCTTGGTAGTCATTTTTTGCGTTACTAGTGGGGGACAGGCCGCCGGCGGCTATGTTAGAGGAGGATGAGGAATTACCCTCGAGATTTATCGAAGGTAGGACAAGCTTTTTCTGTTTCGAGGCGGGGAGGATCTCGTCTAGGTCAACGGGGACACCTAGGGAGACGAGGAAGACACGGCGGATACGGGATTTTGTCCAATTGGCGGGTTGGAGAGGAGGTGGGGAGACAAGTTGTGACCATAGTGAAAGAGAACGTTCGGTAATGAATATGGCAGAGGAGTCTGGGATGGGCGAAATGGGTGGGAGAGATGGAAGATTTGCGGAACCGGGTAATATAGCATCGAGGTGACTGGATGTTGCTGCGAGAAGATCCGGGAGGGTTTTTATAGATTCGAAATCTAAAAGCGGCGGCTAGATTGAATGATAACCTATCAGTTTACAGTTCCTTTTCTTTCTTGAGGAAATAATCAGCTGTAGACTAAATTGTAGAAAATAAACTTTTCTCGAATCGCCCGATGCCGTATACGCATGGTTGGGATTGTACTTTATACTAAGACTACTTACAAGTGAAGGCGATGGAGGTTGTTGCATGGGGACACCGTTAATCTGGGCCGTACTCTCATTGGTAATCTCCATTGGTTGTGGAAATTCAGCCTCCCCAAAATCACCGAAATCGTCCTCTTCAATGTTTCCTTCTCCTTCTTCGAAATCATAAAAATCATCACCAAAGGCTTGGTCATCATCTACAGCAGTATCATGTGCAAAACTATCGTCAGGGGCTTGTTGTTCCGTTACAGAGCTTTTCCGTCGGACATGGCTTCGATGCTCGGATCTACTAGTCGAAGAGTTTGGAGACCCTGGTTTGGTCAATCGTCCCTCTGAAATCCGAAAAGGGTGGGCAAGGAATAGGAGAGAGGCATACCTGGAACGTCAGGAATTGTCTGAATGACATCTGGAAGTGCATCACTAGGGCGTCTTCTGTGTGCGTTAAATAATCGTCGCGAATTGTTTTCAGGTGGAGATTCGACCCGGGAAAGTACGGTTTCCGGAACTGGACTTCCCTCACTGCCGCTATCCCGACGTCGATTTTGCGATGTGATGCAAGTTTGAGGTGTCTGTTCTTGGATTTTTAGTATCACATCCGGTGCAGAATCTGCTTTATGGGATTCATAAGCAAGTGTCCCTGGTTCTTCTCCGTAGCTCGGTGAGGTTGGGTCGATTTTCTCGACAACAGTCCGTGGAGCAGGAGCCAAGTTCGGGGGTAAGGCAGCTCTTATGCTCGCACTTGACTGCGGTCTGCTGGGTGGTCTGCTGCCAATAATCTCGATCTCATCTGGAACAGCATCTAATACCCTTTTTTCGTATGCAGGGGAGCCAGGAACCTCTCCGTAGCTTGGAGAATCATCGATCTTCTCTACACGGGTCCGGGGTATTGGTGACGGCGTTTGAGAACGGAGATGGGTTGCGATGCCTTCAGAAGCGTCAGAGAAGTGTTCATCTTCACTTTCGCACGCTGCAGACAACATATCGGTTAGCAGCCATTCCTTCTACTAAATATAAACTTATCAGTGAGAAATAAAACGTACAAGATGGCTGAGCCCCAGGGTCATCCAGCTCAACCCCTTTCGGTGGCGGCTCCAACAAGATGCTCGGAGGGCGAGAACACCGCTCTGCCATTATAAAGGTCTCAAGTCGTCTAAATCAACGCCCATTAACCAGCACATATAACGCAGTATATTGTGGCACTATTAAAAATTGTGTCTAAGAATGAAATGAAAATGAGCAAGATATAGTTGGGCCGACATTTGACGTTTCAAGGTGCTGAGATTCTGCCAAGGCGGTCTGGAGCCAGCAGTCCTGTTATTGTATCGTTACCGTTTCTCGAAGCTCTCCTCAGTAGAATGTCGTGTGTAAAACATTGTATGATGTTGTATCGAGACCTCGCCGCGACGCCAAAAGGAGCTCTGCACAATTATCCACAAAACACTTCAACCGTTCAAGGCCATAGAGCTGTTGCTTTTCCAACACCCGTATAATATCCCTCTAACTGGTTACACGAACTACTGTTATATTTACCCCAGGTTGCACCACTTTATACGTTCTCATATTCCCCGTCTAATGTTGACAAGGTCTGCTTCAAATTCCAGATGTAACTAAGTCTACTGTACTGACTGCCAAATTGCTAGGAAACACCCGTTCTGAAACCCAGGGAAACAAACCACAGGTATCTTCTGCCACGATGTCTAACCTATTTCAGTTCGGGACCTCGTCTACATCGGGAGGTTCCAATGCTCCTACATTTGGTACAGCGGGCACCTCGCCATTTTCCCAACCTGCGCCCGGCAAAACTACTGGTGGTCTCTTTGGCAATATCGGGGCAACACCCACAACAACAGCAGCAGCAGCAGATCCGCCTTCTGCACCCTTGTTTGGAGGAGGCTCGACGACCCCAACAACAGGGCAGACGGCTTCTTTGTTTGGAGGTCAAAACTCAAAATCTACGTTTGGCAACACGTTAACGAAACCTTCAAATCCAGGACAGAGTGTTGGGCACACTCCGACGACGAACCTATTCGGAAATGCAAGTCAAACCCCTAAATTAGGGGAGCCTACATCATCTGGCAAGCCGCAATCGGTATTATTTGGGGAACAAGGAAAAACGACTCCAGCCACTAGCGGCTTGTTTGGAAGTACTACTCCAGCACCATCGAGCGGACCATCATTGTTTGGGAACCTGTCCACCACACCTGCCGGACCACCCCCTCAGACCTCAGCTGGGCAAGGCCTTTTCACGAGCCAAGCATCGACAAAGGCCAATGAGCCAGCATCTCTTTTTGGACAAAAGCCAACTTCCTCCCCTTCCTTCCCAGGCTTCAGTGCAACAACCAGTGCAGTGTCGCCACTAAACGCTCCCACAACTACGGCAGCAGCACCAAGTTTCTTCACAAACACTACTCAAATGCCAACGCCAAACTCAGGCAACTTATTCACTTCCTCGCCCGCCAAAGCTCAAGGCGCGGAGGCTGGAAAGTCAGATGCAAAACCACCCCCACCCACATTCGGTGCAGCCCCAACGTCAACCACTCCCGGTACTTCGGGAAGTCAATCACAACAAAAGCCATTGAGCTTCCCTACCTCCAAACCCTCTTCGAGTGCTTTTACACCAACCGCAATGTCAGACACCGCTCAGAAACCCCTTTTTGGAAATCTGGCGCCTACCTCTACTGCATCGGCTACAAGCACAACGACAACGGCACCCGCTGGTGGGCTATTTTCTAGTCTAAGTACTCCGAAGACAACTGCCCCCAAAGACTCGACTACCCCAGCCACTTCATCAGGTCAGCCAGCCAGTGGAATGTTCAACCTTGCTAAGACGACAACCACAACAGCTCCACCAACGTCATCTTCAGAAAAGATTTCTGCTTCTGGAGCAACAACTACAGCCGCCGCCACTGTCACTAGTGCTAGTGCCACAACTGCAACGCCCGCGACAGCCGGTGGCCTTGGTGCATCGACAGTGGGACCGGCTCCCCCAGCACAATCACGGCTCAAAAATAAAACCATGGATGAGATCCTTACTCGCTGGGCCACTGATCTAGCAAAATACCAAAAGGAGTTCCAAGAACAAGCTGAGCAAGTTGCCAAATGGGATCGGATGCTTGTAGAAAATGGAACGAAAGTGCAGAAACTGTACGGCAATACCGTCGACGCAGAAAGGGCTACGCAGGAAGTTGAACGGCAATTAGCATCTGTAGAGGGACAACAAGATGAATTGAGCTCATGGCTCGATCGTTATGAACAAGAGGTTGAAGCTTTGTTGTCGAAGCAGGTCGGTTTTACAGATTCATTGCAAGGACCTGATCAAGAACGTGAACGAACGTAAGTCCAAATTGCTTCGATACCAATGCCAATCCAGTTTTGTCATCTTCTCCAGCTCACATATTTGCAACCCAACTTCGATAAACTAACCTTATGCAGATACAAACTCGCGGAACGTCTCTCCGAACGCCTTAATGAAATGGCCCAGGATTTGACAAGCATGATCGAAGAGGTCAATTCTGCTTCCTCCACTTTGAGCAAAACCACCAAGGCTGACGAACCGGTATGTCCCACTAAGCGCTATTTATTCATATTACAAAAGCGCACTCTCTCTGCTCGTCCTAACCTTTTCATACCTCCCAGATATCTCAAATCGTCCGCATCCTCAATTCTCACCTTTCCCAACTTCAACTCATCGACCAAGGCACGGCAAATTTGCATGCAAAGATCGCAGCTTCGCACAAGCTAGGTAGCTCTCTTAGCGTCCATCAAAATATGGGCTCATATAGCCAATATCGGAATGGGACTGGAAATGGGATAAGTGGCGGAGATGCCGCAGGTGACTTCTATAGAGCTTACATGGGACGTAGGTAAAGGATGGAGTGGTGGAAAGCCTGCAAGGGATGCCTGCACTTTGTCTCATAAATAATAAGCCCGTACCTCTTCTGGACTCATTTGGGTCGTTGTAGATATACCCAAAATTTTGTGATCATTGTTTCCGTTTTCCTTTTCTTTTTCTCTTTCACTCTGTCATCCGTTTCCCTCCAGTTAAACCAATTTTTGACACTTTCAAATCCTCCGCTAGCTGTTCTTGTAAAATGAGAAATGAATTCGATGAAATACAGGGGCTAATTATCTATTTTCATTTTTGTCTCCCATCTCATTGGATGAAACCCAATCGAACATATATATAAACTCGCGTTCGCAACTATACAATCAAGGATGCTTTTCGTGAAAACCACCAGCTTCTCGGGTTAAAGTCCCTGGCCATGTCTTGCAGCAATGAAACAGTAACCACGATGGCATTGAAGACATGTATTCCCCCCATTTGAACTTCTCTTTCTCCTTTTTCCTTCTCATGATGTTTCATGCACACGTATCTGCTTACCTTCTTTGGAACGGGGAATCCGATTTCAAGGAACCATACTCTCGACGACAGATTAGTTATCAGCAAATAACATATAAATGCCTCCTTCAAATTTTTTTCACCAGCAATCAAGGGGAAGCCCAGCGTATCAAACAAGAAAGAAAACACTACAAGGAACCGGGAGATATGTAATTGCCTTGGGTTGATTTTCTGGCCCTCTTGTAGCAGGATAGGAATGGAAAAGAACAGGAAAAATGCAAAGAATAAGAAACGAAACGAAAAAATGAAAAATGTGAGGAATAAAATAAGAAGGAAAAGGGGGAAGATAATGACAAAATTGGGTGGATATCGTATCATCACAGGCGGAAGAAAATCATTGATATATATATTCCAACTATCTTTCCCACCACTCGACTTGTTTAAGACACGTTAAAATGTGTATGTATATGAAAATATGTGTCAGAGAGAGGAGATGATGAAAATGAGAGACAAAAACTCAAAGAAAGATGAGAAAGAGGAATGGAAAAACTACCTATGAGTCCAATGCTAATTTTTCACTTTCCTTTCCCTTCCTTTTTCGATTTTCCTATTCTGGCCCCTAAATTTTCTTTCTTTCTTTTTTTTTGGTACATATACTCTTTTATTTCATCCTCTTTTACAAAGGCTACTTTGCACAAACTAAAATGCACAAGTAAAAGTGGAAAACAGAATCAAAAACCACCCAAACAGAAAATGTTTTGTACATCCGTAGATTTTTTAGTTCTGTTCGCCACCGTGTTCTCTGGTGAGTTGTTCACTGTAAAAGAAATTCATAATGGTCAGATATACATATATACATAGATATAGAGGATGGTGCTTTGAAAATGCAAAGCAGCACGGGGTTACGGGTGGGAAAAATGGAAACAAATATAGGCACGTACATATGAGCATCAAGTTCATCGAGATGCTGGCGCTGTTGTTTCAGCTTTTCTCTCAAAGTACGCAACCTGTCCGATACGTTTAGAATGTTTAACATATTAGAATTTCCCAGGGTCCTGCCCTGTCCACCTCCCCAATCCTCCAATTGCCTTCACAAATTTCTAGAGCAAGGAAGACAGGGGATCAGGGAGCGCGGCGGGAGGGATCGGATATAAGGATAAAAAGGGAGTACAACGTACTTTTCCAGCTCCCGTTGCTTGATATACATGGCTTCATCGGCAGCTTCCTTCTTGCTCCATGAATTGCTAACGTCGAATAATTAAGTATCCATTAGCTATCTTATTTTCCGATAAAAAAATTTTTTAACTTCCTTTGCGTTTTTTCTTTGCGTAGACAATCTGAACAGCCTTCTCGTTTGTCGTGACGGGCAGCTTTTGTGGACGCAGAGAGCGCTAGAGAGATAAAAAAACAAAGAAAGCTTACGTAGTGGACAATTTCCCGGTGGACTTGGGAGCACCAACATCACCTTCACCCATTCTTGCGGCGGCAACGGAGAACAAGCGATTGAGGCGTGGCTGGCTCGCGCGGAGAAGAGGCCTGGCAGTTTGACGCAGCATGTTTGATCAGGGTATGAGTTTGTGTAAGCACACAAGCTGAGAGGAAATTGAGTTGGGTGGGAGAGCGGTAAGGGAGAAGGGAGAGCTGCAACTTTATTCGTCAGAGATGTACCTTCAACAATTGCTAGCACTTTCTATTTCTTATAAAAGGGGGAGAGATCGTACATTTGCTAGTGCGGCAGTGACTGTTTGTTTGGATGGACGGGAGTGCTGTTGGTGGAGGTTTGCTTCAAGGGCCCAGTTTATCCAGAGGCTAGCTTCCTTCGGCAAACAGTCGTCTGGCACATGCGTCATTGCTGACTCAGCCACGTGCGAGACCCCAACGTTGCCACAGTTAAAGCATAATTCGCTGGTAAATGTAAGGTGGCACATCAATTATCTGCCGCCAGTTCAGATCTACTGTGCAGGAAAACACAGCGGAAATACAGTGAATGGCTCCAAGAGTGTCACGAAAATATTGACCGACTGTAATTCTTATGAGGAATGAGGCTAATGTTTTACGTAGATCGATCTGACTTGACTCAGAGCTGCTCGTAAACTGGCAACTTCGGTGTTGAACAATAACAAATGGAGAGTCATTCCTCCTCTTCTCTTTTGGCCATATCAAAGAATCGAAACGAACAATACCGACTCTCCTGGTAACTTTGTTCCCGTTGATGCCTCTCTGAAGCGGGAGTAAGGCGGGGAAGCAAAATAATTCTTCCAGTGTCTGTGAAGGAAAGAAAGAACTGATTCTCTCTTCAACGCTGCCTTGCCAACCTGCTTGCCGCCATTTGTGCGATATCGCTGGGCTAGTAATAGTGTGATTGAGAAAATGGGAACACCCAGCCAACTGCATGTCGAGAGCAAGAATTACGCCTTATATGCACAGCGCTTCTTAGCGTTGAAATTCTGTCTAGGGCACAAGGCTCAGTCGATATGGATTTCGAACGGCTGGACATATATCAGATAATTTTTACCTTTGATAAATTCAATGCACAATCATAGCTCAGTCCTGTGTAAAAAATTCGTGCATAGAATACGAGTCTTATCTGCTCGATACAACGTGGGAATATTGAATGTACCAGCAGATAATCGTGAAACATACCCGCTCAAGACTGGTGTAAAACGTAGAGGAGATAGTAGCCGGGAAAATGCCATTTTGAAGATATGATCAACTGTGCATCGCATGGACGCCTTGTCATTGAGTTGCCCAAAGAGCGTGCTGGCTGGGGCCGTGACTGGGCCGTGTTGCTGACTACTCCGCTCAACCTCCTCACCTGATCCACTCTCACCCTCTCCATTTCTTCTATCTTCAACCTTCTTCTTCCCCCGATGTTCCAACTCTCTTCCCCTCCATCCCATCTCTGCACACCCACAACGTCTGCTTTTCGGTCTGCCTCCTAATCCGCCCTCTGTCGATCAATCACTGCTCGTCTCAAGACTTTTATTCTTTACCTGTCTTTCATCTTAACTTGTCACAACGCGTTGCCTATCCCAGGTGAGAAGTGTTTCTTGTTTTCTGTGTGTGATTTCACTGTCTTGCGTCAGCAACCGGCTTCCATCGCTGCATTAACACCCATCGGTATTTCTGTCCAAGATTATATGTTTTCGGGTTGCAATTTTTGGTAGTCTGCATCCATATCCATGCTTCTACCATCCTTTTAACTTTATCTGCGTCTCGTCATATTCTCTGGATGGTTGAGAACTACCATCGTGTGGTGTCACAACACCAAGCATTCCACTCCTAATTGTTCCCCTTCTTCTACCCATCCCCTTTACCCATATTTCCTACATCACAGCTCCACCTTGCGCATTTTATTGGGGATTTGGTTTTGATGCTATTTCCAAGACTCCCATGAATGTGAAGCCCCCTCTTGACAAGCAACCCCTCATATCTTTTTCTTCTTCTAGTTGAATATCTTGGTTATGCCTAGCTCACGCTAACTTATATCAATTGTAGGAATCTTGATTCATAATGGGTTACGAAGATGCTGTATATCTGGCCAAGCTCGCCGAGCAGGCCGAGCGCTACGAAGGTAGGTCCGATATTTACTATTTTCCACAAGCGCTTACCATGATAAGGAAGATATTAACTCCGGATTAGAAATGGTGGAAAATATGAAGATTGTGGCTTCCGCAGATAAAGAGCTAACCGTGGAGGAGCGTAATCTACTTTCCGTTGCTTATAAGAACGTGATTGGCGCCCGACGTGCCTCCTGGAGAATCGTCACCTCGATTGAGCAGAAAGAGGAGTCGAAAGGCAACGAGTCGCAGGTTGCTCTTATTAAAGAGTACCGTCAAAAGATTGAGACTGAGTTGGCCAAAATCTGCGAGGACATTTTGGATGTGCTGGATAAACATCTTATCGCCTCTGCAGAAACTGGAGAATCCAAGGTCTTCTACCACAAAATGTAAGCAATTCTTTGTTTTCCTGATTTTAGTACATTGGACTGATTTGCTGATTTGTCTGTTGGTTTTAGGAAGGGAGACTACCACCGCTATCTCGCGGAGTTCGCACTTGGAGACAAGCGCAAGTCTTCTGCTGACAAGTCTCTTGAGGCTTACAAAAATGCGACTGAGGTTGCTCAGACCGACCTTGCCCCAACCCATCCCATTCGTCTGGGTCTTGCTCTCAACTTCTCTGTCTTTTACTACGAAATCCTGAACTCCCCAGATCAGGCTTGCCACCTTGCCAAACAAGCTTTTGATGATGCTATTGCCGGTACGTTGTTACTTCAAAATGATTTTGTCCTTTAGAGCGTAACTAACTTCAATTCGCAGAACTTGACACACTGAGTGAGGAGAGCTACAAAGACTCGACCCTTATTATGCAACTTCTGAGAGATAACCTGGTACGTACTCCCTCTTCTTGTCCCATAATCAAACTCTGGAAGTAGGCGACTGAATATCTAACTTGTGCTCAAGACTCTTTGGACATCATCCGAGGCGGAACCCGCTCCCGACGCTGGCTCCGCCGCGGCTCCCAGCGCGCAAAAGGAGGATAACACACCCGCTCCTGCTGCCGAGGATGCCCCTAAGGCAGCTGAGTAGATGATGGGAAAATAATTGAGTATTTTTGCTGTTTTTAGATCGGAGGAGTGGATACAAGGGAAACTGTGTGTCTTGCTATTTTGCCCGTCTTTTTCGAAATATTCGTTCTGTTCCTTATTTACCTTCAAAAACCCCGCGCCAGCTCCTGATTACCTTTTTCATCACTCATCAATCTCCCAGTGACACACACTCTCTCTCCTGTCTCTCACTCTTAATCTCCCACTCTCGTTCCTCCTTGATTTTAGCGGCTGGGAAGTTCAACAACTATTATTCTACTTTCTCGATTTATCTTTTTCCTCCCTCACACTTCCCCCTTATTATTGAAAACTAAAAAAGAAGATTGATTGAGTTGACAAATACGCTTTTAACGTTCCTCCATGAAGAAACATCCCCCCAACCGTTCATTTCCCGTATTCTCTTTCTCTCTAAAAATAATTTTTTTTCCTTTTTTTCTTTTGATAAATGGAATAGGGTAGGTAGAGCGTGGGCGGTCACCCAACTTTTTTCGGAATTCCTTCAAACTACAAAATCATCACCTCCTGCAAACCAAACCCCCATATGCTACAAAATTAAAAGAATAAACGAAACGCAGTCGCCACAGATATATATATTCATCTCATTTTAGCATTCGCCTTCCCCCTCCCCTTCAAAAAGATAAAAATAAAACTGTTATTTTACTTATTTCTTGACGTAATCTCAAGTCACTGTAAAATTGGTAGAAGATGGGGCAACAGCAAACAGAAGAGATTATCATCGTCTTTTCGAATTCTGAAAAGCTGATCCTGTCAAATCCTCTGCATTTTCCATTCTTACTTTTCATTCCATTTTTGTTTTTGTTATGCTAAATTTTCTTTTTTTCATTTCTATACAGCCAGGTCTTTCTCTCTTTGCATTCAAGCAAATGAGGGTTTCGATAGTTCTTTACTTCCTTGATTGTGTGCATTGGACTTCATTTCAAAAGAGCAATGGATGAATGAATGCATATGCTTCTCTTTTTACATTACCTCTATATTTTATTCTCTCAAGTGATGTCAATCCACAAACAGTAGACATATGCACATGTGCATGCACATGTACATGTTCCTGTGATTCATGTCTTTATGTTAGTTAGACCGCTGGGGCAAAAAAGCTCAATCATCATCAATGCCATGTCAGTAGTAGAGAAAACCAAACCCCCCGCAGCTTGTTTATTACTTCTTAAGTCAACCACTATCCAATCAGTCACAATCTGCCAACAAACACAATAAATAATCAATCTCCATCAAAGTCTATATTCATCTTGATACCTTTTTTTTTCATCACAAACCCAAGACCTCTTGCAGTTGATTTTCAAGTGAGGGGGTGGTGTTTGTTAAATCTTATCTAGCCAACTTCTTCCCAGCCCTCAGGATTTCTTGATCTCCCTTGTTCACACCCTAGTGAGTGAGGAATTGTGATGACTTTATTTGACACTTATATACATTACAAGGTTATATATTTGGATCATCTTTTATCTCAGCATTGGGTTCTCACACTAATTCATTGTCTTATTCTGTTTCGAGTTTCAAAATGGGAGTGCGTGTTCAATGATGTGATGACCTTTGCTATATCAACAAAATATCTCTTATACGTATATTTCCCCTTTTTATTCTATCTATAAATAATGTCAATTCATCCTCCAACAATAGTGGGTAGTATCTAATGATTTATGAGTTACAAATTAGATTCGTTTGTCGTTTACCTCTCAACTTTCAGCTACAGGAAACTAATAGGCGGCAAGCCGCGGAAGCGGGAAACGGGAAGTTGAAAACGGATGAGGAAAAAGTATATAATTTGCATGAAAAATTTGAAGTTGAATCTTAGGTTATTCCAGTGGACACTTTTCCTCCAACCTAGCCGTCCCGTTTCTCTTTTCTATTTTTGAGCGCTTACTGGTTGGTATATTTACCTAGGAACCATGCATGGGGTGGCTGAATTTACTCCTATCTGAAAAACCAAACGCAGAGGAAGTAAATCAAGACAAACCTTTGCCCGGCAGCCGTTTTCTTCAATACGTTTTTACCTTTCGAAAAAAAAGAAAAAAATTTTCCTATGGATGTTACGCGAAGGAGACGTATTAGAGAGTTGGGTAAAGCTGAATTTCATATGGAAACTCTAGGCCGTAAGAAAAACGAAGACGACAAATGTACTAAGTATGTATGATATCTAATGAAATTTCTCTCTTTTAGGAGCAAAAATAAAAAGAAGGAACTAAAGCATGTCCTTGATTCGAATTTTCTACTTTTGTTCTTTTTATTCGTTAGCTTGAACTGTACATGTACTCTGTGGATGCTGTGATATGAAGGGTATATGAGATATGTGTGGGGACGAGGGTTATGGGGGATGAGGTAGAGCAGAGAATAAAAGCTAGGTTCAAAAACTTGCCATGTTTGATAGGTAAATGGATGGATTGGGATTCTGTATAGGGTGCTTGAAATAGAGGCGAAGGGGGTAAGAGGTAAGTAAGTGGGACGTATTCTCATAATGTACGATGGTGAAACCCTTCAGGCAACAAAGCGGCACCGAAACAAAAAAGACAAAAGACGACATAATGTAGTGGGTGATAGGGCAGCAAAAGCAGGGACTCCAGGAGCTGCGTTGAAAAGTCTAGAACGCAAAAACAAGTTGAAAGGTATGTGTATATATATATGTGTGTGTGAATGGCATGGTATTTATTTCTTTCCATCGAGCCCGAAGAAATGATATTTTTTAGTTCTGTTTCTTGTGGTTTTTTTTTTTTGAGAAGAGGACGGAAGAGCTTTATAGTCTAGTAAAAGCTCCCTCCACCCCTTCTATGCGACAAATCCTTTAATTCCATCCATAGTAAGAAAAGAGGGAGATAAGAATTTCACCAAGCCCTTTCAACACACGTATATGAACTCCATCAACCACGCCTGGTGTGTTTCTTCCGACATGAATTTTATGTAAAATGTCGGAAAGATAAGAAAAGAAGCATATGGAATGAAATAAGAGAATTTGGACAAAAAGGGGATGAAATAGTGGTAGAAGGAAAAAAGTGGAAAGAAAACTCAACGCCTCTGCTTTGGAGCCCACATAAAGAAACCAGAAGGAACAGAAAAAGCACATAAGTGAATAACAAAATAGTATAACTCTGTTCAAGGAAAGCGAAGGAAAAAAAAGATCCGCAAGAAAGGGTCTGAGGAAGGAAAAAATCATACACGGCACAGGTGAAAATTAAGTATCTGATAGACAAGGGGAGAGAATATATCGCACTCCTGATTCAGCAGGGGATCGGAAAGCCTGATAAAGACAAAAGGTTGAAAAAAGAATCGTAGCATTTGATCCCAGTCTCAGCCATGGGTTGAGCATATTTATGTGCAGTCAGATGCAGAAAGTTTTAGATCCGTCCTCCTTTGTCAAATCGGCTCGATCAGAGCGAGTGATAGGGGCTTTTCAAGGGCAGCAGCGCAGCAGCGCACTACACATCGACCCAGAAAACGCATACGCGAGGAAAATAGTTGTGTCGATTTGAGGGCTACGTAGACCATGCACGCACCATCACCTAGCTCAGAGATCACAGCCGCGCCTTCTTCTCACGGAAGATAGAAGACGGAAAAGAACGAAGAGATTAATAACCCAGTATGGGCACGGAGAAATCCGGGTATTGTTTCTTTCTGACGATTAGGTTATATTTGTCTTTCTTTAGTCAGGATGAGGCCACATGCTCACAAACTGGGCTTGCCACTAGCCTAATAAAATGCCTGGATTTGATTTCGGGCTGGCGATACCTCTCTTCCTCTCTATTTCCACACCGAACGGGGTACGACTCGTGCGAAGATGGATAAAAGCATAAAGAAGCAAGCAAAACTTGCTAGTGTCTAAAACTGACGGGGTATCTTGGATCGAAGGGGGTGATTCTAACGAGGCGTAATACGTAAAACTCGTTTCGCAACCACTCAATAACGATAAGAACACGTCGCTCAAGAAACGAATGATAAAGTAATGCGTTGCAGTCGACTTTCGCGGTGGGGAGTGTGTTTGATTTGGAGGTACAGACTCCACATGATTAAGAAGATTAAGGGTGTATTATAGGCGATAATAAAGGTTATGCTAACGCTGCTGATCGAGGGTCGTAATGCGTAATAGTATCATGAATGGATCGAAGATGAATTCGAGGTATGAGTCGCTATGTCCTCAACCTGGTCGTCGAGACCAAGGGAACAGCCAATTGTTTATTTTGAGAGTGGGTGGGGGAAGAACGGAAATAAGAGGTGGGAAACGCATTTCAACATCCCCCCGGGTTTAACTGATCACTTCTGTTGTTTCTTGCCTTTCCCGACACCACTGGTCGATGTAACCTCCGTCTTAGCGGACATCGTCCGTGTGAGACCACCGATATAGTCCTGTAGGAATCTATTCTCATTTTCTAGTTTGTCGTGGTCTGACTTGACCTCATCAATGCGCTCTGCGAGGGCTTGCAGAGATGACTGCAAGGTATTTGCTTGCCTGCACGGACGCGTCGGGTTAGCATCATATATAGAAAGACGTGGGACATGTCAACTTTGTCAAAGGTGGGGGAAAAACAACAAATGGCACAATAGCCAACCGGAAAGGGTTATATCACGTAAGAGAAGAGTCCTTTGTCGATCGATTGTATTTTTTGCGCGAAACTCACTTTTGTAAGGCCTCTCTTGCTTCTCTACTAAGTTTCTCAACATCTGCCGAGTTCCTTCTCGGACTCATGGCACGAGCGTCGTCCGGGGGGAATTCCTCCTTCTCGATCTCAATTTCAGGATGGTCGCGGGGGACAAGAATGGAGGCACTGGGTTTCCGACTCGCCAGGCGGGGACGGTCAGCCCTGGATTTTCGATCATGTTCAGTATCCGATATTGAGGATGACGAAGACGAAAGAGCCGAGACATGCACGCTGTTGATATTCTCGTTTGGAGATGGCATTGCCGGCACTGGATCTGATCTATTGTCCACACCAGGTCCAACAGCCATTCTGCGATATTATGGACCCCAAATCCGCCAAGTGAAAATATTAAGTTGAAAAAAAGAAAGCTGAAAAGAAAAATGACGAGGTGCCAGCTCTCAAATATCACACAGATGGCAATAGATCTCGAGGTTGGCCACGACGAATCAAGAAAAGAAGCTGTTCGAGAGGACAGTAAACACCCAAGCTAGTGGGAGACCGCCAACAGCTATGATAAAGAAATCAATCCACGAGGCGGCTATAAATCGAGAAGCTGCTTTTTTTTTTTCGGGAATGGATAAATGATCCGCAGAGAGAAAGCGAAAATATGGGGAGAATGGAAATGGCGGGCGAAAAGTTGTCAGGGCCCAACGAGTCGAGCGGGTGAAGTGGTATAGAGCCCTTTTGGGCGGGGGGTGTTGATGTATCAAGGAGACAGAGGGGGGAACGTGTGAGAGAAGAGGGAAATATAAGGTGAGAAGAGTAGAGTCTAGCAAAACCGATGTATAACGAAGAAACCAGTCGATCACCTTGTAAGGCGCTGAGGGAGGAACAGCGGCAGGGGAGACAAAAAGTCAGGAGAGGTGTGAGCGTTCGCTGGTTGAGAGAGAGAAAAACACCTGGCAGCGGCAATGAGGAGAAGGACGGTGAGGCAAAATGAAGCCAACAGCGCTGATTAATGGAGACAGAAAGACAATGTTGGACGCTTTCTCTCATCGACGTCGCTGACCGTGGAGTGCTGGGAAGGCCCTCTTGTCGCCGTTTGCCAGGCAGTCTCCGTCTCTGGCTTTCGGTCCTTTTAACAGGCTGTAGCGCTGGGGTGAGCGAGTGAGCGAGCGAGCGAGCGTGAGCGAAGGCTTGACTCTTCTCCTGGCGGTGGAGCAGTGGATGGGGAGAGTGGCCGGGGATGTTGGGCAAGGGTGGAAGGTTAACGCTGGTAGTGGAGTGGTAGCGCTGGTAGCATTGGTGCTGTTATTGTGGTGCTGGAGGTGGAGGTTGGCCCGTATTATTGGTGCGGTCACGTAACCGTGACGGAGAACGTTACATACAAGGCAGTCAGCCGATGAGGGCGCTGTGTCCTACTATTTGCTGGGTTTGCCAGGCCCGGTATGATAGCCTGACCCGCTTACCAAACCAGTACGCGACCACTCCTGTATTGGCGTATGTATTGCTGTAACGAGGAGTAAGTGGCCGATCACTAGGATGGATGCAGCATGATGCTGATGAAGATGGTTTCCACAGTTCCAAGGTTAATCATTTCGCTCAACCCCCAGGGGTGTGTAACTTGTGATGCAGTTGGTATTTTATCTTATTCTTCTTCGTCTTTGGCTTACGATCACGAAGGCTAGCGCAGAAAAAAGAAAATGCAAAATATCGTCATAATTACGAAACAAAAAACGATCAAAATAATCGCTGTAACTTAACAGAGAGCTACCACCGTATCGGGTCATCTTAACTTAATGTACAGAATACTTTTGGAGCATTTGAGCAGTCCTTTTACCTTGACTTCTGTCCTATAACTCCTATAACCACCCATCAGATTATTTGCCGAAGGATGGCTACCGTTCCATAAAATAACCCACCCCCAAAAAAATTACACCAGTGGAAGAAGAGTGGCCAATGAGGCTTTTATTAGAGCTTCCGTTTTGGAAGTAATAGCCACAGTGGGGGTTGGGCGATATTACATACAGTACCTCCGCAAACTCATTAGTGTACACAATAATATTCTGTACACGACATACCATTCTTACAGTCAGCGTACAGGACAGTGGAAAGCTGCTGGCATTCCCAGCTGTGTTGAACTTATCGTGGGTCAATGATTCATCATCAACGTCATGTACTCCGTCTCTACCTGTACAGTGTAGGTAGGAATGGCATTTGGAGGGCAACTCACTTCCTTATTCCCCATTCAAATATCAACTTCATTCTAGCAGATGAAATCCAAAGCCAAAGTCAGTGAGTAAGAAAGAATGTTGTCTACTATGTATATAGCACGCTTCCGAAGGAAGACTTGGGGAGTTTGACCCTCCAGGTCGATGTGAAAGTAAACAGATGCCCTTCTTATATTATGCAACCCTCTGGTTTAACTACACATTTTTAAACGGAAAGAAGATAGTTGGGAATACTGAGGGGATGTATTAGACTCTGCTGCCATGAGTTAAACAATCAAACTGACCATCAAGGCTTGAAGCCTCCACGCGACGCTTTCTGTCCCACACCTCAATTACTTGAAACCTTGCACAGATTAATAGTGGAATGCGCAACCCCTCCGCTGACCTGATAACACGCTGGTCCTACAAGATCTACAAAAATAGACTGGGAACTGACACCGACTGGAGGGGTGTACTATGGTACCTGCGCAACTAGGATACATAACCCCTTACATACCGGGGTTACAAAGTAGAAGACGACAAGGGGTACAGCTTCGGGATTCCGATGCAGGAGCGGGAGCAAGTACAAGAGCAAAGTAGCTCGCCGCCCGTAGTTGGAGGTCGAAAATGTATGCTGGGTTTCGGCTGACCAATCTTCCATGGACAAGGCAATGTTGAATGCTTGAGTATCATTCCGGGGCTCCGGGCACTGAGCTTCCAAGGGTGAATCTGGACTTTGACAGATGCAGCTGTACCCCTTTCCAGATAGCATCCTGACACTGAATAAACTCACAATTCCAGGAGTAAATAATTCAAATGATTAATAAATAAAAACATCAATGGCAGCAGTGTTTTGAATAATATATCACAATCTACTTTAATCTTCTTGAACTGGTCTCTCTGGCAGATTCATTTATCCACATTGAATTATATCATTCTTCTATAGGTTTAGCCCATTTGCCCATCTTGCAACAGTAAATTGTCCATCAGCACCTCAGAGTTGCTCTATAACTATATTATGAAAGACTAATATAATCAATCAACTGCAGAGCAAAGAACAAGTTATCGCATTCTATATTATCCTCAGGTGTTCCGGGGGGCCGTTGAATGTATAGTACTGTAGCCAGAACAAACAGGAAATACAGAGATCCAAACCTAACCGTGCAGGCAGCGCATCAATGTCTAAAAAGCTATCGTTCCATCATCATATGGTATGTATACAAGTAATTGCAATTCTAATCATTTCCATGTTTGCAGCTCTACAGGTGTTGTCCACAGAGACCACGTGAGTCAGACGCCCCTACCTAGGTACCATTTCATGTAACCTTAAAGTTAAAATACCTACCATGCAGTGCGCAACCATAACGAAAGATTATTCCGAAACTTTGTGGAAACTTCGAAATTAGCACTTAGTGTTTGCAACGGCCATGACGTTACAGTCCGTATTATTATTAGAAATAATTTATTTTGTGAGTGGAGATATCCAGTTCAATAGCTCTTATTATTAAAAATAGAGGCGATGATACATTTTCCCGGTCAATAATCAATAAGATATTGAACAAGGTAGGGATACTGAAGAGGCAAGGGTCCACAGTTATTTTTGTGAAAGCAAGAGACAAAAAACCGTACCCGAAATTTGAATCGATCAATTTAGTTGTTCGAAAGCAACTCGTCTGACGGATTCAAATAATATCTATTATTACTGAACTTTGGAAAAATATGACTCTCATCTTTGATCGTTTTGGTCGTTTTCTCCCTCTTTTATTTTCCGATATAAAAAATGGAGGGCGGAATATTCGTGCCTTAACTTTATGATGAGTTTAGCCACAGCGGTCCGTGTTTGCAGTAAGTTGCCATTATGCTCTCCGCAAATACTAGTATTTAACTTGAGAAATGAGTTCAGTCCCCAACCTAAAATAGAATGCGAGTTGGATAAAAAGGAGGATGGTGGAGTAGTCTCTGATTGGCCAATCTTTTGGCAAACTGTGCGTCTGCAATAAGTAATCTGCTTAACTTCGTCCTCTCACCAATATCCTCTCGAGCCTCGTGGCAAATATGAAAGGCACCATTTTGGCCACATAGGGTCTCCTCAAATCCTTTCCCCCAGCCTATATGCGCTTGGCAGTACCGGAAACCACTAATCTGGGGAGCAATCTAGTTGTACCCCGGCTTACTTTGGTGCAGCCCTAATACACTGGTAAAACAACACCATGAATGCATCAGCGACCAAAACAGCAGTGATGGGAAACTTGATACCAACTACCACTCCCTTTTCCTTTCCTTTCAGTTGGTACTGTACATTCTCCTGGATTTGTACCTGTGTCTTCACTATCAAATCTTAATGTTTACAGCCAGCCTTTTTATTTAGTAGTTGCCAACTACAGCCAAATTTTAAATGTAACATCATTTAGTAGTTTTTCTCGTAGCTATATACACTGTGGAACACCAGCGTTGGATCATATTTAAAACGACATTGCAAAGAATATCTATTGTACAGCGCATGCGCCCAATGAATAGGTTGATCCAAAAGCTGTTTGTTATAAGTTGGGCTGCAATATCAAGTGAAATTTGAAACACAATAGAGAATGACATCAGAGATGATTGACCGAGCTGACTATAGAAAATTATGTAGGGATTATCAGCAGGAAATACACTGCCAACTTATTGGTTTGGATAACTAAAAATTACCAAACATTCTTTAGTTTGTTTCAAAAAACGCCTTATGATTCTCATTGTATCTCTGTTTTCAGAATAAAATATCTAGGTCTGTTTCACAATTTTTGTTTTAAACAACTTAGCTTTTGATATGAAGTTGTTAGTTTTGATGAGCTTTGAACCTTCGATCTTTGTTGAGTATTTTAGATCTACATGTACGATGTATAACTAGTGCAGAATGCGAAGGAAGTTCTGTATAATATCATACATACACATAGTTACAAAACTTGGAGGTAAGATTGTATCAAGCTAACACACCAAGTACACCGATATATCGACTTCATCTGAATCAAAATACCTCTTTAAATTGGCGCATTCGTTATCTTAAGCCTTCCTTTCTATGGAAGAACAGACAAACATTATTCCCTCTAACAAAACAAACTCTATTCAGTATTATTAATAATATTATTATTATTTATATTATTATTATGGAGCAAAGGATTTTTCAAAAAAAGCCAACTGCTAGAAATGAAATCTGTGAAGGAGGAACTGTCAAATGCCAAGCGCTTTAATTATCCGCCAACTCCTTCCCTCTAAATCTGCATGGGTTTCTTCCGGAAGAATACAGCATCGTGATTGGTGGCTGAGAAAGGCATTTGAAGCGATCATCGCTGTGCTGTGTCAAGGGGGGATAATCGGCTTCCTTTTAAGTTAGCTTCTAATTTAGTTCAATCATCATAAAAGGTTGCATCATCGCAGGGAGACTTTGGAAATTGCAGTCTCTCTCTCCAGATGAAACTGAGAGAGCGGGAGGAATAACGGGTAGAGAATCACTCGAGAGCTGAAACAATGGAAACAGGATTAATTTATCGCTGTCAGCTATTTTGACGAATTGTTTCAAAAAAGCCAGATGTATTCGAACGTAGCCAAAGCATAAAATGGAAAGCAGCCTGTTCACATCGTTGTGATGAATCCTCGTCGCGGAATTTGAGTGGAAGATTCCATCTCTGGCGGAGATTTAGGTCATGTGCTGCGAGGGATGATGAATGTGCCTCGAGGGGATGTCGAAAGAAAACCAAGCGGGAACAATATGATGTCAGAACCGAAATGCCCATGGATGGATGCACAAACGGAGAACAGATGCTGTTAGGGTCTTGATTCCGTTTTTTGAAAATGGTGAAATAATTGGAGGGGAGTGCGGACACATGAAGACCCATCAATGAGCTGAATTTCCAACCAGCGGAGTTACGGAGTTTAAAATCTGTGAATCAAATGGTCGGCAGTCCAAAGACATTGCCATAACCTATGGCCTGTTTCAACATGAATCAAAAAACAATACTTACCCACTGAAATAGCTGAGAGGCATTTTCTGCTATGAGGCCTTGAATCATACCACATGACAGATATTCCGTCCTGAGTTCTGAATCACACAGTAAATTACTGCTGAGCCTGAAGCCAATCATGCGGCACGGTCTCCTATTACTAAATTGTGACTGCTTGTCCAGCTGGTGCAGAATTTCTGTCGTCATCGTCCAGGGGCGATGACAGTCGAGAGGATCTAAAAAACATCTCAGCAAGAATGACTTGCCTCGCGGAACATACCGAGATATCGCCTCTCATTACCACGTGTACTTCTCCATAATATTCTGTCAGGGTGGAAATGACAACAATCACTGCTGTTCATGATTGGTGCCACAATACTAGAATAGGTGAAGGATAAGATGTCAGGCGCAGTTAGAAAATTTACACAGACAGACAACACAGCAACTTACGCAGTAAACAGTAAAGTACCAAACTGAAATAACGCATCAGCTTCTCACCATGGAGGAGGAAAAAAACGCGTGAAAGCCTCTTTGTTCAACCTACCTAACTCCAAAGGACCTGCGTAGATCCACAATATCGCAATCCCGTGCCATTGACAGCAGGCCATCCTCACGGAACCAATCAATCGAAATCCCGCCACGGAAAAAAGCAGGTACGAAGAGTCAAAGGGAAGAAATGTTGGACTCCGCAAGCCGAGTTTCCACTCCTCACCCAATCCCATTTCAATGATGTCTGCTATGTCTGAGCCTCTGAGAGTATATTAGCGCGCTCAAGATGTTCCTGGCTCCCTGCCACTTGTTAGGCTGTGTCCATTTTGTCCTAAATCAGTTAACTGGTTAATTGGCGTGTTTATTCATAACCTTGATAGACAGCTTTTTCCGTTGCTTCATTGCTTGCCTCTTTATAGAAATGCCTGATCTGTTCCCCAGTGAAACATGGAAATGAGCTGATGTGACGATGATGATAATAATGGTATGGAGAAGGCAGTTCTGTCAATACAATATGTTTCACAAAATGTTTCACAGAATAACTTTGGATCATAACCTGCAGGTCTTACTCTCCATCATCCACTGAATCTATCATCACTCTTCCTTCCTTAGAGATTCGAGCCAATATCTACTGTTACGCTGTTTAACATTGAAATATATTAATGTAAAATTATTTCGCTCTTTACAGTACAGCATAATTCATCAGTTGTGACATGGGTAAGTGCTGATATATGTGAGGGTAGCTGATGTCGTAGTTACTCTCCTTCATATTTCGTATACAACAATGTAGTTCTTATTACCCTCCTTCTCTTGCGAGTAATGTATTGGCACAAATTAACAGAGGCTCCTTTACACAGCTCTTAGGTTAAATTGATATTGGCAAGTTCTTAACTCAACTCATTCAGCTCAAGAGCACAGATGCTGAAGGATAACACTGTACTATGTGCAAATTCATTTCCTGTCTCAAAGTCATCAACTGAGTTATACCTCAACCTGTCCATCGTCCGCCCTTTTCGTCGTCCCATAACCCCATCTCTCTTTCGAAAAGCTTATCCTCAGCAGGATTTGGAGTAACACAAGGCCCATCGCTTTTGGGGATGATTTCACCACAGAATTTTTGGGCCTAACTTTCACGAAGGGATTAGCGACAGGGGCTCATAGACAGGGAATATGTTGGCGTGTGTCTTTGTCTTTTGTATGACGGGGGCCAATTGTCCCTCTTGTGAGATGAGTGTGATACATGTGCGTGGAGTCACCTGGAAGCGTCCCGCGGTCGGAAACGAATATCTAATTAGATACGGAGATGCCTCCCCTTCACCCTGGTTGGAGAATAGCTCTGTAGGGATTTTAGATATGATGCATCATGTTCAGGAACGTCCAGAACTTTCTCTTGGATCAGGCTGAATATATCATTGCACGCCAGGAAAGGCTCCCATGGATCCTCCGGGCGCGCAGAATCGCTGGTCCGGGCCCCGCCCTCATCATCCCGCAGAGCCTTTTTTAAAAGAGCTTCTGCAGGCAAGCCGGTGAAATGCGGATTTGAGGTGTTAAAGCTGTGTCAGCTCGAAGAGTAGAAAAGTCTTTATAAAGTGACTCCCTATGTGGATATCACATACTCTACCCCTATTTTCCTTTTTGCCTCTGCGGTGTGACCCTCCCGATTTTGAAAACCCGGTTCCTGGGAATATCCGCTTGCGTCTTCTCTACCCCATCTCAGGGTGGGGTGTAACCATGCTATCTACGTATCCTGAAGGTGCGCGTGTGGGAGGATGGAGATGGAGCCTTAAATTTTTTTTAGTTGCATTATAGTATCGGTGGTACAGTGTTCTGATATACATGCAGTTCAATATACCTATTTGGCATATATCATGGTAGTTAGAAGACGAAGTTGATTAAGTTGGCTGGAAAAGAAAACTTGATAGAAGGAATGAGATGAGAGCTTACAGGCCAAACTATATGAGGCCTGAAAGATGACTACGAAGGTAGGACAAAGTACCACCTATCATTTTGTCATTGCAGATATGGACCGATGAAGAATCAGGAGGAATTTAACGATGACAAGGTTTTCATTTCTCAAAGGGTTAAAACATGCTGCTCGTTTACATTAGCACCAGGAGGGAGAGCTGTAGCAATCCCCGTAGTCAAAAGCGCGCAGCGTCAGGCTCGTATATGCACGAAATGAAAGGCCACAACCACATCATCTAGCAAAGTGCACACACTCTAACACAAATATTTTGTTTCCACCTTTTTCCCGAGTGATGAAATGTTAGTTTTCCCTTTTTTCAAGTTCAGGTGTGAAACAGAAAGCTGTAGGGCACATGCGCCAGTGGAATGTCTTGTTCAACAGGCCGGTGAAAGTCCGAGTTTGTATTATGAGAGAGTTCAGCAGAGTATTGCATTTACATCTGTTGTGGGGAAGAATTCGCAATGGGAGGATAGGCAGAGATAAAAGCCAATGACAGTATGCCAATGTCTTCTCAAAATACAGGAAACAAGAAAACGAGGGAGCGGGTTCACGTGTCAAAGAGGAATGGTTTATGCAGGGTATCTGGAAATAGAGCGTAAAAATACCTCAAAAAAGTGTATGTGCATGGATATACCTGGGCTTCGTAACAGCCATAGGAAATAATTAACACCAGTTACTGTTTACGAGCCATTTCCCATTGGTACAAGGCTCGAAGGACAGCCACAGCACCGGATTGGGTTTCAACAGTTCGCCCCCGGCCACGGTCATTCACATCCTGAAAGACAGCAGTATTCTGCTGGCCGGGAGATGGGCGGGATATCCGTTCAATCTTCTTCTTTTTCACGAAAGGAGACTTCTTATATCCCCCAAAGTAGATATTACCATCTGCACTTTTCAGCATTCGCCGATGGGGCTTATCACCGACATCTGCAAACGGGTCTTCATTCATGAAATCAACTGCACCATCTGGCAAGGGAGATGTTTGGGTGGGATGGAGATCGGAGTACGGATACGGTCTCCCCCACCACATACCGAACTTTCCTTTCTCATCCTTCGTCATGTACGAAGCGTTCGCATTGTGTGCCACCCAAGAATAATAAGAAGAACATTTTTCTTGGTGCCATTCATAGTCTTGCCTCTGTGATCTGATCCGTTCGGCTGTTTGCTGCTTGCGAGTGGAGGCAGAGAAATATTTTTCTGTTTCGTTTATGAGAGGGCGACAGAATTCGGTGAAATGATGGAAGAAAATGCTTTTGAATGTTTGGCCATTTTGCGAACAGCTTCCTGAACTGTCGCAGGCATCCTCAAGAACTCCAGCGCGTCCCAATCCATGCCATTTTTGGATAGAAGTATTCGGCCATCCAGTCGCCTTGATCACATTTTCTACCAGCTGGTGACCATCTTCTAGATAGAATTTGGCTCCAGTGGCAAGCCAAAGATCCCTGAGTCCGCTTAACAAAACCCCTTGGTTGTAGGTGTATACCATCGTATCCAAAACATCGCATTTCCTAGTACCAGGATTACGTTTGTCCCTCCATCCTTGGATGTGGAACCCATCCGCATATAACCCATTTTTATCGGTCATATTAGAGTTCTTCAGCCAGTCGTATGCAGCAACTGCGGCATTTAGATGGGTCGGATTATGCGGTTTAGAGATCATGTCGCCCGTAGCAGACTCCGAAAGCAAGGGTGAATCGATGTCATCACCAGGGAAATGTAGATACATGCCAATGCTCGCTGAAATAAAGAGCTCGTTGGTAATTGCATTTTTATACGGTTCAAGGTAGGGGCTCCAGATCATTCCACCACCGCAAAGGGAAGTATTCCAGCCATTCGAAGCTAGATCATAGAACAACCGAGCTCTGTGCGCAGCGGGTCTCCTGAGCTGGGTTCCATACCACGATGAACGCAAGATGTCGTTCAAATTGGAGTAGGAGGAGTAGTGTAAACCGGAGTGGATTTTTTGGAATTTAATGTTCTCCAACCATCCTAGGACTACCCACAACATGTCATCGTATGCCTGCATTCTCAAGCTGAAAGCGTCTTCCCCAAAGTAAAATGTTGATAGTTGCAGAAAATAGTAGTTTATAAGGTTTTCGTAGGCAAGAACGTCGGAACGATGAGATCCCAAAGTGGCGGAGCCGCCAGCGGCTGCCGAATGATGGTCGTCGAGAATGGCATGGAGATTTATGCTCAGTGAAGAGAGCGTTGCAGAGACGTGTGTTCCTAAAACTGCTGCAGTCCAATCAATGCTTGACGGCCAGGTACCTTGCCAAGTTTCGAAATATGACGATTGCATCACATCCAACGCGTTGAGCAATTTCTTTAGTGTGTCATCAGAAACATTGGGGTCGTGGATTGGTTTTTGCGGTTTCGACCCTTTAGAGGCACTCAATGGAATCGTCATTGCAGGATCATTGAGAGGTTTCTGTCGGCCATCACTGTCCGAATAGCCACTGTTTTCTAGTGGTTGCGCCAGCGCAGTGTCGTGAAGGGAAAGACATAGAAGAACTCCAACGGTAATAATAATGAGAGAGAAGGGGGATAGCCCTTTTCTAGGACACCTCAAGCGAGAACCCATACCGACGCTATAAGAACTGGGTTTTCCAGGATTTCTGTGGTGTGACGATACCTAAAAATATATAATCAAAAGGAGTTGAGGAGCGTGGGTATGGCAAGGGTGTGGCAACTTTATATCTATTCCTTGAGATAGGATCTAGTACTGGTAGCTGGAAGGGAGAAGTAATAAACGAAAGCAGTGCATCAGCTAACCAATGACACATGTAATGATGAACTGCGCCATTGGAAGCGCAAGGGAGTTGGAAGAGCGGTTATGTGGATAAAGGATGATGGCCTGATTTCGATGTTCCTCGACGCCTGTTCTGCGGGGAAAGATGCTTCTGTTTTGGACCTTGGCCCCTCGCCAAACCTTCTGCACAAACTTTAATCCATTCCACTGGATACAAGACTGCGAATAAATCAGCAGACCTCACTTTCGCCTTGCCGCAATAGATCTATGTATTTATGTTTCTATTTAAAGACATGATCAAAAACAACAACCATACAGCGGCAAAGTTCGTGTTTTTCACACGATCCACAGAATCCACGTGATGATGCTGGACATGACAGTATCTGCCCTGAGCTTGCGTCATTCTCCGATAACATGAAATATTTCCAATATACTCGGTTTTTCTAACGCGCCTGATACACATAGAGCACAGTCCATTTTGTTCACACGGCCAAGGGTTTCATCGCATACCAACCAGCTAGTAAGATTTACTCACTAGCCCTACATATAATCTTGTGACGTTTGACGCAGCTCATGAATCGGCAGCAGCAGCTGGGCAGCTCTATGCCCTTACATTTTGTCACAAAATCTCTGAAACCGAATTATTGAGTTGGGAAATCCCACTGACGGTATGTCCTACGTCAATTTTGCTTTTAGATCAGAATTGAGAAGAGCAGCTTCGGAGAACGGACAAGAATGAGCTATGTGACGCTAAGTATGATCTGATACTTTGGTATGTTGTACGCACATTTGCAACTGTATGTGCGGAGTTGGTGGTCGCTCGCCTGGCCGTAAGAAGATACCAGAGGTTGTGTAGAACAAAGGGAGAGAACAACTGGATAATTGTCTGAAAATTTATGTCTGAAAATTTATATATCATTCAGTCCAATTTACGGCTAAAGAAGGTAGCTAATGACATTTTGTTAGCACTCGAATTGTGATGAAAGTCAACATGGGAAGTCTTACCTTTTCCTTCGGGCTATCTAGCGCCGACACTTCTGTTCCCTGACGCCTTCGCATCCGGACTATGCGTTGAGAGCAAGCAAGCTAGATGCGGGTGTCACTAAGGAAGACAGAGTCGGCGAATTAAAATGGAAAAGTCCACTGCTTAGGAAAATCGTATTGCCATGGACAAACCATATCAGTCCCCGCCAAATCTTTTCCACTCGGGGCTATATTTCGCTGGTGCATGTGGGTTTTCATGCACCTTGATATTTCGTACAAGTGAGTAAAGGGAAACACGACATTCAAGACAGGTCCACTGGAAATAACAATAATCCGTAGTAGAAATTTTTTTCGCAACCCGATCGGGTTTTAACTTCGTCCCGCTTTATCTTCGGGGCTTCGACTTCGATCCCGACTCCTGCTCCGGGCGCGACCTCCTCGAACTCGATTCCCAACATTTCCCGATTTGCCTTTGTTATTTGACGGTGGTGGTCTGACAAATGCGAAATCGACCTGGATGGTTTGATCAAGTAGCTTGGCACCGTTGAGGGCTTCGATAGCGGCCTTCGCTTCGGGTAAGGTTGTGAATTCGATTAAAGCGTAGCCCTGTTAGGCAAGTGAGCAACGTTGCCCGATTATAATAGTCAGCATAGGTGACAGCGACGGAGATTGATAGCAAACTAGACCAAATAAGAAAATAGGAAAGGGAAGCGATAGGAGTGGTAAACGGGGAGGGAAGTAAGACATAGATTGGATGGGGATGGAGATAGAGCTGGGCGCAAGAGATCATATGTTACTTGCCTTGACATAACCCGTCCTCCGATCTAAATTTAAATTGAAATTCTTGATCTCCCCATATTCAGCAAATAGATCGGTGACGTCCTCTTCAGAGGCCTCCTCATGAATGTTGGTCGCAAGAACAATCCAGCCTTCGATACTCCGGACCGCGACTGCCCCAGCTTGGGTCCGCGTTTCACTGGTTGCATGTGAGGATGGGAGATGGCCATCATCCTGCCTGTTCAGAACAGGAGGATCGATTTCCATTTCTGACGACATGTTTATATCTGACAGTACGATACGGTAAAACGATGTTGAAAGGATTATTGTCTAATTGTTGGACAATCAACCGCTCGTGCAGTTTTCAACAGACTCGTCCCTTGTTGAAGTCAATTTTGGGATCGGTTGATTAGGTAAGCAGAGCGGCAGAACCTCTGCGTTTGGTGAAAACAATATTCGATCCACCTTGACATCTAAACAACTAACCCTGGACTCACACGAGAAAACATCAAGCAATGTTAAGATGTGGTTTTAATTATCTTTCTGCAGGGTTTGGTTTCCGTGCCATGCTTTTCCCCTCTTGGCCGACTCAACCTCCCTTCAATCCGATTGGCAATGTGTTCATTTTCCGATGATACCTCGCGCGGAATTTATGAATCCTACCATCCTTTGCCATGTGAAGCATGGGCATTGTGCTGTGGGTGTGGTTGGGCTTCAAGGGTTGCGTATCAATTCGGATACTGAACAAGGGGGATGTCAGATGGTAGAAGCCCCCTTCATCAAATGACAAGAACGAAAAGAAAAGACAGATATTGGAAATTTTCTATAGAAGTATTACACTTGGATTACGCAAATTTTTGAAAAGGTATTCACTACTATAGCAAGGGCTTTGTTCCCTTACTCCAGTGTGAAGCTGGCCGCAGGTTGACAGAACGGGTCGTTTCGCGTCCCAAACCCCTTTCTCGTGGGAAATGTCTCCACCGGCACTAATGTGCTCTCTTGTGTTTGGCTATGTTTTATTTTCAGAGCTTGTTTTCCCTTTCCTATCTCTTATCAATGTTTCCCTGTTACGGCTTCTGCAAGGAATGAAGCAGCGCTATTCGCATCCGCTGCATATGACAAATGAGCGGAGATATCTAAACCGCCTCGGCATATAGGATCTCCTTTTGCGCATATCTCCATCACCTTATCTTCGGCAATAGCTACGAGGGGAAGGCCACGGAGCGGGTCACCAAAGAGCACGACTCTTGCTATTTGAGCATCCCGGAGATCCATAGAGGCATTATGGATCACTGAAGCTCCCTGAGAGTATCCAGCAAGGACTACCTTACTATTAGGGCATTGCGACAGCGACTGGTTGACGAGGTCAACCATGGTTTTTCCACCATCTTCCCCGAAGTCCAAGTTTCCCTGTTGTATGTGGTTAACAAAACCTCGTCTAGCGAGTGATATTCTATTCTCTTAGGTGAGACTTACTAGAAGAGAGGCAGGGTAATCGACTCCTTGGACAGTGACCTTTCCTTTCAGAAGGGTTCTCAATGCGGTTGTTAGAGAAGGACCGACTATTTCTCCCATATTCCCGATTTCGTCCGTTCCCCGGGCGAATATCAGAGTTAACGGCTGACAACCCTTGAACTTTTTGACCCCATTTTCGGTGGTCTGCCCGCCCTTTGGTTTTGATTTTCCGAAGAGGTCGTCTAACCAATCCCAGCCCGGAATTACACCCCGTCGTTCAATGCTATCCTTTCTTCCAAGTTCTGGTGATATTGCGGTTGGCAAGGTCGAGGCGGAGATACTAAGGATTGCAATTATCAGGAGGGAATATAACTTCATCACAATGGAAGGGAATTGCGTAAATATAACGAGGCTGATATATATAACACGGAATTTAGGGATTCGGCGAATGAGTGTATATGCGCATCTTGGGGGTGTTTCCGAGCGCTGGGAGCCGGGTGTCTATAAATACTCGTAAAAAGTGTCGCTGAACGGTTCTTTCTTTCTTTTCTTTTTCATTTTCATTAGAGATTGGGCAGTCCAACGCAAATCATCGCGTGGGTAAATTGCAGTTGAGCAAGGGAGGTTAGATGATCTACAGCCCTCCATTTCCCTGACTACCTTGCATACGGGCAATTAGGACCGTAACCAGCAGGCCCGGGAAACAACCTTGAAAAATAATGGTCGGAGAGAAGAAGCTAGGCACACGAGGAGTGGTTAGCTAAATGCTGAAGGTGATTGCAGTAAAGCACTGATTAAGAGACCGCATTGGTGCGCGGCTCGGGGTCACTATCCAAGGAATACCGCAACAGAGCCTGGTTTCCATCAGCCGAAAAACCAAGCTCGTGAACGGTAGGATCTCCTTGGTTGATAGCTTGAGCAGGCTAGTTTAATGCAGCCAGCGACCGAATAAGCAGGCTTTACTACTTCCTGAACTAACATGCATAAAATATGCATCCCTTCTGTTTCTTCGCGCGGTTAACCAAGTCATGCGGAAACGCAATCACAATACATATCAGACTTTGGCGACGCAATTGGTGGCTCATAAAATTGGCCAAGGACGGAGTAGTTGAGCTCCTGCGCACAATGTGGATCGGCGTGGTCTGTGCGGTTTTGGCGCAGCGAGGAACTCGTCCGGGGGACATGATTGGGCTTGGAGGATTTAGGCCAGTCAGGGCAATGAGGCCTGAGAACCGGAGGAAGCCGTCAACACCAAGAAGACAGCTTTGCGCACGAAGATCAAAGCATTCTTGTTCCATCCCAGCGAGGTAGGAGCAATATTTATGCTCTGGCTGTGCGGACGGAAGAACTTGGCGTTGAGGGAAGCTCGCCGTTGGAGCCTTCCTTTGCTCGTCCCTTAATACCCCCTATCCCACCTAGGAGAAGCCATGGAAATCAGCGAAGTTCTAGTTATCTGAGAAAAACTTAATAAGCCTGAAGGAGGAATATTTACCCCATTTGATGATCCTTCTTCCATCTCATTGTTTTCTTCTCAGCGAGAGGATGAATGGATCCTTTCCTTCTCTCCTTTACTTTTTTCTTTCTATATCTGCTCTTTCCAAAACCGACTATCATGTTTTGCCAGAGCGAGCGAGCATATCTTCAAGCGCCAGCAAAGACTTCGTCATGATGCCCGGCGGTCTACCCTTGGTATATAGGTCCTTGGGAGGCAGAAAAGACGTATCTTCTTCCCAACACTACTCCGCGGAATCAATGCCTCAGGCTAGCAATTTATAGCTCAAAAAGTTCGGAATTCCCTCCTTCTATTGCTGTAACGTATAGATGGTCCCATTCCACATGCAAGGGGAAGTTGTCTTTTCAGAGTGCGAGTAGTCAACAGCTGCCTTCTCTTCGAGGGTGTCTGGAGCACTCGAGTCGACTGCTCATGCACTCAAGGCCGTATTTAGCTTGCCTGAACGAAGCAGGACAGGTGAAAAGGCCGGGGTATCATGCAACATTTCCATGTCCAGCTCCTTTATCTACTGTTCTAAAGTTAGCAACTCGCTTAACTGAATATGTCCTCTGCTCTTAACAGCGCCTGTCTGGCCTGGTGGGATTTCGCTTCCTCTTCCTATTGTAAATGAGATCTGCCATGATACTCCATAGCGCGGCGAGAATTAGCCTTATGTTAGGTGTAAGTAGAACTTGATGACGCCTGATGGCAAGTATTGCAACTGTCGAACGAACTGATGTTCCTTCACTGCTGGTGCATGAGGGCACCCTGATACAAGTTGAAGGTCTGTGGTGACAGTCCTGAACCATTACAATGAGGAGCTGGCCACTGTATACTTGCCTGCATTGTTTGTGATTCATTTGATTTTGTTCATAATTAAGGAGGTATTAAATGCCTTGTACACAGTAGGTATTTAAGAATGATACACAATAATTTTTGTGTGTGATAGTACATGAAATATTCTGTATTTGAGGATGTTTTCCATTGCTATATCTCACATGGAGTCAATGACTTATTATTTCAAGAGATACTTCATCATTCACTTCATGGCGGGAATGGTTGACCAGCTGAATGAGAAAGAGTGAAGCAATCCCTTCAAATGCAAGTCATGCATTATAACGAAACTGGATTGAAAATTTCTTTATATGAAATTTACAAATACCATCTCAATGACAAGGTCTTTTTCTTTTTTCAATCAGTGCTGCCTTTCTTATTGAGCCCAGCTGTTTGAAGACCCTATTCTGTTCATTTTCCAACGCGTTCTTGTGACGAGGCTATCTCTGTACCAGCGGAGTGTCTAGCTCCTGGCTTTGTTTAGTGGAATACGACATGTCGCCGTTGTAAGTGGTATCTCCAATTATTAGCAAGGTCTTGAGAGAGAGGGGGGGATGCACGTCTGATCTAGCTCTTAAACAATATTTTTAAACACACCAGGAATGAACCGACGGTGCCGATGTCAGCCTTTGGCCACGCTTCAGCAGCGCCAAATGCTGGACCGCGAAACGAAAGAATCCTCCGTTGGCTAGATAGCCAGGAGGAGCCGGATTTTGTAAACGACAACCACCTCAGAACAAACGCTGAGATCGTAATACAAATCCAGGGAACCAAAGGCTGCTCTGATGAGTATATCCATCTCCGAGCCCCGAGAAGCAATCTTGACGTGGATTTCGAATCATCAACCGGAAATGTTACCATCACCGAAGTGACAACTGTACCAGAACCAGCGGCGGAGGCGGCATCACAAGAAGCAGCGGCAAGGGGAAAAGAAGAACCCTATCCCTCCCCAGGCTGCTCACGGCTAGAACCTAAAAAGCCCCCGCGCCTCTCCGTCCTTCTACGCCTCAATCGCAAGATATGCGAGCTCGTCAAACTCGAAGAGCTCAAAGACATGTCCCTACTCCTCAGCATCCGCGTCGCGAACGGCCAGCGCCTCAGCACAGAACACCACCAATACGGCTTCATCAGCGGGCACGTCGTGAGCGCGCTGGAGAACGTGCTTGGGCAACCACGGCAAGTACGCGGCATGCAGATTCTCCTCCCTGCCTCGCAGATACCATGGAAATGGACCGCGGCGACCGTGCTGGTGACCTTTGGCAAGATGTCTGGGCGGGAGAGGAGGAACATGGGCCTGATCTACCGGCGGGTCATGGAGTGTCAGTACCAGATCCAGGAGTACGACAAGGTGGTTCCCAAGGAGAGAGAGTTGGGGGAGCTGGTGGAGCAGGAAAGGGTGGCTGCGAGGAACTTGGAGGAATTGGACGTTGCGGATAGGCGGGATTGGTTGATGAGGTATGAGAAGATTGTTGATGAAGAGGCTGTCGTGAAGACGAGGGATCAGTGGGTTATGGAGGGGGAGAGGTTGAGGAAGGAGCACAATGCGCTGCTGGATGTCATTGGAGCATATACAAAGGCTGCGGAAGGGTTTGAAGGGGTAGCGCGTGGGAATCGGGAAGTTTGAACGGGTTGGTTTTGTTCGCTATGCTGGGGGGAATCTGGACTACCTACTACGCACCTGGGTTATTAACTACAGTTTTATCACATTTTTCCGATCGATCCCTACAGGTCCAAGGAGAGGGGCCAACCCTGGATCCCGTTTCGCTCGCAAAGTGAAGGAAAGACAGATCATCTGAGATATACATAAATTTCTGACATGAGGTTGCAAGAATAATAGCTTTCACTTAAAGGTCACGGTGTTTATCTGGCGCTTGATATGAATATTAAATTAAATACCTCTCAGTAGCTAGAACCGAATTGCAATAATATAATTATGTTCCTGGAATATTCCTGTAAATAAAATTAATTTAAGTTTTGAAAATAAGAAATACCCCCACACATCTCCACCGATAGAAATTTTCAAGTCGCCGCTGAATCCTGCGCAGACCGTGTGCTGCAAACACGAAATGGAAAACCGGAATGTCTCAATACCACCGGACCCTCCCGACCACATATTTGTGAACTGTGCTGCCCACATATGATATGCTGGACCGGACTGTCTGTGCCTACTGTATATCTGACTTTGGCGTCCGGTTCGATGGAGACTTGGGCCACAGGTTCCGTAGTTGCCTCGGCAGTTGAACCTTGGCACGCTTCGACCATTTGGGCAGGGTTGGCCAGACGACAAGAACAACGAAAACCAGCAGCCGTGTCTGATTGGACAATCAAGCCTGCCCTGCCCGATCCCGCTAAATATAGCCAAGCCCAGTCCCGCGGCGGAGGTTCCTGCCGAGCCAGCCCTGGAGGGCATGTGACTTCCAGATCGAATCGGTGATATGGGTCCTGCTTGTCGTCGCCACCACCAACCCTTGGATGATGGTCTGGGGATGGGGGACTGACTGCCCTGGGGGACTGGCCCCGGGAGGTGGTTCTCACTCAGGGCCCCTTCAGCCTTCGCATTTCGCAGTTCTACTCATTTGGCATGATGCGTGGTGGCCATGAGCCATCAGTGAGCCAGAGTGAAAGGGCGCTTGCTTGTTCCATGTTCCGCTGTTTGTATGGACGACCAATGCAATCCGGCTCCGTTGTTTGGTGATGGAACCACCAAACCAGCGCGGTGGGGTCCATAGTTCGAGCTGCGATTCTCCGGAAGTTTGGATCGACTGAGACTTCTGTGAAGGTGCGACAGCGCCCATGCTGTTGAGTCGACGTTCTACATAATCTACGTATGGGCCGGGAGGCCTCCTCCCTTCCTGAAGGTTGCTTAGAATCTCTCGTGGAGCCCAAGAAGTTAATAAGGGTCTGGAAGTCTGCGGTTTTGCGGGCACCTTCGTTGTCTGTTGGTTGTTCGGGCCTTCGATGGCTCCATCCAAACTTTCTCTGGATTTTTGTTTATTTATCTTTTTTTTTTTTGCTCCACCGCGCTGACCAGCAAACAATTACTCTTTTGAGTTGGACTTTGAGCAATGCTGTCCACTCCCTCTGAAAACTTTACTTTGCTCCCCATTAATAATAATTTCATTGCGCGTTTTTCTCCAGTAGCGACATTGTTTTGCTCAGTCCGTCCTTGCACTCGTTTAGGGACTGATTCCCCCCTTCGCAGCTCGCCTGGGACATACGCTCGTTATTATTTTCGCAAGACTCCTATAGTTACCGCGCGACCTGGGAAATTGGAATCGATAACAGCCGGTGCGCAATATCATTACGCGTGACCATTGTCACTTCAGAAGCTAGTTTCGGAGGGAGAAGAGAAGCAAGGCTACTTCTTTCTCGAATTGAATAACTACCGCCATTTCTTTTAAATGACCACCATGAATAAACTATCATAGAATAATCGATATTACTCAAAGTGCCGACATTTATTCCGCGGTCTTCCTTTCCACCCCAAACCACCACGCCTGCCATCGATAGCTACCAAACTTCAACAAAATCGATGTGGTAGCCAGCTTCGCAAGGCATCGCGGTACTTCCTATTTGCTGCGCGAAGGCTATTCCGTGTGAATTGTCTCTTTGCGCGTTGGACAGATTGAATATCGGTGGGAATTACGAAGAAAGCGATGATTTCAGCACTTCAATTTCCATGTCGGCTGTTAGGTCTTCTTATTTTATGCCGTCTTGCTGCACTCTCATTAGCGGCAAGCACGGAGGACTGGCGGTTCAGGTCTATATATCAGGTTTTTACGGACAGATTTGCGAGGAGTGATGGCTCGACGACGGCGGAATGCGACCCCCGCAAGGGCCTCATCTGTGGAGGAACGTGGAGAGGGATAATCAACAAAATGGATTATATTCAAGGCCTCGGGTTTGATGCGATCATGATATCTCCAGTCGCGAAGAATATCGACGGTCTGTCTAAATATGGCGAGGCCTACCACGGCTATTGGGCTCAGGATCTATATCAATTGAATCCTCATTTTGGAACACGTCAGGATCTTCTTGACCTCGCGAGGGAACTGCATAGTCGCGGCATGTACTTGATGGTCGATATCGTCATAAATAATATGGCTGTGATACTCGATGGCAAGCCGTTTACTTCGATTGATTACACGATGTTCAATCCCTTCAACGACCCAAAATATTACCATCCTTATTGCAAGATCGAAGACTACAGTAATTACACACAAGCACGAAATTGTTGGATGGGTGATGATGTTGTTGCGCTTCCGGATCTCAACACGGAGTCCGAAGAAGTCAATGAGATGATGGAGTCGTGGGTCAAGGGTCTCGTTGCCAACTACTCAATTGATGGCCTTCGGATAGATGCTGCAAAACATGTGGGCCCGGAGTATCTTAAGAGAGTTGCCAAGGCATCTGGCGTTTTCGCCACGGGGGAGGTGTACGAGGGCGATGTGGCTAAAGTCTGCGACTTTCAAAACCTCCTGCCCAGCGTACCGAATTACCCCTTGTATTTCTCCATGATTGAAACTTTTACTGCCGGGAAAACCAAGGTGTACTCAGAAAAGCTTTCCCTGGAAAAAGCGACCTGCAATGACATCACTACACTTGCAACCTTCACAGAGAACCATGACCTTCCGCGATTTGCATCTTATACCAAAGATATCTCTGTAAGTTGGATGTGCATCATTTTTTTGTAATATAAATGAAAACCCTCTACATGACCGCCCCAACGCTTCTCTAACCATGAACGTTACTAATCGCAACCACACCTCAGCTCGCCCAAAACGCCATAGTCTTCACACTTCTCTCAGACGGAATCCCACTCTATTATCAGGGACAAGAACAACACTTCTCCGGCGGTGACACCCCAGAAAACCGCGAAGCTCTCTGGACTTCAAACTACAACACTGACGCGCCCCTCTACAAGCTAACAGCCACCCTCAACAAGATCCGCGCTCACGTCATACGCGTCAATGCCGAATACGTCATTAACAAATCATACATCATCTATAGCGACGGTAGCGCCCTCATTACGCGCAAGGGTGTCGAGGGCAGTCATCTCACGGTCGTCTATTCTAATCAGGGCGAGCACGGAGGCCCCTACCGCATCGACCTGCGCAGTTCATACGCACCTGGCATGATCGTCACGGAAGTGTTAGGTTGCACGAATTATACAGTCGATCCTACAGGGACGCTTGCGGTTCCAATGGATGCTGGCTTGCCAAAGGTTATTTTCCCTGCGGAGAAGATGCCTGGGAGCGGTTTGTGTGGAACACCCGATTGGATCGCTCATAACAATACTTTGAACTCGGGATCTTCCAGTTTGAGGCATGGGGCTCTGGGATTGGCAGGAGTGCCAATGGGCATGATTTTGACTGCGTTGACAGCTTCCTTTATCGGGTTATTATGAGAACCTGGAGAGGTATATATTTTTTCTTCTATTCTATTCTTTTCTTTTTATTTCTCTCCCATCTTTTCGCTTGCCCGGGGCCACCCGGTCCTCTTTTTTGCTTATATGTTACGTCATGGGTAAGGCGTTTGGCATACGGTCGCGGGAAACTCTGAAGAGAATCGTATTATCTCGCATTTCCTAGCATGCATGCATGCATGCATCCTTATTATTTTGTTACGGAGTTTTTAATTTTTTGTATTGAAGAATTTGTTTTTTTTCTCCCGCTTCCTTTCTCCATGTACCATATATAAATAAGATAAAATGAAATAAAATAATAAATAATGGATTAAAGAAAAAAATAATAATAATAAAGATCTTTCAAAAGGTTATTTTACTTTTCATTGATTGGAATGTGGAATGGAAAAAACAAAACACTGATGCGACGTTGCCCAGCGCGTTAAAGAGCTGCTTCAGAGTCATATAGTTAATCGACCCCCTTAGATAATCTCATGTCTTCCTCATTTTTCCTGCGTAGTTGACCATGGCAAAAAAAAAAAAAAAAAAAAAAAAAAAAAAAAGCTGATCATCAACACGGTTAGCATAGATTCTAGCCTTGGACAAGATCTACTAGGGAGATAGGAGTTTGGCTCCTTTTTCTATCATTCTTTACGATCCTGCAACTCTACGACAGGTGTACTTAATTTTACTCCGGATATTTTCCTTATATAGATGTAAATATTATGCCAATCGTTGTCAGTCATTTAGAAGAATTCTAGTATCTAACTAGTTCTAGTTGGTAGGCTCTGCTCTGCTCTGCTGATGGGTGCTGCTGAGTTTAGCATCATGATGTGTTGTTGATCTCGGTGATGTTGGTGTGTGTGCCTGGGCCTAACTATGGTTTGAATTTGTAAGGCGATTCTAGCCATGATGGTAATGAGAGCCACTTTTCTAGGTAGTAACTACGTTCAACTAGGTGTCCCGTGTGAGGGTAATATTATTATTACCAATAGTCCAAGCATTGTAGAGATACAGATATTTCATTCCAAAATATAAGCAGGGAGGGGAAAGATATATATATATATATATATATCTTGGTCTCGATTATATTAAATTTTTCTTTCTTTTTTTAATTTTAATTTTAATTTTTTTTCCCCTTCATTTCCTACTCGGAAATTTTGATTGATGGGAGATTTTTCATAACCCGCTCTCGTGTTCTGTTCTGGTCTTGATGGGATAGATTGATAGGGAGAAAACAAACAGAACGAAAAATATGGCTTTTTATGTATACAGGCTGGGAAGGGGAGGGGGGAAACAAAAAAGTAAACGGGAAGCAACCTTCTCGGCAAGTTCGAAATGCTTGGATTGTGCACTCTGGGCCTTCTTCTTTTTTCCCTTTCCTTTCCTTTCCTTTTCTTCTCATTCGTTCTCCTTCTTTGAAGTTCTATTGGGGTGTTGGAATGTCTGTCATGTTTGTGTAGATGTGAACCTTCGTCTAGATATATCACCTCAAAATTGAGCATTTGGCGTGTACCTGTAACGTCCTAAGCTCTAGGGCATCCTACTTCGAGTGAGCCGGAAGCGTCTACTTCCGGTTGTTGCCTCTCATACCTAGAATCTGCACCATCCGGATGAAAATATTCAAGAAATCAAGCTCGAGACTGATGCTTTCATTCACGACGTCCTTCTTAATTAGTCGTCGCTCCGCCATGCGGGCATGGTGCAAGATCTTCTGGATATCATAGAGCGTAAAGCCGCCGAAGACCGCGAGGCCACCATATAGCCAGATGCGCTCAGACCACGCAAGGGTTCGGGCGGCCGTGGCGGGGACAACGAGGGGAGCAATGCCGGACAAGGCTACGATAGCAACGCCGGCAAGTAAGGGCCCGCCGAGATAGAGGTATTTCTCCTGCTTGGCCGTTGCACCGACGAAGGCGATAGAGCCCATCATGCCAACTGTGTAGAGGCCAGCGCGGGCGAGAAGGGCGGGGGATAGGAACATTAGCGGGGAAAGGACGGCGGCTTGGGTCAGGTTAAAGGCGCCCCACAGAGCGTATTTCTGGAGGTAGCTGTTTCGAAGATGTTAGGTCTCTCGAGGAATAGAGAAGACGGATGGATGGTGGCGATGGGGGGGAGGAGGAATTCGTTTTCCACTTACTTCTCAGGAGCCGTGTAAGATGTGCCATACATGGTCCCGATGCTAGCGACTAAACTCAGCCCGACAACCGCCCATGGATTGGTGGCCATCAGCCTGTAAGACCAACCGGAGGTGTGCAGAGCGCGAGCTGCGACGGCGATTATTCCGATACCAAGGCCAGTGTGCATAAAGGTTTGGTTCAGATACTGCCGCTCGAAGAGTGGCATGCCGCCATCTTCCCTCGTTTCGCGGTTGAAGATCATGTTTGTTGCAACGATGGTGCCTCCCACGATGGCCGCGCCATAGAGTAGCTTTTGCGTCCTGTTTCCTGACGCATGTGCTTCCTGGTAGGAGATTTGTCGGTATGTCCGGCGGAATGCATTTTGATATGTTTGATGGAATCGTGCGAAGGTGGAAGGCCGCTTCGGAGTCGATGATGAGGAGGATGGCGCTTGTTTCAAACGGGAGCTGTGAATGAATCGAGAAGTTGTGTTTGGCTGCCTTGGAAAGTGTTTGAGCGCCGTAGAGACGGCAAATGGGCGACGGAGAATGAACGACATGGCTAGTAGTGAGATCAGGATGAACGAAGGACCACAGACGTGGAATCTTGAGAAGCAGAGAGGAAAATGGGCGGATCTCCGGGTTCAAGAATCTTCCAAATGATGCAAATCACGTGATCCATAGATAGCTGCGAATGTCGAGTCAAACCAACCAAGAGGAGTGGGGGACATTGAACTTGCCCTTGAAATTTCATTTTGTTTGATCTACATATTTAAAGACCATGCGGGTTCCATCCATATTTGCCAACAGTTGTTTTCCCTTGGATGTGAGGCACCATCTTTATACCGTTCTTTAAACATGCCCTCCATTCAGACGATCCAGCTTTCCCATCTTCCCTCGAACAGCCCAGTGCATATCGCGTTATATCGAGATCTCCAAAATGCATCGTTTCTAAGGGAGCAACTACTTGCTGGAAATACTGAATTTGAATATGCCTTCATCGACGCTGCAACGGTGGGATTATTGCCCCATCAAACGACCCCGCACACGAGGGGCATTTGGTTCTTTTTAAAAAGTTCTAACCTGAAAGGCCGATAGATGCTCTCTACTACCCACTTGCTTGCAGCTGTGTTTCGAGCACTTAATGACCACCAAAACAACCGATTGAAGTCGAAGAATGTTCATTCAGAAATAGTATATTCGCTCAGCGCTAATAATAATGTCCGTGCCATCGTTCTATCTTGATCATTTCCCCACGGTATTTAGATGGGTATGACTGACTGCTCGATAGATTGCAGAATCCTTTCGAAAATTTGGGTTGACCGACGCCACAAAGGATTTAATAGTGGTAAAAGTGTCCATGTCACCAGGGGTGACAAGTGAGTCCGTAGCTCAACATCTGGGGGAAGTGGTCAAGGGAATCTCACTTACTTTTGACGACGACAACCTCCGTCTGGTGTCAGATATTGGCAGGATTAAGAAGGCATATAAGTTGGGTTCGGGGATTACTAAACCAGCGCTGAAAGCTGAACCTGGCAAGGCTGGCCAGAACTACTCCCATAAGCCGGTGGAGATCGAAATGAGAGATCTCGAAAGGACCATTCTTGGCCTCATGGCTTTAAGAGGCTCGTGATTAATCTTGATGCTGCGGCTGATTTCGATGTTATATCAGAAATTGTTGAATGGCCATCTAAGGATATTTTCCCCTCTCACGGCTTCGATTTTTTCTATTTCTATTGGATTCTTTCGCAAGCTTCGGCTGCTACATATGTTAATGATGGTCATTTTCATTCTTATTGTGAATTATGTCAGGAATATACTGGTCGGGGAGGGGACTTGTCATTCATAACAGGAAAGTCGTTAGCCGAATCCAGGAGATTTTTATTTAGGAGTTTTCTTTTTGATCAACCTGCCAGAATCTTTCTCTTGGTATCTGGCCATGGAACTGTGCTTACTACTAGTACCCTCTAAAAAGGCGGCATGACTGCCATTCCACGGCGCACAACTTGCTGCAAAAATAACTGGTGAAAGAATAGTAGTAAATACAATCAGTAGAACGAGCGCGAAATACCAGATACTGCAACAGAGTAGCAGTTCTCTTGGAATTGGTGCGTATTTTTATTCGACGGAGTAGCCAACAATGTGGTTGCCCGGACAGCACGCCACTCTGTCCCAATTGGGTAACTCTCCAAGATGACTGCGCCAAGCTTTCTCATTTGGTCAAAATCTCGACGTCACAGATAACATCGAAACATTGAAGCAGCATTGCGGCTCTCACAGATGTTGAGGCCTTTGGTGATTTTCTAATTCGCCCCATACTCCCACAGGCATTCCCGGAGCAATGGATAACTCTGCCATCACATCTCAATCAAACCCCACGCCATTGGTGTGCTCTGTTACTCCTATTATTGTTGGCTCGCCCCCGAGTCCTGCGAACGTCATTGAGTTGTCGTCGCCGTCAACCCCTCCAACACCTTTGACGTTGCTGGCGAGTTTCTCAAAAACACCATCTCGCAAGACAACAAGTCCTGACTCAAATGGAGAAAACACAATTTGCCATGGAGTCCGGCAAGTTAGACGTGTGCCAAGGAATAATCCTGGTAGGGAGAAGAAATCTATAACCGGACCATCAAAGGAACATAAACAAAGAACAAGGAGTCCTAAAACCACTACGCGAAGAGAAATCAAAATCGTGGAAGGGGATCGCCTCATCGTTGGCCACGACAAACGAGAGAAGAAAGGAGCGACAACGAAACGCATGAAAAAACGAGATGGCGTAGCAGATAAAAAATTGTATGCACGGGTTTCGAAAGTAAAGTCTTCTGAGAACCTTGATCTAGACGCGAAGATTCCGTCGTCGAAAGTCTGCAACAATACATTGCCATTGGTCGGAGATGACATGGACAATGAATCGAGCGAATTACAACTTGAACAGGCTATCAAAAGGCGGCATGATTGGACTCCTGCGAGAGAGGTAACAACACCAGTGGTAGATGTGGCTGAGCTCCACTCGTCGCCGTGCGGTAAGGCTGTGACTAGGATGCACGGCGTGGGGACTCTGCTTTCTGATTACGGATTCAGCGGAGTAGTGGAAACATCGCTGGGGACTAAATCAGAGAGCTTCCGTAATGCTCCCACGACTAAACGTCCGATGGAGGTACTTCGCCAGTTTCTTGCTATCTTGCCTTAGGTTGCTGGCTAACTGTATTCCAGCTCCAAAAATTTTCTACCGTTCCAGCAATCCCAACTCCTACCGAATCCTCTACAACTGAAGACATTCAGGGTTCCTCCTCAAAACAGCAAAGAGTGAAGGCCAAGAAACCACAGAAGGGAAAACTAACGACAATCACGTCGCACGCCACTGCCAAATACTGTGTGGCTGATCAGACGGTCGATTTAGATTATATCCAAAATGTGGCGCCAAAAAGTCCCGGAAGGAAGAACATATCGAATCGGCCATCTGGAATGAAACATTCAAATTCAGGTAGGGGGAAGTCAAGTACCTTGAAGAACGACAATGGCCCTCCGGTATTTAGGGTGGTTCCTCCACTTGAGGCTTTCAAATCTTTCGAAGGACAGGAGTTGTTATTTGGGACTTCGAGTCAGTTAGAACGAGGACACCCGGAATATCGATGCGATGAAACACAAGACATCCAAAACTCACCAAGTAACTCAGCAGCTGTTTCAGAGCTTGCAGTCCCCTACAGGATCTCTTCAGAAGGCAAGAATTTAGGTTCGAGTTTGTTTAGATTGTCCGGTTCGAAGAATCTTTGGTCAGCAAGTGCCAGAGATTTAACGGGTGCCGTTTTCGAGGTAGATGAAATTGACTTTCAAGAGCCTTCAATGGGGCTTTCTGTTCTCGCAACCAAATCCAGATGCCACCCTGGCAACAGGGGCCCACCAAGACGAAATTTGGTTGACGTTGACAATGTTCCTGACAAAAAATTGGATATTGACACAACAGAAGGGGAGAACGGGAACCATTCCTCCGTAGCAGACAATATTGTGGATAGAGAAAATCTCAATCCCAAGATTTCAGCAAATACTTCAGAAACAAACCTTGAATGTGCTCCTCGGAACAAACCGGCATTCAGCAGGTTTACAACGTCAGAATTGGCGAAAAAGGTTGCTGCGTATGGCTTCAAACCTATCAAGAGTAGGGATAATATGATCTCACTTCTTGAAAGGTGCTGGGAAACCCAATCTAAGACATTTATGCCGGAGTCAAAACCGAATCAAGGCACTGATGATGCCCGGAAAAATGGCTTTCGCAAAGAGAATCATTCAGACGTGAGGGTACGACCTGATTCAGCTACCCTCGCCAACAGGCGATCGCCCAAAAAGCGGCAGGCGAAAGCTCTCTCTAAGTTTCAGGAACCGAATAATTTCTTACCAATTGAAAATTCGACAACGACCGCATCAATGTTGCCGATAGAGCACGTTATATCCTCACACACGATCCTCATAAACGACGATCAACTAAGTGACTCCGTTGGGGAAACAGTTTCGTTTTTACCTACTTTGGATCATAATGGGAACGGCACAACACTTCAAGAAAATATGCTTGAAATAAAATCTCCGGCAACTCCAAATGCCAGACATTCTAGACAACGTTCTAGCTCTACATCCTTTTCAATCGAGCCGCCAAGCCTTGCTAGCCAGATCACCAAGGCCATTAAATCTCAACCCCGAATTCGAGCGTTCAACGGATTAAAACAACCTACATGGTATGAAAAGATTCTCATGTATGACCCTATTCAGCTCGAAGACCTGGCTGCATGGCTCAACACCGATGGGTTTGGCCGCATCGGCGAGGATCGAGAAGTTGGCCCAGGAGTTGTGAGGGAATGGTGCGAAAGCAAAGGGGTTTGTTGTGTTTGGAAAAAGCAAGTCAGCGGGAGATCGCATTGCCTGCCTATGGTATCTTGAATAATCCAGCACCTTAGCTATAACATCGTTGCATATATAGATAGATAGATGGATAGATAAAATTTTGATAGTTGGTAATACGGGGTGCATAGCATTCTCCCTAATTTAGTAGTGCTACTAGTGCATGAATCAAGTTGTTCATATGTGTGTTTTGAATACATGTCATGATCACCAAGTGTTCAATGCACGTTTTATATATTATTGAGTATATCATGGTCTCTGAGTTTACGAACCCCCCCCCTCACCCCCGAAAAAAAAAGCTAGTCCTGTGAAAGAAATCTTAAGATATTCATACGAGCACATGGCTCTCTCAAGTGCCTCATATATTCAATCTGTCATTGTGTATGTTGAACATATATTCAACAGTTCATTCCCATCTGTATCAACATAGGGTGCAAAATATAGCACTTTTCTCACTCATTTTCTGCACACACGGGAAGCTGTGATTGTGCTGACCGATAGTTTGTATGAATGAACAATAATAGCAAATATGACTTGCACCGTTAGTTATCACCTTGATCCTGAAACTTTTTGTTGTTGTTCTCTTACGTGTAACTATGCATTTGGGAAACACCCAAGCCATTTTAAACAAAAAATGAAATATGAGAATAAGGACATTGATCAATAAAATTCAAGAGAGACAATAGCCAATCGTGGTCCAACCCAGGCCAACTCCAAAGAAAAGAAGGAAAAGAAAAAGAGAGATAAAGGAAAGGACTGGAAAGGAAAGAAAAGGGGGAAAAATTGAACAAGCGAAGTAAAAAAAGTGAAGTAGACCGACTATAATCAATAAAAGCGTGGTAATCATAGCTGGGAGAGTAACCTATATTTACCAACGTTGGTGTCGAAACCGCCGTGAGCAGAGGAGCCAGAATCTAGAGGCAGAAGGAGTTTGTGACGGGATAACAGAAGAATTAGGATCAAAATGCTCACCAGCGCTCCTACTTTTTTGCCTAGATATACACAAAATAGCTGGTGACACTCTCGGCCCCATCATCATGCATACATATACACTATCCTCCAACACCACAGTAACCGGGAAGAGAGGAAAGAATGGAGGTGAAAAAAAATTCCTTTCCAACGAAAGAGCAATTTCCCTAAAACTCAGAGTCGCGGATGTCATCGAATTGTTTTTTGGTTCTCTGCGGTGGCAGGTCTCGCTCTGGATGTTCGTGTGTTGGCTGCCTTGGCATCTCTGGCTTCAACTGCAGGTCTTGGGGGTCAACAAAGATACCATGCTCAGTTTGTTGTGTCCGTGGATCAACGTTTTGTTTCGTAGATGCTTCTCCCATGCCCTGGCTTGGGTGTGGAGGCTGCCTGGCGGGGGGATTTCTGCCTCTAGTGCGAGGCTGTTGAGGCTGTCGGGGTTGTTGCCGATTGCGTTGGCGAGGTTTTGTGAGTTCAGGGTCAAGAGCAAAGTCAAGGCTGTGCTGAGAAGGAAGTCCGGGAAAGTTTTGGCCCCTTGAAGAGCTGGAGGCTCCTGGTACAATGGATGACAATCCTGAAAAGAAAATTTCAATTAGCTGTTTCCAATAGTCCCAGGAGGTTGATAATCATATTTGTCGGAAGGGTGAACCTACCTCCATACGGATCAGGATAACTACTACCTATATCAGAAAAGGGATTTTGCTGGTAGGCTTGCAGATTGCCTCCACTTGGGGCCATAGAATTATCCTGATTTCCACAAGTCAGTAATGGGATTGAGGAACAATCTCCACGGGGAATCATGGAACTTACTGCTGGAACGCGCTGTGGCTGATTTTCATGTTGTGTTCCCGCTCCTGTTCCTGCAAGTTTCTGCGTATCTTTGTTTTCCGTTTCTATTGCCTTGGCTATAACCGCCGCCTTCATTCTCAGATACTCCTTTTTAAATTTCCTTTGGTACTTCAATCTTTCCTTTCGGGCCTTCATTCTGGCGTCGTCTTTCGCTTTCTCCTGTCTTCTCCATTCGTCAAGTAAGCTCTTGACCTCTGAATCCTGCCCACATTTCCGTTCCAACATATCACTATGTTTTCGTAATTCCTCATTTTCTTTGCGCAGCTGCCCCAGCTCCTTTACTACATCTCCAAATCGACTTACGCGCCATCCGCGTAGAAACGACTCTCCAGTAGTAGGGTGAGTAAAGCAACATAGTTCGTTTGCTTGCCTGCACGATTTACATGCAATTCTATTGGCGCTGCATCTGATTTTTTTGATCTAGTTTGCCGAGGGTTAGCTATGGAAAAACAACAAAAAGGATTGAAGCTGGGTGGAGGTTAGTTAGAGGGAATGTTTATAGACCAGATAAGCAATATTTACGACGCCCAAAGGCAGAGAGATGGAATAAAAATATGTAAATCAGCCACGGAGTCGATGATACATACCTTGCACATGTTACACGCCTCTACTGATCTTGGGGCCTTTTTCTCGATTTCCGACTTCTTCTTGCTGGCTGCCTTCTTCTTGCTGCCTCCCTTCTCACCCCCTTCATCCCCTTCACCCCCCTCAACCCCCTCAGCCCCCGCAGCCTCGTTAGCCCCCCGGGCCTTCGCAAGCCCCCTCGCATGCTCAGTCCGCGCTTTCGCCCTCGCCAACTCCTCCTCCTTATCATTCAACTCCTGTCGCAACCTGTTCAGCTCGTCATCCGGTGGCAGTTCATCCTCCGTTAACACATCCCACTCCGTCAGCTCATCCCCCGACTGCTCATCTTCCGTCAGTTGACCCACCTCCTCCGGCTTCTCCCCCTTCCCCTTGTCGTTTGTCTTTTTCTTTGGAATAGAACGTAAATTTTTCATTTTGACGGACGTGTCTATACGTTGTCTGAGATTAAATGAATTCACCTTCTCATACATGTCTAATTTGACCCTCTTAGACTCGTAGACATCCTCTGTCTCTGTGTCTGCCCCACTGAAGAGTCGCTTTTTGACTCTTTTGGGCGAAGGAGCAGCGTGTTGATGTTCTATAGCCGGCGCATCCTGCGCTAGCTCAGCGAAGAACCCGTCCTGTCCAAGGGCCATTGTTGGTGATTGGGAACCATTTTCTGACTCAAACAGACTCGCAAGTTCCCCGAGTCCCTTATCATTCTGGGAGGACGTCATCACTCAACTAGACAGTGGATGGTACAAGACAGGAGTGTACAGAGCTGTAAATCCCCTCCCAAAAATAGGAAGGGAAAAAAAAGCAGAGAAAAAAACAAAATAAAACTCGTTGGAAAATATTCAATCGAAAAAGGGGGTTACCCAACTGCGTTCGGACGGGTATTCCAGGATAATTGAAATTCTAAAATAAACGAAAATGGGAGGTGGGAAATAACCCAGCATAGTCGAGGACACTTTGAAGGTGATATATAATCTCCGTCGGGAGAATATTTCTGGTGAATAGATGATGGCTTTCATTTCGGGATTTTCCCGCCGCCAAATGCGATTGGAAAATCATGGCAAAAAATGAACAAAATATTCCATCAAAGCATTTTAGAGTTCTCTGGTTGAAAGGGGTTGAGATAAAAATGAGTATGTTGGAGAAAGGAGAAGGCTGAGGCGCCTTTGACATATCTGCGATAGAAACGACTTGAGGTTAAGTTTCCCCAAAAAGCAGCAGAATTGAAATCGTGCAGGAATGGTTTTTTTTTCTCAGGCCAAATCCTTTTGATATTCTTTGACAGCGCATGATGCGCATTGATTTTCACCAAGAGAGTTGGGCTTTTTCTTTGTCCAGCTGCACAATGGCATTTTGTTTCAGGAGGAAAAACAATGTCATTTTGTTCTTTGCCTTGATGTTTTCCCTCATGCTCTCATGCTCTCTTGCTCTCACTTTTCTTTCTTTCTCTGGCGCGTCGCAACGTGAAAAGGAAAGGAACAATAAATGACTCTGCAATAACGCCCCAAGATAGTTGGGGATTTTCATTCAAATGCGTTCGAGCTTCCTTTAAGCTTTTATCCTCACATTGAGGATCACAGTTCAAGGAGGTCATCCGCTTGAGAAACGCATTAATGAAAAAATGTAATCGGCAGAGCTAGGATGAAACTCTTTGCCCCCTCACAACAAAGTATACAAGAAAGCGCAAGGGAAAAAGATAATATAATGACTTTGGGATGGCGAGAAAGAAAAAAATCAAAAATTGGTAAGGGGGAAGAACGTATAGAAAGCAATGAAAGGCAAAAAGAGACATTAATCCAAAATATCGAAATCATTTCTTATTGTAGTGAGAGCAGCCCAGCCCCATAACTACCAAGAAAATATGTTCTAGAACATGGGCACGCATATGAGTTAGTTTTGCTTTTCCAAAAAAGAAAGGAAAGAAAGCCAAAAAAAAAAAAAGGGATTTGAGTACTTGGCGACAGCTCACTAAAATCCAAGAAAGTAGGCAAGTTATCAACGAGCTTCTGTTGAAATCCGTCCTCTATAAAACGCCAAGAAAGCATGGTAGAAGAACTAAGCACCTGCATTCCAGCAGAAACCGTAGGTGAATTACCAACATCCTCGAAGAGCCACTCGGATGCGTGGAGACCAAATTAAATGATGGAAAAAAAAAAAAAAAAAAAAACCAAAGATGGAACATGGTGGTGTGGATATCATGGCAGTCGTAAAGTAAAAATATCAAAAGGGAAGAGAAAAATCACTAAATAAATCGGGAGAAAGAGCAGATTTGAATACATCGGTGCAGGTTGGGCAATGAATGTCAAACGCCAAAGTGATAGTTTCGCGGCTGTCTCTGAAAACCCCGGATCGTAGATATATATGGGCAATTGGGAATAAAGCTTGAAGACATCGTAATATCCGAGAAGGAAAATAGGATGGTATAGATGGAGTGTTGGAAAAGAAAGAAAAGCGGAAAACAGATCTGATCGTCGTGAAAGGAGAGGTACAGTTTGATAGCAATGCACGTCATTTTACCCTGTCATCGAACTAGTTTCCCATTCTGGAAAACTGTTTCATACCGTATCTTATCTCCATACTTCCTGTGCAAGCCATACTCTAGCCATGGAGTAAGGTTTTTGCACTGGCTAACATCAAAAACACGAAGTAAGTTACATCCCTCGACGACGGATTCAACACCCATGCCGGTAACCCGAACGCATCCGCGGACCGAAAGCTCTTCTAGAAGCAGAAGATGCAATCCGATAGAGCGCAGGGAAAGATCCGAAACCGCCAATCCACAGAATGATAAGTTTAGATGCGTCAGTTGTGGGCAGCCTAGGGCCAACACCTCTGTGGCTGTATCTGAAAGAGCACAGCAGAAGGACTATTGTATTGTTAGTTTTCCAATGCTGAAATGATCTAGATGACCTATGCAACTGCGTTCGTAAGTGTAGCTTACCAAGTCAAGCTCCTGTAGTCCTTTCGCTGCGTTGGTTAGGTACACGATAGCATTATCGGTTAGGTAGGTGCAGTCCGCCAAGCAAAGTTTACGCAGTCGAACGAATTGCGCATTTCCCCAGAACTGAAAGCCTTTGTCAGTTATTGTCGTGCATCTTGTGAGATCAACCTCTTCAAGCCGTGGTGCTGCGTGGGATGCTATATGGAGCATGGAATTATCTGTAACGTGCTTGCAATATGAGAGCGCTAATCGTTTAAGATAGGGGCATCCAACAACCGTTCCACTGGCCGGGGAAGTCTGCAAAGTAGTATTCTGGATGAGCCCTATTCCCATCCACCTAGCATTCTGGGTGGCTTTCCCGTTGACATAGTGCTGTCCGAATGGAGGGTTCGGCACCGTCCATCCAATAAGCCTAGTTAAAAGTGTGTCGCTGACTTTCCGACAGTTACTCAAATCAATCTCTTGTAGATATTTCGCCTTACTGGCAATATCCAAAATGGCGGACGCTGTTACATCCCATACACTTTTCATCTTTAATGATCTGAGATTTCCCCCGCAAGTATTTGCCAATGCCCTAAATCCCTCATCGGTGATATGAAAACAACTATTCATGTCAATAACGCGAGGTCTATCGCCGACAAAGGGACATATGACATTTGAAAGTATGTCATCTGTAAGCTTCCGATTGTAGCGACTGAGATCCAAAAAATGAAGAAGTTGAGGTGAGTTGGTAAGAATATTAGCCCAATGACGTGAGATGACCCTGAGATGAAGGAGATGGTGAAGTTCAAGATGCTGGAATATAGCTACGAGGAGGCTATCGTTAAGACGGAATTTGCCTGATTCTTTATCAGCATGGCGTGAGGAAGTTGACTGTTCGGGTGGAAGGGCAGAGCTGGGAATGCTGAATGTTGCCAGTTTTGACGGAGACGCTGCACCGGACCGAGGTCTCACTGGAGACTGCTGTCGTTGATCTTGCGACGGGGAAGCTCCATCAGGCATGATTGGAGCAAGAGATCCACGTCGCGACTTAGATCGCACATTATCCAAGCCGACAATTAGGAAAGGGTCGGGATCAGAGGGTCCTAGGATAGGTCGATCCTCTATTCGTGTTGGTTTGTGCGGACTGTCGAGTTCTGTCTCGGTGAGCGTGAGAAGAGGCATTGACTGCCTTCTTACAGACCCATGGAAATTTTCGTTTATTACAAGTTCATCCATTGGAGGTACTGAATTAGAAGCAATATCCTCCATCTCGACGTCATCATCTGTTGCAGTGATCAATCGTTCCCTAGCTGTGTTTTCGATTTGTTCCCGGATACCTGTAGGACATCGATCCCAAAATTCCGAAAGTATCTCCCTACTTATCATTAAACATTCAACGGACGTGACCGTGCGAACAGTAGCAGTTCTACGGGGAGCTAGTGATAGGCTCACGACTTCCCCAAAATACTGTCCAGCCTTTAGTCGAGCTTTGACCTGGACTTCACGTTGACCCTCAGCATCCGTTCCTCGACGCGCTTCGCGCCCATCGGGGTGCTCATCTAGAACCTCCACTTCTCCTCGTACGATAAAATATATTTCGCATCCCTGCGAGCCCTGTCGTATTATATCTGTGAAAGGCTGATATGTTCGTGGTTGGGCATTGAGAGCAAGAAAATGGAGAATATTGGACGGTAATCCGGCGAATAAAGGTAGCTCTTTCAACAATAATCGAATGCTGACCAGTCCGTTGGCTAAGGCACTGGAAGTCGAATGCTCAGAGTAACTCGGGCTGGGAGACTTGCGTTTTTTACTCGTGCTACTCGAGCCATCCTCGTCGAAGCTACAACTTCTGGAAAATGCATCGCGCCCTCTCTTCGTTGCTCGCTTATGGGTTCCGAGAGGGTCAGTTTGCATTAGTGGCTCCTTTTTCTTCTTTTCCAAAATTAATAACCTCTCCTCAGCTTCCTCTCTGATCGCCTGCTCTACTTCCGGAAACCCGGGAAGAATCTTTTTGAAATCCTCCTTTGTTAACACGACGAGCAAACATCGGGTGCGGGCAATTATTGTGGCAGTTCGGGGCCTGTCCATTAGTACCCCTATTTCCCCAAAGAAGGCACCAGGCTTCAGCTCCGCATACACACTTTCGCCATCTCGAGATGTGACTGCAACTGCCCCACGTACTAACCAATACATTGCTTTTGCCTCGTCGCCTTCCGTTAAAATGTAATCGTTCATGGAGTTGAGTTGCGGACGAAGGTGTAGTTCAACTTCGGCAAGGAATGATTCCGGTGTCGATTGAAATAGAGGAAAGGAACGTATTCGGTCGACTAAATCGAGCGGCATACCTTGTATTTGCGACGAGGCCAGGGGAGACGGGCGTACTGGCCGAGAAGGGTTTGTTTCTGACTCGAAAGTGCGTATGAGGGACATCGGATCGGAGCCCCTCGCGACGGACTTGCTGACAACAGCAGCTCCGCTCCCTCTGCTGTGTCTTCTCATTGTTTCCGGTACTTCTGGGCCCGACTGAGATCTTGGATCCGGGTTGGCTATGCCAGATGAAAAGACATTATGATGGATCCTCTATCTTTCGCAAGGATGCGGCGGCAGGTTTTTTTCTCTATTTTCGTTTTCCTTAAAAATTTCCCCGTTGTCGGTCTTTTGGATTGTATCAATAAATGAAGAACGACGACATAATGCGCGAATTAACCAATATTAAAATAAATATTAATCCTGCACAACGCTCAATAATAATTAGTACTGAACATAGCTTGAGGGGAGAAAAGGAAAGAAAAGGGTCACAAGAAAGGCATGGGGAGTGAGGAAAGTGGCCCAAGAGCTTCGCCAACAGCATTTGAGCTTCGCTGGTAGTCGACGAGATGCCTACCTCGACGTATCTCCCTCTCTCTATATATTTATCCAACCGAGTCGCGGATTCGCCTGAAGCTTTGAAGGTGCAATGGGTCGCGGCCAGCGAAGCGTTTAAGAACTTGAAACCGTGGAGCTTTTAGGAAAGAGGCGCGCCACCAAAACCAGCGTAAACTCCAAGAGTAATTCCGATATAATTAGCGGATGCGATATAGAGCAGAGGAGAAACAAAGGAAGCGGTAGGGGTATTGAGAGTTGAAGTGGCCAGGAGGTTTGGATCCTGGGGAAGACCCCGGTGCCGAAGTGGCTTTCCGCCTTCTGCTAACGATGGGATTCCAGCAAAACGAGGGGTGGAGCCAAAGAGCTGTAGGCTTGGCATCCGTTTCGTGCAGAATTTATGCTCACTGGGAATAATGCACACGCACCCAAGCTCCCCCAGTGCTGCTGAGACTTGGTATATGGTACGTGGTCCGTTCCTTAGGGCAACCAACGATATAGCGAGTGAGTGGCCTACGAAAGCTTGTACAGAACTAAGGTCTCATATCCAACAGACGTTGTAGTTTTTCAACTTGAGAGGACACACGAGTTGTTGCGGGAACCTTGAGCGTATTACCGAACTATTGTGAACTATGGTACTGGCATACCCATGACTCTAGACCTCTAACCTCTCAGATACCTATCTGGTCGGTGTATCCTTGCATCATAAAAATCCACACTTATGCTAACTACCCACCAGGCCTGAAGAAATTTACGGTCTCCCCGAGCCGGTGTTTATATGGTAAAACCTTTTTTTCTCGTAGGCCAGAGCTACTACCAGATTGTTCAAAAATAATAGGAAAAATGCAAGGAGGATACAGCCAGTGGCTGCAAGAGGACCCAAAATGGAAAAAACAGTGAACCCGTACGATGCTGAATGGAACATAGCACTGTCACTAAGAGCCTTTGTTTCCAACCCGACTTGCATGGCAGCGAGGACAATAGCAGCGTATACTGTTGCGGATGCTAACCATGTGAAGTTGTCCCGAAAGAAGGTCTTGTATTCCTGCCAGTGTCTGGTATAACCGCCCAGAAACGGGCGCTGGGTAAAACGATATATGTTATTCAGACGGCTCAGGCGAAGCTCTCCGTATATGAATCGGGGGTTGATGTTCGGGTAGATGTGTGCCGTGTCAAGTTGTTCAACAAAAGTTCTCCATCCTTGCCATGTCAATCGGTCCTCCCCCGATGGGAGCAGGCGTTTGTCCTTGGCAATGTAAAAATCGCTCTCGTGGGAGATCAGTGCGGCATAGGAGTACAGGAATCCCAGTGCAGACTTTCGCAATTTTCGATGGGAACACTCCTGGCTGTGTGCTGGTGAGCCAACTGCACCCTCATGATCAAGGCATTTGCAATCGTCTCGGCAGGAAAGATATTCGGACCAGAAATTGGGCTCAAGAAGGAAGCGTGGGATGGGCTTGAGGTATACTCGACCCTCCGCCCAGACAAGATGCATGTCCATCTGCTCCGTGACGAAGATTTCGCGCCCAAGTAGGAGCTGGTAGTGAAGAGGTCGGGGAGGCATGGGTCGACCAACTACCCACAGCCATTTGAAAATTTTATTCAATCTACGCACATCAAGCTCTTTTTCCATGCAGGCCATATAATCATAGCTCGGGGCAGCAAGGTCATCAGTGCTTGTGCGGTACGATGCAGGGAAGACAGCCCAGAGCTTGTCATTCCTGCTTTGAGAAGGGGTGGTAGCGTCGTTCGATCCACCTCCCAGAAGCCGAATCGAGAAGGGAGGCGGCTGTACGTAAAATGTCAGTTTTTCTGCTTAGTCCGGCACAGTGAAACGATCACGGTAACTGTTGAATTGGAATATTTACCTGGCTGTGGTCCTGCTCCATAGTATTTCCCCTTTTCAACAGGCAGCGGCTGGTTTGTTTAATGTTGAGCCGTGTTAAGCCTGCTGTGCCTGAGTGAATGTGTGCCTGGCATATATTCAGTTATTTAAGGATAACACTTCGCCCAGCTGCCAGGGCCTGTGGTCGTCGAAGACCAGAGGTCAGTAGAGCTGATCAGCTGGTCACCGTAAAAAGGCTTGCTAAAAGTATCAGCGCAGCAGGGTACACAGCTAGCTAGCTAGCAGCATGATCAGACCTCTATTGGTCACTCAGCCACCGCACTCCTCAGTGACTCGATGTTGGAATGCTTTCGGGTGTCTTCTGATCTTGACGTCCCGAACGGCTCATTCTACGTTAGGGCCCAGAACAACTGACAACAACAAGTGTGGTTATACACGCGCGCCACTAACTAGTGGTTTGGCGTGTTTACTGCCGCGATGATGTCTCCCAGTCCAACCAAACTGGTCATCGTTAGTATTGACAACTCTGGAGCTGTCATGGAAATCGGGTCATCCTCATTTGCGACATGCTCCTTGTTGTATTCATGTGTATATTTGTTCCCTTCTCCACATTGGATGTCACGTTGTCTCTCGTCGCTTTCATCTCGGTGACTCCAGGTAACCATAAAACAACTGCCAGCATTCTCCTCACACATATTGATGAGATGCTGCTGGTTGCTGGCCAAGTCTATGTTAAGGTGCCAGGTGATGATGGGCAGAGACCACTAGTTTGATGCTGCAGGTCATAGTCAGAGGGAGGTTGTCGATTGCCGCTAGTCACCGACCATGTCGATGTAGAGACAGGATATTCATGGACGAGCGGATAAGATAAGTTTCCAATAATACTGATATTGAGTGTAAGGGCGTGTCTGAGCGAACGCATTACCAGTGTTTGTCTCGAATGATCGTTGTTTGATTTTTGAGTTGCTTGATAGCCCACGTCGAGCACCGTTTCAAAAACAAGCTTCTGTAGAATTCGCCTAAATATTGTACTGCACAATACACCTCATCGCAGCCATTCTGATGGTTTAAGTTTTGTCTGCGAGTCGGCTTAGTTACTGGGAAGATTGACTCTATTTACTGGGTTTATAGCACGTTGGTGGTAGGCAAGACTGTTTGATAGTTTGCTATCGAAATTGCTTCTACATATTCATTCTCTAAACCACCCAGTGTTTAGTATCTATGGATAGATTATGTTAAGTATAGTACATGATTAATTTTATCTTTGGAATAAACCGCGAACAGTTAACCGGACTAATATTGTTATATTGTGCCAAATAAAGTACCTCGAAGAAACTAGAATTTTGCAGAGGACCATAAGCAAAAGTAAATAAACATTTTTAGAAGCAGAAAGACCTATCGTAGGTAGGATGGCCATCGAACCTTCAAAGTCTAGATATAACTTCACACGACAGTGTGGCTAGAGTAGAACTGACTATAGGAAATTAGCCAGTGCCTCCGTGTATGGCTATACAGCCGTGATTCTGCCAATTCCTGAACCACACCAAGTGACGGACCAGTCGCTGTTCAATTTGGTGAAAATCTTTGTTAAATTAGCAAAGAGCTCCATTGTGCTAACCAAGATGGCGGGTGGGCAGCGGAATTGGCATAGCTTTGATCCGGGCTACAGGTTTGAGTGCGTCAAGGAGAACTCTTCATATCTCATCATCGCATCAGGCATGTTCTAGACCAAAATTGACCCGCCATCTGGCATGACATGAGCGCAATATCGCTTACGATCATCGTGGGAAACAATTTCGAGGTTACCGGTTGGATTCACTGGCGGCACACTCCCAAAATTGTGGTCGTTAGCAGTTTAACGACTTGGCCACTGGCCACATCGGTGGTTGCCCTGACAGGATATCAGCGGTGCCGTAATTTTTGCTGACTGGGTAGGAACACTGTAATGAAAATTGGAACGGACACAATCGGCACGATAGCGGGACAAAGTCTTAAATCGACAGCTGGACAACCCTGACTTGTCACTCCAGCTGAAGCGGTCGGCTCGGGATCTTTAGAACAGCTCTTCTGCTCGTAGTGGAGAGGGCGCGGATCCCCGAAAACGAGCAAGTGTATTCTGACGCATTACAATGCCCTAAGCTGTACGAGGATGAAAGAAACTTTAGCGACTGTCAACGTTAAGTTGACCAAGGAGGGGAGATTCAGGTCCTGTGTCGCAAGAGGTATAGTCGCATAATCCTGGGGAAAATATAACCACGCGTGGAGTAAGAGTTTTTCCAGATCTATATGCTCTATGCAGTGGAAACTGTAGCTTTTAAAATGTGCTTTCAGTGAAGAGTCGTAAGAAGAGCCAATTAACTAAATGTTAGGCGGTATCAATGGACTCATTCTCGGAACGAAATTTTCGGTAAACGGATTCAATATAACCGGGTCGATTTCCTTTCATCGCTGCCAGGGCGTCTTGGATCAGTCCAAAGGTGAGACTCAATTTCAAACCAAGTTTCGCTGTTCGTGCAGCTGTATATGCGTCGTGGTGAGCTATATCCTTTTGGTTAGCGTTGAAATGCTGATAAAAAACACATCACATGCATGGATATATGGATGATATGTGCCATGAAATGCACATCGCAAACACACCTAGCAAGCTATAAAGACCCGAGAAAGCGAGGCCAGCGGTCACCGTGGAAAGGAAATCCTGTTGGCCGTGACGGGCGTGGTCAACTGTCTCCTCAAACAAGCAAAAAGTAAAAGCCCCAGCTCCAAGTTTCATTCCCATTTTCATTCCATCCTTCACTCCCCCGACAAATGATTTGTAGTTCTTGCTTCTGTGATAATGGTACCAACCCATAGTTGTGGTTGGTAGTCTATGGGCGTTCTCAGCACGGTATCGAAATGCCGCTCTCGTGCTGCCGTGGCCAGCTCCTAAAACCATACCGGCAGTAAATGCAGCGCCCACTGTAATCGGCAGGCGGACGATTGGATCGATGCTGAGGCGCGGGGAGGAGGGATTAGCATGGCCGAGAATGGTGCTGAAAGTTTGCTCCCCGTCTATTGGAGGCAGGGAATCCTGCTTGGATCCCATAGCTATGCCCGCACGGTAATTTTCTAGGCCAAAAGAAAGGGAAAATCTGGAAGTAAATACGGCGCGAAAATCAATGGTATTAACCAAATTGACGTCAAATATGGGTCAAGCCGTGTCGAAAAAATATCCGTGGTTGTCAATAAATACTATTGGGATTCTTGATTTTAGTTGCTGGTTTGCGCTAGCCCTGTTTGGGTGGCTCTTTCTTCCCGACCTGACTGAAAACCACCTTAATTCGCAACAATCAATCAGTGAGGCTGGAACAAAACCCCGCTTGGGGATTAAACGGATTAATATATTCGAAATGGTGAGTGCAGTGAAATTGGTATTGATCTTGTATAACATTTTTACTAACCCCTGTAGAGCGAACCTGATTCGCTCAAATGGACTCTGAGGTTCAAAAACCATAATGTTACAATCCTTCTCCTTGTATCGCCTACCCAATCATTCGATTCCATAAAAGAAGAACTCCTGAAAGCCCTTAAAATTCGCGGCATTACAGAATTAAACGGCCAAACTGTGCCTGAAAATCCAGCCGAAATCGAATTTGGTGTACCCCTTGACAGGAACAACTTGGAAAAAGGCTGGGAAAAGTTGAAACCGACGACAGGAGAAGCAGGGAACGGAATGAACAAGCAACCTTTGCGAGGCCGGAAGTCAATTATCACAGGTCCCGTAGGAGCAGGGCTCAAAGATTCTCAAGCGCTCGCGTTCAGATTCCGCAAGCCTGGCGAGGATGAGGACGAAGATGATCTGGGAATTGGTTTTGACGACCCTGGCTGGGATGTTATGATTGCAAAATATGACGCTGAAGACGACGAATGACGCTGTTGTGATGATAGGAGTAAGGAGTTTCGGGATGGCTGCATATATTTATTGAATATTCACTGCTTGGATGTTTGACTGCCTCGACTTTCCTGATAAATTCAAGTTGGCTTGTCTGGCGGGGACAACGCATGCACATTAGGGCGTGTATACATGTACCCCCCTTTTGTACAAAGCGCAGATTTTCATAGTTGAGAACGATAAGACCAAATGAACATGGTTCCTAACTAACAAGCTGGATCATCCATATTTTATGGGTGCATTTTCAGCTCACGCACAAGGGCTCATGGCTTTATGTCACAGCTAACAATCCCTCTATATCCATTTTAACAAGCAGTTGGTGCGATTCCACATAGGCCCAATGACCCTGAAGTCTGAAATCTAGAAATACAAAGCTTGCTGGAATGTCACTTTCAGTCTCAATCAAAGTGCCTTTATGACCAACAAAAGTGCGTGTCAATATATAATCCCTGCTAAATTAAACTCGGTTTTGGTGTGAAAGTCTTAAACTCACAGAATAAATCTTAATATCCACGACCTACACGGATGCTGCCATGGCAACCGGCGTCGGATCAACTATTCCACTTTCCCAGCATCAACAGAAATGTAAATAATGATCTGGGAGCTTGACAAGGAGAACAGACCTTCCAAAAGGACAAAAGTTCCACCGTTCAAATTCTAACTTTCAACAGAGGTCAATTGCTTCTGTTTGGGGATATCAGTTTCAATTTCATTTTCTTTACTGTTATCTATTATATAACCTTTAGTGTTCTTTTGTTCATTTGCGTTCTTCACCACTAGTTTACACAGCATTTACAGACAACAAAGACTGTTTATACAACCTATCCCTCATGGCGGCCTCGAGCGGCGCGTCATCTATCTCAGTGACCGTTCGGGTGAGGCCATTTACAATACGAGAAGCTGCACAGCTTACAAAATGTGATGATTCGATGTTCTTCCTGGGGGACGGCTCCCTTGTCCCCACCCCGAAACTGATACAGAAAGGCATTCGACCTGTGGTAAAGGTCATGGATGATAAGTGCTTGTGAGTAAATTGCTATCCGGTTACGGATCGGATATTCTGACTTTTGTCAACCAGGGTCTTTGACCCACCAGAAGACAACCCAGTACATCGATTTTCTAAATCCGTGGTCCCAAATGGAAAGCGTGTGAAGGACCAGACGTTCATGTTCGATAGAGTTTTCGATGAAAACACGAGCCAAGGAGATGTGTATGAAGCAACAACTCGGAGCCTGCTAGACAGCGTGCTGGATGGTTACAATGCCACCGTCTTTGCGTATGGTGCGACAGGCTGTGGCAAAACCCACACCATTACAGGGACTGCTCAGCAACCGGGTATTATTTTCTTGACTATGCAAGAACTATTTGAACGGATCGCGGATAGAACAGATGAAAAGGTCACTGAGGTATCATTATCGTACCTGGAAATTTACAACGAGACCATTCGCGACCTGCTTAGTCCCACCAATACTCCCAAGGGCGGTCTCATGCTCCGAGAAGACGCAAACCAAACAGTCTCCGTGGCTGGGCTTTCCAGCCACCATCCTCAGAACGTTCAGGAGGTGATGGATATGATTGTGAGAGGAAATGAGTCTCGCACTATGTCTCCCACGGAAGCAAACGCAACATCATCTCGGTCTCATGCCGTTCTCCAAATTAACGTAGCGCAAAAAGAGCGTAATGCGGATGTCAACGAGCCACACACAATGGCCACATTGAGCATTATAGACCTTGCAGGAAGTGAGCGAGCGAGCGCAACAAAAAACAGAGGGGAGAGGCTGATCGAAGGCGCCAATATCAACAAATCTTTACTAGCATTAGGCAGTTGTATAAATGCTCTATGCGATCCTAGGAAACGCAATCATGTCCCCTACCGCAATTCGAAACTCACCCGGCTGCTAAAATTCTCGTTAGGAGGAAACTGCAAGACGGTAATGATCGTCTGTGTCAGCCCGTCCAGTCAACACTTTGACGAAACACAAAACACCCTTCGGTATGCAAACCGAGCAAAGAACATACAAACTAAAATTACCAGAAATGTCTATAACGTCAATCGCCATGTCAAAGATTTCCTTGTTAAAATCGATGAACAAATGGCTTTGATTAAGGAGTTGCAACAACAACAGAAAGATTATGAAGCTATCGCTTTCGCGAAGTTTAAGAAACAATCCGAGAAGAAGGAATTGGTAGTTCGTGAGGGAGTGGCTCGTCTGCGCAGTGCGTATGAACATTCAGCCTCCGAAAGAGAAGAAAGGGTCAATTGTATGCTGCGCTTGAAGCAAGTCAGCCGTCGCATCTCAATCCTCTCCTCCTGGATTGCTGCATTTGACAGTGTGTGCGATGCTGCTGAAAATGAATCCGCCTTGTCCAACCTCCAGGCCATTCGGAAGACTGCCCACGGAATTCTCGTCGAGCTAGAGGGCAGCAGACAGCATTACCACCAGAAGCTTGCAAAAAGTAGCTGGGATCGAGGCATTAACTCTGCACTGGATATCGGTATTAAACAGCTCCAAGAACTTGAAATAGCAGATGGTGTCGATACTGCCACCCTCGCGCGGGAAGCGGAGTTACTTAGAGCCAACGCAGAAAGGGAAGCACTAGGGGCAATTGCCGAGCAGGAGAAAGGAGGCGACTTAGCAATGATCCAGATGTTGCTGCAAGCCAATTTCGAGACAATTTCTGCAATTGAGGATATCATGCAGCTTCGCGAGGAGGATGCAGTTGCAGCTGGTAAAAAAATTCTTGCAAAACTCCTCACGTCCAGTACAGCTGCTACGGCTCATGTAGTCAAACCTGATGGGAACGTACCGCCCATCGAAGTTTTCCCACCAAGCAAGGCGGGTACACCCAAGCGCAGGAAGCAAAACAGTATGGGGCCCCCCGCATCGTTGCCAAAACCTATCAAAGCGGTTCTGTCTATAGCACCCCATGTATCCCCATCCCCAGCCAAGCCTTCTCCCAGAAGAAGAAAGATAGGGCCAAAGAAGGGTGTTAATTTCACACCAAAGAAGCTTCAGGCGAAGAGCAACAAGCGGAGTGTAAGATGGAAGGACGACGTAGAGGATGGAACGCTTGCAGAATTCGAGAAGACTCCACAAAAGGTTGAAGAATCGTCTCCTGATACGCCCTCAGTGGAGCCGCAATTACCGCCAATGCATTTAGTGGCATCAGCCATTCCCCGTCGAACGTCGAATGGCTCGAGAGAATCGTCACCCATCCCCAGCCCTCCTACCTCGCTCATCGTCCAGAAGAATAGCCGTTTCAAGGCCGGCTTCCTGTCCAAGAAGCCGAACGGATCTCCGGTTCCCTCGGCGTTGCCAAGGCTCCCCTTATCGTCGGACAGCGAACTTTCTCCATTACGTGGTATTGAAAATAGCAGTTTCCTAAATCGCAAATCTCTTGACCATTCTGAGGCTGATGATAACACGAAAAGCAATGTCAGCGGGTCGTCATCAGACAACGAAGATAGATGGAAAATGGACAAAAGTGACGCCTTGATGATACACTCAGCGATGAGACGCATTTCCGGAGCCCACCATGGAGGAAATCTAGCTTCGATGGCCGCTGTTAATAGAATCCATCGACGACGAAGCCCAACTGCTACCACGAGCGTAAGCCCTCCTAGTGAAAACAGCAGCACGTTCTCGGCGTCCCAAGCGAGGAGGATGGTGAAAAAGGAGAAGGACGATTCGAAGATTAGCGTTTTGAGCCCAAGAACCGTACCCATTATGAAAGCAAATAGCCAGCGACGGACGACAATCGGCGACGCGAAACAAATAGGCCTTGCGTCCAGAGAAGGGATTCGGCTTAGTTCTGCCACAATTTCAGGCGGTGGGTCGTTACGGGGTAGTTTACAGTCCGGGACGAAGGGTTCCTGGAGATAGCTCTGGGGCACTTTTCACTTTAATATAGATCCTTTTTAATTTGTGGAGTTTGTGGGCGGGCTACATATGGGTGTTTCGGGAGCTTTACCTGGTGTCCTGGGATATTCTGTCACGAATTTTTTCCCTTCAACTGCATGTATTTTAATCGGCTTCTTTAGCCTTTCTTTTCGTTTACTCTATGCCTTCTATGTTCAATATATCCAAACAATGCCTATCCTGATTTTCAATTTTTCTTCCCCCCAATTCACCTTCGATTGATCGGCTCTCTCGTTCGATTATTCTTTATTTTCACACCTTCTGGCTGTCCGCCATCATTGTTCGCTTCTTGATTAACTATAGAACGAAGGGAGTTGTTTCTGAGGCTGTGAATCTGTAGTTTTTGCTCATGGCTTGATATATGTCGTTGATGTGTCGATATGTAGACAAAATCGTCCATGAGTTCCTCCAGCAAAACAGTTGATGAACCAGCCTGGTTGCATCGTGTAACTCATAATGTGGCAGTGAGAGAGTCTATTCGTCCGCGCACCCCATACACCCACACCAATTTTGCCAACCTGTGGTTTTGGAGATAGATCCTTGGAGGGCACGCAAAGCCCAATCCAACGAAATGCCAAGTGGAGATACTTCGAAGGTTTTGACATTGGAAATCAGTACATTGAAGTCAATTTAAACTCAGGTTCGGGGCAGCGCCATGTGGAGCCCATTCTCCAACCCCTGACCCAAACTGGGGCTTATAAGTATAAGTTATCTTCGAATGATAACCCTACAGAGCTGTTGTTGTTATGCTCCAGGCAGCATGTGCGGAAAAAAAAGAAGTCCATCGGCTTGTTGTCAGGTAGTATTTTACAAAGCCCAATTGTTATCGACTACCAACTTGAAGGCTAGGAACAGGCTTCTCAAGCAGGATCAGAAGCTTGAATTTTACCCATTGTATTTTATTTATACCACCTTCGTCATCGATTGCTTGGCCCCGTACTTCACACGTTAGATATTCGGAGTTCTTTTTTTTTTTTTTTTTCATTCCCAACCATCTCGGAATTCTCAGTTTCTGGGATGTGAAGGTCCAAGAAATTATAAGTTTGCTGCGGCATCTTCATCATTATCTTCAAGTATAGGTTGAGTGGAAAATTGCAATGTCATATTTCCAGAAAAGTAGGTGGGGATTGGGGGGGAAAGCTTCCATAATTCGCAGCCCCAAACAGCCGATTTTGTAGCTAAACAGAACAGTGTTGGAACTTGGAAGGGACTTTAAGACAGTTAAAAGTGCGCCACCACCTGGAAGTTGGTCCCAACGTGAACATAGACTGTATTTACAGAGCAGAAATAATTCGCTACCAGATTAACTGCTATAGCCAGTTTTCAATTGCTCCCTAGGCTACGTGCAGGGTATCGGCAGCCTGTTGGGCTGATTAGTAAATAGCTTTGGGGTAGTTAACTAGAGATGAACAACAAAGTCCTGGAACCTTGCGATGTGTCCAGTAACTTATAAACCCCCAAACCATCAATAACATAACAGCCATAATTATCTCCCATCTGATGATCGCATTTCCCCACCAATGGCTCTCCCGTTCTCGTCCATCATGCCGCCATTCATGTCACGATTAATGCGCCACTTCTCCACCACTACCCCCTCCCTCCCAGTAACACCAGAATCACTTGCAGCCCGCGGCTTTCCCGAAAACGCCCAAGTAGCCACGATCGCTGCTGGTTGTTTCTGGGGCGTGGAACACCTCTACCGGCAAAATTTCGGTAGCGGAAAGGGGCTCCTAGATGCCAAAGTTGGATATTGCGGTGGGGATACGACGCATCCGACTTATCGGAGTGTTTGCACTGGGGAAACTGGCCGTACGTCCTTGAAACGAAAACATGCCCTCCCCCCGCGCCTGGCCTTCCCCACCTCCAAAAGAGACAAACACCTTAACAAGATCTCTTCATCTCTAACTATTCCATGCAGACGCCGAAGCCCTTAGAATAATTTTCGACCCGTCTCTTGTTACGTATCGCCAACTCCTCGAATTCTTCTTCCGCATGCATGACCCCACCACCCTGAACCGACAAGGTGGAGATGTAGGGACACAATATCGCAGCGCAATATTCACACACGGCGAGGAGCAGCAGAAAATCGCCGAGGAGATCAAGGAAAGGGTGGCTAAGGAGTGGTGGAAGCGGCGCGTTACGACCCTCGTTGTTCCGGCGGACCAATGGTGGGATGCGGAAGATTATCACCAGCTATATTTGGACAAACATCCTGGTGGATATGAGTGTCCCGCTCAGTGAGTTTTTCCCTTTGCTCTTTCCCCTCCCTCTCTCCCCTCCCCGCTTCTGCTCCCCGCCTGCGCCTAGCCGACCGCGTACTCCCACTCAGAACCTAAAACAAAGTTCCACGGCGGCCATTGTTTGCCTCGTATTCGTTTTTGGCTGGTGATGAGGAATGCTAAGAAATTACTGGTGCTGTGCAGTTTTGTGAGAAAGTTCCCTCCCTTGTCTGAATGAATGGCCCAACCTAAGTGGGGAGGTTCTATACGTGGGGGACCTTTTGGAGACAAGGTAATGCAGGCGCGAAGCATTATCAACTCTTGAGACCTCCTCTTTTTAAATAAATTTAACTCGGATAATTCATGAATTGAGTTGTATGATATTTATACTGTAGTTGGCTTACGCTTGCTCTCCCCCCACCCCCTCGCGCTCTCTCTCCCCTTTACTTTTTGTGTGGATATCGAAACGCCACCCCTTGATATGAAATAGACCCATGTAGCACGATCAGAGTGGCTTTTAATACAGTTTATGGCATCTTCTATTTTCAGCCGTTTTATATTCGATTCTCTTGCCCACTTGAACATAATGACTGACCTTCCCCTCCCTAAGATGACTTGGCTCAGTCCACTCGGAATTTGACTGTTGGATGCCCACGACATCCAGTTCGCGACAAAAGCGATTCATGAGGTGGACCTCCGACTTCGGTGGCGTCTAGCGCGTGGGAGAGATGCAGCAACCCATGTGTAATCCATGTAGATCAATTCATCCCTTCGTAGATACGAGGCGAGTTTCGGTCCAGGCGTCGTCCAAGGCGAAGAGACAAAAATGGGAAAATTTTTCAAAAAGCACCATGCTGCCATTCCCTGGTATCTTCCCTGCTATATGTAGGAACATTGCATGTAATTCAATATGACGGCGACAGGGGCAGTTGAGGGTGTTGATGGGTGTAATCTGCTTCCCAATTATCTCGAAGTGATAAGTCATAAGATGGTCATATCAACACGATAAGCTCATTCTCCACCACAGAACGCAGCTGGTGGTCTAGGCCTCTCTCCTCCTCGTCCTTCCTCCTCCACACATACCCCACAGAGACAGCAACCCCGCGCGGTGATGTTCCTCTTTCCCTCCTGCATTTCTCTGCTGCACCTGGTTACACCCGGATCACGGCGGTCCATGAGCTAACAATCCCATCTGACACCAGACGAGCGAGAAGGTGAAATAAGGATCAATTAGATACTGATTGTTGGATGCAAGCGGAACCCCGCCTAGAAAGCCCAAAAATCAGACGACAGCACCTCCAACCACGAGATAGCACATAAAATTCAATCTAGAAACTGTGGTTCTATGACTTGAACATTTTTACCTCACACTGGTCGAGCCTACCCCGAATTATCCGGGTATAACCTTACCTTCCCTGGTCCACTCGTCCGGTTCCGCGAGCTCAACCAAGCTTGCCTCAACCAATCTCCTGCCTTTGCAATCTGTGCATTGAATCCTGTGTTTCCGTGCTTTCCACTTGCTTCGTGATAATGCATGCCAGATGGTATTGCGACCCAGGAGGGTAAAACGCCAGCAGGGCAAGACTGTGGTATAAGTGCACAGGTACCGTGCTATCCACTCCACCGTACATAACTGAACCGCATCCGACACCGTTGCTCCTGAATCGATTTGTAGAGTGTGAGGTTCTTGCTCTTATTTTCTTATATCTCTTACATGCCCATATCTGGTCTACCTCAAGTATCGTCGTTGTCGTTGTTGTTGTACATCTCGCCAACAGCTTACTTCTCCCCTTCAGCTACAAGGCATAATATTGCTGCGATCTTTAATCTTTAGGCAGATAACGCGATATTTTTTTTGATCCAGCTTTCCCTTCGTATCGTTTAGGCCGATTTTGGTATATAGCTGGAGTCTTTTACAAGGGGCCTAGGAAGCAAAGCGGAGTGACGAGATGCGTAAACAGCTCGCCTTTAAGACCACCACTCCATGTTTCGTTCATGCTATGCACCAGACTTCTGTTAAACCCCCTACCATATGGAGCCAACATGGGGTTAGATGCTCTCACCATGGCGCTGCCCAACAGCCCGAACGCCCAGCTCCTGCAACTGGAGGGCCGTCGGCAGCTCCTAGGTCAACGAGACCCTTTGCCACACTGAATTCCTCGATACCGTTTACAAACCCGACGACAGCTCCTCCATTGTCTATTTTGCCCTTGTCCACGATACTGCGATCTCTCTTCGTTACCACTATCTCCTCCTCACCTCTTCTCTTCACGCCATCTTTGGCTTTCCTGTCAGTCGTGGCAAACCCTGAGTCCACATTTCTAAATCCTGATCGTAACCCTATAATAAAGCTGATCATGGGACAGACGTTGTACGCACAATTCTGTGCAGGAGAGACACCAGCAGAGGCCAAAGTGAATATCCAAAAGTTGAAGCAGATCGGATATTCTGGTGTCATATTGGGGTATGCGCGGGAAGTCGTTATGGATGAGAACGAGACCCGTGCTCTTGCTCAATTAACCGATACAGAAGAAACAGCGGAAAGCAAGGCTCAAGCCATTGCTGATATAACAGCTTGGAAGAAAGGAACCCTTGCCACAGTCGATCTAGCAGATGATGGAGATTTCGTTGCATTGAAATTCACAGGAGCCGGGAAAGGGTCGGTCCACCAGCTGTTGCGCAGATCCGCACCATCACCAGCCCTTAGAAAAGCGATCATCGAAATTTGCGAGAGGGCTAAAGCTCGCAATGTCAGGTTATTGTTTGATGCTGAACAGCAAGCAGTCCAACCAGCCATTGACGATTGGACTCTTGAATTCCAGCGAATATATAATAAGGGACTGGACCAGCGAGCTGTGATATACGGGACATATCAGGCATATCTCCGTTCTACCCCGGCAACTCTCTCACAGCATCTCGCCATCGCGGAGGCGGAGGGATTCGCACTGGGCGTCAAGCTCGTCCGGGGTGCATATCTAGGCAGCGAGCCGCGCCATCTAATCTGGGACACAAAGCAAGAAACCGACAATACATACGACGGCATTGCCGAATCGTTGATTAAGCAACAATACGGAGACGTTCTTAAACCCCATAATTATCTGCCATCATCTGGGGGCACAAGGATAACCAGCGCCCAGAGGAAAGAGCAGCAGTACCCTCAATTCCCCAAAGTCGATCTCCTCCTAGCCTCGCACAACCGCGTCTCTGTTGAACGAGCCAAGAAGCTTCGAGACGAACAGAAGCGCACCAGTGGGGCAAATCAGATCGAAATGGCCTATGGCCAGCTGTTCGGCATGGCAGATGACATCAGCTGCCAGCTGGTGCAGGCGGGGAAGTGCGCTCGCGAACAGCAGGCGGAAGGGGTAATGGTGGATGTGGAGGCGCCAAAGATATGCAAGTACCTCGTGTGGGGCACAGTGGGCGAGTGTGCGCTGTATTTGCTTCGGAGGGCGCAGGAGAATCGAGATGCAGCGTCCAGGACGGAGGACACTAGGAAGGCCATGGCGAAGGAGCTGCGAAGGCGATTGGTGGGTGGTTCTGAGGGGAAAAGTTAGTCGATCCAATGGGGGAATTTTTCTTTGTTTCTTTTTTTTCCGTTTTCTTCCTCCTTGGTTGGTTAATGATTTTTGCCGTTTTGGGTTACATCTTTGGCCTTGTTTGATCGCGGGCACATCCCATTTTGGAGTGCAAGTTCACAAATATACCTTGTTAAGCAGGTAGATTTGGCATTAAGGAACATAATTCCTGTAAACATTTTTCAATCAGTGGGCGAGTAACTAGTTGATGCTCACTTTTCTGGGGCAGCGGGAGGAACATTCCACATCAGAGTTAAGCGATGCTATGTCAAAAGAGATTAATAACTAGTTATGAGATGGAATGCATACCGTATTAATTAACCTGTTGCTATTTTTGCTTTACATTGCCAGCTCCTCTCTTTCTTTTCTCTTCATTATATATATAACTTAGCCAGTGGATATTTCCCGGGCCATGCAGGAAGCTTGTCGCTACCACTTGTTTCCAATTTCTGTTTTTTTCCTTTGGGCCTCTTTTCCAGCGGGAGGCTGTAAGTTGACATAACTATTTAAATTAGCTGCAACAAGTTTCTTGCTTTCGGAAACATTCCCACAAAGAACTGTTGCGAAAATGCTTTGAACTAGCTAGGCAGGTTCTGTACTGTACAGTATATTCATTCAGGCAACAAGTGGAAAAGGTCAAATATACCAATAAGCAGGTGAATGAATGAATGAAAGTTAGCTTTCTTTGCTTTAATGATGGTATTGAGGGTTTTTGTCTTGAGGATGGCTGGAGCTGTCAGACATAGATAGTATGGACATAAACATAAAAAGTCCGCAATAGAAAGTAGCCTGGTATAATTCCCTCGAAATATTCTAAGGGGTATCTATTATCTTTATTTTCCCCCTGTCGCCCCGGGCCTCTCAACTTGCCTGGGGATTTTTTTTTAGAAAACAGAATAAAATAAAACTGGGAGGATGATGTTTTGAAGGAAGCTACAAGCAGATTCAATCAACACTTGACAAGTTAGACTTCATTTATTCCCTAGGACTGGTGATGGGGATGTCAAAGAGAAAGAAAGAGAGAGTGAATGAGATGGAGTCAGGGACTCATTTATTTATACAGCAGATTGCTGCACCACACCCACCCACAGAAGTGTTATTCAACCCCATATTCCACCTCTTTTTCTTGCTTATTTGTTCTTGTTGATTCTTTTTGTTTAACACATCTTCTGGACACTTCACTTCACTTCACTTCTTCTTTATTCCTCTGTCCTGCTCTCTCTCTCTCTCTCTCTCTCTCTCTCTCTCTCTCTCTCTCACATATGTTCTCATCTCTTGTCTAGCTTTGCACAAGCTCATATCTGTTACTGTCTCTACCTCTTTTCCCTCCTATTTTAAAAGACAATTAATTCATGAGCTTCCATTATTTCACCTGATTGATTTTGTGTGCATCTTCACTTGTTTTACCACAGGCTTGTGCTCTTCGCATCATTGTCACATCTCCACTTATCTCCACTTCACATGCTCCTTTTACAACAAAAGGGCCACTGACAACAGGGCAAGGAAGGTCAGGTCCTGGCCATGGAGAATGAGGGGCGCGAACGCATTGATGATGAGATGATGGTAGTTGTAGAAAAACTGAGGAACATTACTGAACATGTAAGTTTTTTCTTCTGAAAATTAAGAAAAGTTAGGAATAGTTATGGAATGGGAATTTCCATAGTTTAAGTCAAAAGGACTTGACGAAAAAGAAAAGAAAAGAAAAGAAAAACGGGGAGAACATTTGGATGTTTGAATTTTATAATAACCACATCTTTCCCTCACCGAATACAGTTGCGCAAGCTTCAGCTCCATAATGCGGCCAATACTATCTCAAAGCACACTCACGATATCATCGAGGAGTTTGGTGAAGTCATGTCGAAGCTCACAGACTCCGAGATCGTGATGCATCCTGCAGCAGTACGTACTTGGCTTTTATCCCATACTAAGTACTTCAGGGCCCTGGCTGGTGGAGGGATTTGTATGGCTCATGGGACTTTTCTTCTTCTTCTTCTTCTTCTTCTTCTTCTTCCCCCCTGCTTATATTCATTTAGAAGCAGGCCAACCGGCTCAATGGCAACGTAGGTGCGAACGAGAGCCACGATGAACGCGGGAAGATTCAAGTGCAAGTTTGCAAGCCGAAGGAAAAGAGCCTCCTTGACTTGGCGTCTTCTCCACCGGCTCCTCTGCAGGCTAATCTGTGGGCAAAGATAGCAGTCGCAGCTCCCCCTCAGGCCGTCCGTCAAACCAATGGATTCCACAGCATGACTCCACCCAAAGCCGAGACCAAAGCAATTCCACTGGTCCCTATCCGCCCTGTTGTGCAAGCGTTGTTGTCACACCCAGCCATGCCACCGCAACCAGCTCCTGCTACAAGGGGACGACGGACTGGGAGAGCCGGCATCATAATCGTCGAGGGCAAATTTACACTCGGCAGCTTGAACAAGCTTACCGCGAGGATCTGCGAGGGTGCGCTCTACAGTGTTGAGATCCACCATCACACGGGGTTCGCGGAGATCATCTTCCAAAACGCAATGCACGCGAAAGAATTCCTGGCCAAGGACAAGTACACGATGGAGAACACGGGCTTTGGCCGTTTCGGGAAGGGCTTCACGGTCAGGCACGATAGGTATAAGGAGCGGGGATGGGATGCGGATTTGGAGAAGATGGCGAATGGCAATCGGGAGAGGCGTCGATTGACGTTTGTTCGCCCCAAATTGCTGGAAAGGCCCGATTCGCTTCGGGCGCTGGAGGAGGAGCTTGAGCGGATGGCTGGGCCCGAGGGGAT